AAAATTTCTAATTTTTTCTTGAATTATCAAACGAAAACGAGAACCGTTTTGAAGACTGATAGTAGGCTGGTAAACACATGTCTCTACCAAATTTTGGAAAATTTCATTCACAACAGAGTGAGTTATGGCATTTTTTAGAGTGGACCTATAATTTTGGCCAGCACTGTATATAACGCTGAATGTCTGTTTGTCTGTCTGTACGTCTGTCTGTCTGTCTGTACGTATGTTCCGAACAGAAAATTCCATTTTTGAACCGATCCGGACCAAACTTGGCACACATACACTTAGGGCCCCGGCGGGTTTCATAGGCTACTTTTCCTCGAAAAATTCGAAATCGAACAGAAAATCAGGTAACACAGATAAGACGAAGAAACCAGCCAATCCTCAGTCACAGAAGGAAGAAGAGATGTAAATGGAAGACAAAACTAAACAAGACGAATACCAACTCTATAATGGCGATGACCATTAATTGCAGCATAGCAAAAGGAGAAAACGCTATGTTCAGAATAGTCTGTAGAATCTTGCTTCTTCTAAAGTTAATGAAGACCCTGTTTTTGGGTGTCAGCGAGCCCCCCGGTGAAAGCTAGCTGACTTGACCCCGGCTGAATAGTTGCTTTAGAAGAGAGCAAGACTCACTGGAAGTTGTAGGGATGAACGTCTACCAACTATGCGCGACTGATATCCCACAAAGGTGGGGGTGGGACTGGGCTACGGTGAGGGATATGATGTGAATGAGGCTGGTTGATCTGATCATTAGTGGAAGCACTATGGTTAATAACACAACAAACAATGCAAATAGCAGTCATTCTCTATCCTTGTTGTGGACTATCCAAGCGAAGCGAACCACAAAGCATAGCGTCAAATGATAGAAGGACGAACTGAGGCAGTATGAAGAACACAAGCACCACATTTGAACAAGACTCATCTAAAAATCAGAAATATCAAGAAGCTGAAGCACATTCACATCCAACAATTTTTTATGAAAAATTTTAGAGTTTTCATTGGATATGATATGATTTGGTAATGCAGAAAACCATCTTGATGTTATCGATTTTTTTTTGCAAAGTTTGAGCTACGGGAGTGGGAGTTTGCACAGAGGGGTAAGTGAGCATGGGGATTTCGAATACAATATTAGTTTTCAGGATTATCGATTACTTTTATCGATTTTATCGATTTTTTGCAAAGTTTGAGCTACAGGGCTGGGAGTTGGCACAGTTGTGGAGGGGTAAGTGGGCCTGCTGATTTCGAAAACAACACAGGGAACGGGAAATGAAGTGTAGAAGTGGGCACAGGGAAAGGCTGTACAGGGATAGGGATGGGACCTTTATTACTATGTTTTCACAGGGTCGGGCGGAGCCGGGTAAGCAAGCTAGTGATGTGATATTATCACAAAATTGTAGTTCCTGTTCCATTTCTTCATTTAGTATAAATAGCAGGTTGGGTTACCATATGATAGAGCAAAGCAAGGTCCACAGATGGTCGAAAAGCATCCGCCTAAGTCGTATCCATCTAAAGATTATAGCCAGTCTACTATGTGGTCCTCAAAAACGGAACTTAGCTCAAAGCGCTGCCGCGCTGATGGTGGTGTGCGACCGCCTTGTTTGAGTCAGTAGCGCGAACTGCAAAAACTTGAAAGTCGCTACCAATCGCTCAAAATGGGTTGCATTCGAAATCAGCTACAAGGTTTTCTTCTTCAAAGCAACCCCCTGGTAATGTTTGTTATGCGTCCCAAACTTCTCTCACATGCCGTTAAAGGCAGTGTCCGAGCAAAAACTCAGTTTTGAGATTTTGTGCTTATACGGACCTATTCGCCATGCTGAATCCTAAAATCCACATTGGAAAGCGCGAAAAAGGCGAAAAAGGGCTCTAACACAGGAGGGAAATCAGCAGGTGGGCGGGGCTTTCCCCAGTGCGATTTCACGCTCCCAGCTCCCGAAACGATTTTCCCAATTCCGCCAGCCGTCCTAACATCGCTGCCGGTCAAGTGCGAATGATTGACTTGAAACCGGAAGCGAGAAAATCGCTCCGGAAGCCGGAAACGTGATTTCGCAGTGGGAAGGACCCCGCCCACCTGCTCATTTTCCTCCTGTGTTAGAGCCGTTTTTCGCCATTTTCGCGCTCTACAATGTGCATTTTCGGATTCAGCGTAGCGATTAGGCCCAAGTAAGCACAAATCTCAAAATCTAGTTTTTGCCCGAAGGTGGGGGTTTTGGGATTTCATTACCATGCGAAAGTGATGCCTCTCAGACACAGCATCGCGCATACGAGATTATAACCAGGGTAAAGCGGGGGGTGCGGCACGCCGCAGAGGGGGGGTCGTATTGAGGAGTCAAAAGGGGAGGGGGTCGTAGTTAGGTGATCTGATTATAGCGATAACATGATATTCGTATCATATCCATAATTAGCACGTCAATTAACCCCTGTAGACAAAGTGTGAGCGAATTCTGAAGATTCAAGATACTAGGCTACCTAAGTGAAATGGTCAAATTCCAACATGGTTAACTTTGTTTTAAAGGTGAATTAGCTATCCGTTTTTGCACTCAAGACAAAGCACTACTCCTTCTTTGTCCACCTCAGGAATCCCGCTTCAGAAGACCTCCAAACTGTGGAATTAGAAGCCAACCAAAATCTCATTTTTCCCATTTTTCGCTTTTGATGGCTGTGCTTTCACCAAATATTACTCAGAGCTAAGAAGACGAATCAGGCTCAAAACATCCCTATGGAATCTACGAGGTTTAGGCTATCGATTCATATAAATATTGTCCGCTAAAAATGTTTTTTTGATATAGTTAATGGCCTGCGGCACCCCCCCTCAAAACCTGCGGCTGCCGCAGGGGTGCCGCAGGGGTGCCGCAGGCCATTAACTATATCAAAAAAACATTTTTAGCGGACAATATTTATATGAATCGATAGCCTAAACCTCGTAGATTCCATAGGGATGTTTTGAGCCTGATTCGTCTTCTTAGCTCTGAGTAATATTTGGTGAAAGCACAGCCATCAAAAGCGAAAAATGGGAAAAATGAGATTTTGGTTGGCTTCTAATTCCACAGTTTGGAGGTCTTCTGAAGCGGGATTCCTGAGGTGGACAAAGAAGGAGTAGTGCTTTGTCTTGAGTGCAAAAACGGATAGCTAATTCACCTTTAAAACAAAGTTAACCATGTTGGAATTTGACCATTTCACTTAGGTAGCCTAGTATCTTGAATCTTCAGAATTCGCTCACACTTCGTCTACAGGGGGTATTTGACATGCTAATTATGGATATGTTGTCCATTATGTTTGACAGAGCCTTCAGGTAATACTATCTTAAGTGTATAGTTTAGGAGGGGGGTCTTATCAAGACAGCAATCAGGGGGGGGGGTCGTATCCGACGGTCGAGTGCCGCACCCCCCGCTTTACCCTGGTTATAACGTTTAACCTAAAGCAAGAAAAACGATAGGGTGGGGAAACCTACGCCTTGGGGCGGGGTTCTCCGATATGTTTGAAATCCTGCAAGCGGCAGAGTACGTATGCTGCCACAGTCAAAATTGCAGGTTCCTGCAGCGACTCTGCGTCTCAGTCTTGGTGAGGACCGTCGAATTTCAAATTGTAAGGCTTTGAAAGACGCATGTTCTCGCCGTTTTCGCGCCTTTTAATGTGGATTCTCGGATCAGCGTTGCAGATAACCTCGGTAAATGGATTTTCTAAAAATTGAGTTTTTGCCAGGACACTGCCTTCAAGCACTGTAGTTTCCGACTATTTTGTGGTAATTCACGGCAGGACCGCTAGGAGCACGAAGCACTGAGTCTCAAGACCTTCAAACAATCAACGTAAAAGTTACGACCCTGGCAGGACTCGAACCTGCAGTCTTCGGCTCCGGAGACCGACGCCTTGTCCATTAGGCCACAGGGCCTCGCTATAGAAAAACTAGAAAAGTGAACACATACGTGGAGTTGCCACCTCTGATTTGTGCATTATGATGCAGCGTTTCAAGATTCACATTTTGCCCTAAACGACTCTCAATGTAGAAGCATAATCGCCTTTTGCTCTGACATGAGAATAGATTTTCATTTATGGTAGCTATTTTCGTAATGAAATCATCAAATCATCTGCGGCTTTTAAGCTTTTCAACAGCCCTTCCTGGAGATTTCTTAGACAAACAGACAGGGGTATTTTGGAAGAGGAAGTTTTTCCATGCGTCGCTTCGTCATTCATTGCCCATTCCCAGGAGAAAAAGGCCGTTTTCGCCGAGGTTTGTCATAGCGAAAATAGCCATTCTAATGAAATTGAAACAGCATTGGAGCACCCAAATATATTCAATTTTGTTCTGCCTCTCACTTGTTGCATCAAAATAAGCTAAGGAACACCTTCTAAAAAAATCGCAGTCAAAAATATGCAAAAAGCTCAAAAATGGGCTTAGTCCCAGCTCACCTTGCTGCCGGGAGTAAAATGGGTTTTCAAGTGGGGGTAAATCCCATTTTGCCCCATTCTAAATGGATTTTTCGCATGATTCTTTCGCAAACGAGAGCTCAGGTGGGGTTGAATCATTTTCACTACTCAGACATTCGCCATTGAGTCCCGCAGGACAAAATGAGGTGTCGTTACGGAATGCCTGCGCGACTCCCGAAATCAGTGTCGGGACATAATCAGGATACCTCATTTTGTTTCGGGACAAAACTGCGCGATAAAATCAGGTGTCCCGACGGACACATTCCGGACAAAATCGGGACACCTGCGGGAGACACCATAATGTTCCGATCGCTTTCAGAGCAGGCGCCTACGCCCTTATCAATAGGTTTTTGCGTCCTCTGTGTCCTCTCTCACGCCTCTCCGCTCCCTGCCCCGAAGTATATGTGTGCCAAGTTTGGTCCCGATCGGTTCAGAAATAAAAATTTCTATTCCGCACATACGTACAGACAGACAGACATACATACATACATACAGACAGACATTCAGCTTTATATATAAGATACACAGATTCGAAGCAGGTTACGAACAACTACAACAAAAATGTAGACAACGCATCAGGCTTCCTCGATTTCCTCGACTTCATCTTCTACGCATTCGGTCTTTTGAATTACCACGTCTTCTTTAGTGATACCGATACCGTTGCCCTCAGTGTCTTCGATGACGACACGCTTTTTCTGAAAACAAAACTTATTGATACCAGGATCACATAAAACAGATGATTCACCTTTGATGGAAGAAGAGCGGATCTTTCAGGGTCAAAATGATATGTTCGAATGTCTGCCCTGTAAAATTATAGTTCAGAAGTATCGCTTCTTCCGTGTAAGAAAACTCACAAGGCTCTCCCTATTGCTATTCTTGCACGGCCGCTCCAATTCACTCTTGCCTCCGAAAGCTTGTTAAAAAAATTTTCGCGAGCGTCGTCCTCTTCTCCTAGGGACATCCAAAGATACTTAGCAGTTACGAACAACAACATAGAGAGAGTTTATTAACTTCAGGAACCATATACATATGTTGCATCAGCAAAATCATCAAAGCTTAGAAAGATGTTGTCTTTATTTGAATTCTCTAAAGCTGGCCGCAGACTTTATGTTAAAAGCATTGCGCAGATTGAGGCGTTTGCCAGTCGAAAGATAAAAAAATAAATTAAATATCTGCACTAAGTTTAAAGCATTGATAGCAGCAGCTTTGACCTCGTTTTGCTCATTGTAAATGGCAAATTCGAGTCGAGCAAAAGGATCCGTTGTAATGTGCTCCTCCAAAAGTACATGGCAGCTTCCCTGTGAGTTATAAGCGAAAGCTATGACATTTCCAAACACTAAATCATTGAGATCTTTTAGGCAAACACAATGCTGCACTGTATCCCGTTGTCTTGCCCAATATATTGCGGAGGAGTAAACTTGTCGCTTGTGACACAGACGTGAACTAAAAATCAGCATGCTAGAGTGATATACGTGCAGAAAGGAGAGCCTTACCAAAAAGAGAAGCCTTTCAATGGACTTAAAGGCAGTGTCCGGGCAAAAAGTCGATTTTGAGATTTTGTGCTTACCCGGGCCTATTCACTGTGCTGAATCCGAAAATCCACATTGGAAAGCACAAAAATGGCAAAAAAGGGCTCTAACGCAGGAGGGAAATCGAAAGTGGGCGGGGTCTTCCCCACTGTGAATTTCGCAGGTCCAGCTTCTGAAGCGATCTTCACAATTCCCCTAGCGCCCTGAGATCTTCACCGGGCAAATGCGAATGCATGACTTGAAATCGGAACCAAGGAGATCGCTCGAAGCTGGGAGCGTGAATTCACTGTGGGGAGGACCCCGCCCACCTGCTGAATTCCCTCCCGTGTTAGAGCCGTTTTTCGTCGTTTTCGCGCTTTCCAATGTGCATTTTCGGATTCAGCGTAGCGAATAGGCCCGGGTAAGCAGAAAATCTCAAGATCGAGTTTTTACCCGGACACTGCCTTTAACAGCGATTGATGATCAGGCAACAGATCTTTCAAATCTAACTCTGAGGAAGCAGGAACATACCAGTTTTCGCCTAGTTGCAGGCTTACAGGAAATCTAAGACAGATGATAAACAGAGCAAAGGATGAGTATGCTCTCTCTTCCGCACCTGTTCGTCAAATTGCCAGAGATCTTATTGTGCAATTTCATGAAAAATGGGTTACGACTGTGTTCAGCGCATTCTGCGGAAAGTTGTAGGAGTTCTTTGTGCAGAACAAAGCTAGAAATAATAGACATGCTGTGTTGGAAAATGGGAATGTAATTACAGTACTTCTCAACCAACGACTGTTCGCAATTAGTTATACGTTGAACAATTCGAGACTGCAACTCTTGGTGCATTCTCTCAAACGGTGCAGCCGACCACAGAAAAGGTGAGCCACAAAAGGCAAGATCTTCTACGACGCTATGATTAAGAAGACACTGAATGAATTCCAACGACACTTTTCCGACTGATTTACAGCATAAGGTTTTAGCGGCCAGAAGAGAAAAGAGTATAAACATAAGCTGGAAAACGTTTCTAAATTGATGCGATTACAACCGAGTTCTGCCATAAAGAGTCCTTCTCTGTTCCTGTCATTTTCGAGAGGTCCTCCAAGCCAAAAATGAACCTCGTTGCATAGGTCATGTTCGGTATCCTCTGGAGTGTCAAACTCAGAGGTTTGATGCGACTTCGGTTGACCGCTATTACGTGCGTTTTCGCTCCGCTTTGGAACAATTCTGGAATGATGTGGCATTTTCGAGCACAGTGTTAGGGTCATACCGCGAAATAGGTCGCATGTTATTCCTTCAAATATCAGATGGAGTGCATCTGGTCGGAAACGTTCCATAGAATGTAACTTCATCATTTCAGTTCTTCTTGAACATACTCATCAAATGCAGTTCCTGATAATGTTCTATCAACCAGATAGGCCATGCATCTCCGCATGAGCGTCTCGCAGCATAGACTCCCTCGTCCTTCGTATTGCAGTGCCAGCACTTTCGTTATACCATACAATTTTGCCCTCCACCTTCAATCCGGGAAATGTGCATAAATGGCAGCCATAAGCTGCATTCCAAACAGGCGAATTGAAGAGTATATGGAGAGCCTGACATTTTGCTGTTAAAAAGAAATCCTTTGAGTCAAGACTAAGCCTACACTAAAATCCACTATTCCGTTTTTGAGAACGGGAGTTAGCTTCTACGAAAAGCCCTGCTGATCAAGAATGTCCAGTCCTTAATGACTTAAAAGTGGCAATTCCTGCTTGACGCTAAACAACCCAAGAATACTGCGACTCAGCGAAGAAATATGAAGCTTACCGCGATACAGAAGCTCTAGCATAGCACGTGTTGGAGTTTTGCTCGTGAACAAGATGCCAGAAAGTATCATATTTTCGTAAGAATTTTTTTTCAGCGTGATCAAGACCTATAATTCTAAGATACAAGGGCCATGCTTGGGATCTCAAAAGTGTAGCTTGACAAAAGTATAGATAGAGACAGTAATCAACTTGGTCAATCTTTTGAACGTCACCCCTTCCCTGCTCAAGGTGAGGACAACATTCATACGCCTTGACAAAAAAGCTTCATAGCATTCCATATCCTTCTGATATAGACCGAAATCAGAAGCTTCAATGAGGCGATGACTCAAATTCCGAACGACAGTACTACGAGACTTTCGACATTAGTGTGGACATAACCAACTGTTTCATGGATGCTCTTGTGCTTTGCTATGAGCTGATGGATTTTCTTTTTCAAGACGATTCGCAATTGAGGAGCTAGGTTGACAAGATGGAGAGACGCTCTTCTGGCCATATGGGACCGTTTGGGTGTGATGCTGCAGTGTAGTAGTTATGAATCAGCATTAGAGTCTAGACAGTGTATGAACCCCTTCAAGGAGCATCCTGTCCGGTTGGAGACAGATGTTTTGTCTCTAAGGTTACCAGAGCATCCGTTGCAGAAAAAATAGCGAGCATACTCATAAGAGTGGAGAAGTTCAGCCTCTCATTTCAAGGAGATCATCCAGACAACTCTCCATTGCATCTGTCACGCCAAAATGCAATGAAACGTTGGCCATACAGATGAGCGCCTCCTGCTCGATATGAGGTGATGCCCGCTCTGGAGGCTGAGAATCCGTATCAATTGCTTGTGAAGGCCTTGTGAAGAATCGTGGAAAACATCCATGCTTGTTAGATAATGGGTGTGCACAGGGCTTTCATTGCTACTATTTCCAGCATTCTCGGATGTGGATAGAGCTGTTTCGGAGATGTCCGTTCCCAAATGTGAACGGATTCGCTTGGACGAAAGATGCTGGAGCTCCTCTAAACAATTACTTCATAGAAGTAAGTCAAATCTCTTAAAAAAATCACCGGCCTACCATTCAGAACATGTTTTGTTTTTCTATAATGTCTAATTTTGCTTTCATCCATTGCAAATTCTGAAATTACTACTAGCATAAAAGGTCCTCACAAGATAAGAAACCCTGGTGAGCTGAGCTCTTATAATGAAATCTACATCAGTAAATGCGTCTGGGAATGCTGATTCACGTGATTATACAAGAGTGTTCATGCTCGCGCAGCAAGTGGTCATGTACACTGTGTCCATGACCATGTACATGGTGTACACAGTGTATATGTCATGTACACTGCCGCAGCAAAATTTTGTTGTTTACTGTTAGTTTGTTTCTTTCCTTGATGTTTGAGTTATCTTTAATTGATGAACATCTCTTTATAAACATCCCTATAAGTTCTCATCACTGATGAACAAATAAATGCATTAGGTTAATTGGGAGATGTAGCTCGATGTGAGGGTTGAGTGAATGACAACGTGGAGGACGGCCTGTACAAGCCGCAATAGTAATTGAAGAAAACATAAACATGATTTCATGAGTAGAAAACTAATATAATATTAATGAAGTACTGAAAATCACACTGTTTAAATTTCCACCTTTTAAAAGCCAGCATGAGGGGTTGAAATGGACGTACAGTATTTAGCCAACGTCCCTCGGCCAAAATATAAGACGCTTCAAACAAACAGAGCCTAAACCTTCCTAAAAGGCCTTGTTTTAGCCGTTTTTTAGATATACTAGCGAAAAGAAAATATCGTGTTTTTTCTAACTAAAATTTTAGAATTTAGTCTTGCCAAATTACACCTAGCCCTATACGGAGATGGGCTACCTTGCAAAATACTTATCACTCCTGGACTCGCCTCAAAAAATAACTTCAGCGGCATAGGGATTCACCGTAAAAAACAATTCTGAAGTTCTCAGAGGGAAGAGAGGATACTCAAATAAGAAAGAAATATGATTCTTTTTCGTCCTGATAGTACTTCTAAGAAAATGCAGCGAAAGCAAAGTTTTTCAACAAGTTTTAGACTCTGTTTGATTGGGACATCTTATATTTCGGCCGATGGACGTTAGCCAAATACTGTACATCGTTGAGATGAACTCAATACTGTCGGCAATTTGAGCATTGCAAACCCCCTTGCAAAAAACCTGGACTTACCTAGGTTGCAGGAATAATGGTAAGCCTGGCTTATGTGTGACTCAAGAAATAAGAGCGTAGCTTCCTTGGAAGTTGAGTTGAAAATGAAACTGACGGTTTCGGCAGCAATACAGAATGAACATAATTTAAAGTTGTACTCGTTCAAACATGCGCTCGCGCTTCGGGACAAAATCGCAGCAAAATCGGGATAAAACTAAAATGATGACTCCCGCAGGTGCACCGGATTTTGGTGCGACTACCTACTTTGTGGGCGGATCTCCTGCGGGACTCAATGGCGAGTGTCTGAGTACACCGCTTTGCCTCTTGGCTGCGATGGGATAAAAAATTTTGGATAACGCAGCGATAGCAGATTCCGACCAGTTTCCACCGCGAACGAATAAAATGGGGTTTGAAAGTCTAAAAGTAAAGTTTAAAAGTCCATTTTCCTCCATTATGGACTTCTGTGGATGTCATTTCAAGAATTTTCTTGAAAAAAGGCTTGAGACTGTCCAGATTGGAATCATATTTATGGCAAGTTCACGTCAAGGTGCCAGCGACCTGCTTGCAAGACATGCAGGGCGGGAAGATTACTACGGCCCTAGATGTTTGGGCGACAATGCAAATACCTTCAGTGTTCCCGATGGAACGCTATCATCACCAATTTTGAGATCGTCATCACTTTGTTGTTGCACCTTCTTCTTCCTGGTCTTTGTGTTACGCAAAGCAATGACGTGTTGATCACTATGTTAGAGAAAGACGTGAAGGTTGGCGTTCAGACCGTGTTAACCTAGGACGTATTCTGTCACTGCTCCCCTCGTTCGGCCATGTGCCGCTCATCCGGTCACTGCGGCCTTTTTACGTTACTTGTTTGATTAGAGATCATGCAATTATAATTTTGCAGCTCGCTGTTTGTACTTTGCGAATTCGGCGGATTATTCGGCTCTGTATTGGCGCCCAGGAATTTTGGTACTTTTGCGTGAGTGGTAATAACCTATCAAGCACGTCTAGTACTGTTTCTAGAAATGAAGCAGTAGTGATGCATGTTGAAGATCTGCCAAAATTATTCTGTTTATTAATGTGTAGATATTCAGTTAGACATATGTATCATCTTCTTATTGTTGTTAGTAGCAGCTCTTTCACAAAGTCGTTCGAGTTCCATTCGGTCACTGCAAAGAATTTTTTGGAATAGTGCCGCTCAACTCCATACTCACCAGTGATACGCTAAAAACCGAGACATCGGCAAAGCATAGTGCCACGCAAGCTATGATGAGATTCAGAAAGGATAAAATAATTGCAAATATTAAGCAAAGGCTGCCCCAACCATACTCTTCACCCTTAGGATAGTACCCTAAATGAAAACTGTCAGAGAAAATCATTCGTTAGAATGGTGATAAGCAGTGCGACTGACCATTACCGGAGTTGTGAGCCGCCGAAAAAATGATCATAGCAGCTAGCAGAAATCCGAATATTAAGAAGGCAAACCATGTCAGTGGATGTAAGGCATAATCGCGAAAAAAGCACAAGCAGCTAGATGTAATCAAGTTTAACTGATGGAGATTATAGTAGGTCTATGTATAACTCACACAATACTGAAATTGTACAACATAGCCAAAATCTCGAGTATAAAAGAAGTGCAGACAAAACCCGCAACTAATTGCATGAACTTGCGATGTTTCTGCAATAGAGCCCGATGTTTTTGAGTATAAGTTGCTCGGAGAAAAAAACACACAAATTCCAGCTTAGTGCAATCTTTTTCGTCTAACAAGCATGACCATGTGTGAAGCTCTGAAAAGAAGCTTGTTCTTAGAGACTAACTTGAACGAACAAAACTGTGTCAATAGTTGAAGCTTGAAGCGAACAAAACTGTATCCATCACTGCCTAACATTTCTGTACACGGAAACCTTTGTACTAACTTGCAACTTACTTCCTTCGCCTTGCTTGAAAGCGGCTACTCCAGTCAAGACGATGCACAATGCCATGATTATGGCAAACGCAACTTGGCCACTTCCAGAAAATAAGCACATTTAAGACCTTAGTCTGCAAGGACACAAACTAGTCTTTGAACAGATAGAAGCTGTACAGAGCTGAAAACCAACATCTGAGATGAAGAATGATTAACTGCCTTCGCTTATTATGGCTGAACTATTTATAGCATTTATTATCAATTTTATCATTTGACCGCCTCTAGACCCTCTTACAGTCTATCCCAATCAGGCCAAAACTGGCGCGGCGGGAGTACGCATCTTTAAGGTACTGCGTCACGTCTATGGCCTGCTTGTCTGCTTCCTCTTCAATCTCTTCACTCTCTTCGACAGCGCGCATATGCAGCGCAAACTTCTCGCACGTGGACGCGCAGATTTACGACGTTTTGACCCGACCCGATTGGGACAGACAATATGCAACCTGTGGCCGTATTCATCAACGAACCTTGAGGTTAAATTCTACCTTAACAGCATGCCTCAAGGTAAAATCTAACCTCAAGGTAACTTTGCTATTCACAAAACAACCTTGAGGTTAAAATCTACCTGGTAGTCAGCAGAGTACTCACAGACGTTTATTCGGAACATGCCATGACGTATCGGCGGTGTATGAAATCCTCTGCTGCTGCTGATTTTCCAACTGCCCTGTTGATATTACCGTATATCTTGTAGGTTCACGTTACAATGTTCTGGCAGGAGAACATTCTAACAATAAGAACTAAGCAGTGATGTTTCAACATGATTGAACGTGGCAATTGATATACAGAGCGTCTCAAAAGTAAGTACAAACTTTTTTATCCTTAATATCTCTCCTCCCACATAGTCTTTTAGTTAGTTAAGCGCCATTCAATAGAGCAGGTTTTAAATCAGATTCGTAGTATGGAAGAGAACACCTGTAGCTCCTCGTTAGTGTAGAATTATCATAGAATTTTGAGGAGGGTTTTGAACAGTTAAGGGTTACATTTTGGCCCAGAATGGGTACTCATCAAACTGAAATCTTTATCACCAAGTCAAACAGAATCGCTTATTATGAATGTGAAGTTCAGAATTTTCCGAAAGGCTTTTTTTGAAGTTATGCCATGTTGACCGCAATAATCTTTCTACAGTGCCGAAAATCAGATCAAATTATTTGAAACGAGTATAAACTCTCAGCAAGACTGTCTAATAGAATTCGCAATTTTGAAAACACTGCTACACAACTTTCCGGCTTTTTGGAGCTTTTTTGGATGGCCTGTATCAAAATCTACAGAATCAAAATGTGCTGGAAGTTCTTACCGATTTTACAACAATTGAGAGCGATGGGTGATTCGTACCATACTACAAATCTAAGTTGTGACCTGCTTTATTGAATGGTACTTGCAACTAAGCAAAATGCTTTCTGAAAAGAGTGCTATCAACGATTAAAGAGTGTGTACTCACTCTTGGGACACCTTGTACATTAGGAAGAAGGCTACGCTTCATGGCTATTGGAGTGTATAGCGTTGAGAAGAGCTCTACCATAAGAACCGCACTTACCGCAAGTACAACCGTGAAGATTCACATAAGTTTTCCAAAATTTTTACTTAATTCGGCTTTACACTTGAACTTTGGTATAAATTGGGTGGTTCTAAATCGTGCCTTTTTTAGACTCATCCTCACAATATAAAAACAGATAAACACTCTAGTCCGAAATCCTTTGGTGTTCGCTTGAGAAATTCGTCAGATTCTTCAGCCTATAGTTCTTTAACGCCCTAACTTTTGCTTTTTTTGAATTTTCGTTCTAGACTTTGAAGAAGCTTTAACAACAGTCAGATAGAGTAAACAACATGCAATGCAGTACAATTTATTGGCATCGATAGCTGGTTTTTCAATTTTAAAATTGCCATCTTGATGCTATCATATTTGATATTTGTTTATCCCAAACCTCGTAGAGCACCAGACGACAAACAGCTAGGGTGCCATGATGCAGCTTCCTTTCCTCTTTTGATCAGATGTCTTTTTATTCTGATTCTTAAAGGCTTCGAAGAAAAATTGCCATAATTCTATTTTTTTGATACTTCTCAGACTGCATACGAAATTTCAAAAATCAAATTTTGACACCTTAAACACGTTTGCCTGTTGAAATTAATGTTCAATCGTAATTTTTGGAAGTCCAAATTCGCGAAGATTTCGTAGTGTTTGAAGCGTTTGTACATTTTACGACTTCGCAAATGACTTGAATTGTTTTTAACATACTTAAAAGCCAGCTACAACACCAAAACACTGGATTTTGTAGCAAATTGTTCGCTCTATTCAACTGTTATCAAAACTTCTTCAGAAACCCAAAAGAGTTCCAAAAAAATAGCAAAGCTTAGGGTATGTTAACACATTGGCCCGTAGTAAACCTCGATCATCGGAGGTGACCTCCCCTGAAGCCCATAAGTAAGGTTTCGTCAGGTGAAATGACGACAGCACGCTTCCCCATGCTTTAAGAATGCAACGTCACCTGACATGTAAGTCTCCGGTTAGGTTCGGCAGGGAGGTCACCTCCCTGCCGAGTCATCGGAGGTGAGCCGAGCGATGATGTCCAGAAATAGTGTGCTAAAGAGGAGATTTAGAGAAAGTTCCCGTAAGTTACTCCTGAGTAACTTACAATACACCTCTCTTCTCCTAATAATGCAGGTAGATTCAACGTAAAAATGCACACATTCTCGCTGTTGTTGGATTGGCTCAACGAAACTGGATATTTTCAAATGTTTCTCGCTGTTGCATTGGTATTTTGCATTTCTGTTCACAATAGTATGGACAGTACGATCCAAAAAAGGCTCACTTGGTGGCCGGACTTTTTCTCCGTCCTGTTTATAAACATCTTGATCGTTTCTTAGGAGTGATTTTGAGTGAACTCAATATTATGCCTTGAAATGTTTTCAGATACCGATAGTGTTATGCAGAAACACACCTCTGTGTTCAATATTTTGCTGATGGGATCTTTCTGCCATCACTGAGATTACAGTTTTCACCTAAATTTTGAGCGTCGTAAAATTCATAGCCTGTCACTTCCATATTTTTGCTAAATATCATCTCCGTTCAGTCCATTTTCTTTCTTTTTTCTGCATACTCGAGCATTTTTTTGATTCCATCATGATGTGCTTGCAGATGACAGGCCAGTTAATCTAAACGTTCATTAGAATTGTATTTTCTCTTTTGTCGAGCTGTTTACGTGCTGTGTTGTATCACAAACGAAGTTTCTGAACACTTATTAGAAGTTGCTGCGATTAATTTTCTTGGAACTTTGTTTTCAATGCAACTGGCTTTTTTCAGAATGGTCATGCCCATCTTTTGACCCCGTAGAGGGTATTAAACCTCCATTTTTGGAGTCAGGAAGTCGGATCCGCCTCAAAATGATGAGCTTGTTGTTATGGCACTCAAGAGTCTTAGCAGTTTGGAGATCGGTCAGTGATTTGCATGTTGCTTTTCCATACGCTTACTGCCAAATTCATTTTGACAGAATTATCTTTTAGGATGAGGATTATGAAGATGATGATATCCCCAGTGTAGTTCCAAAGACGCAGAGGAGAGAAAACGCTTTCAAATATTTCATCACTTCAAGCTCACAAGCTTCAAGAATTCAAAACGTAAGTCGTTCTGGTTTCTGCCCATATCATACGGGAAGGGTTTGGTTTTTTCATAGCTTCTTTTTCAGTTGATTGCTACCTTATATCACGACTCAGCTTACGACTTTGACTTTCTTATCGAATGTCACAAAGACGTCATCACAACAGACATCTTCACAAAAGGACTCATAGACATTCTGAAGCAAGGTAGAATGAATGGTTTTGTGAAGGTCACTATATCAGTGTATTCAGCCCTTGCACAGAAAAAAACGCCTGCAATCCAGAGATCAGTTTACATGTGTCACAAAGACCTTTTCTCGTGCGAGTACACCTTGAAGCAGGTAAGCTAATCTTCATGCTTTTCTTGCATGGTAAAGGTAGCTGACATCTTAGATTAAAGTGAACAACATAGCCGCTAGCATGGGAGCTCATGCTGAAAGGGTTAATTTCTCTTACGTATCGGTATTTTCTACTCATAAACACCGTACAGGTTTCCAAGCTTCATCGAAGAACGATATTTGAACTTGGTTACGACAAAGAAACAATTGAAAAGGCTATTCCAAAGAACGAGCCTGTGAAACTCATATCTGTAGCTATTTACAAAGCGTGGTAGGTCTGAATTTCAACCCACTTTGCTATCTCTTCAACTTGTAATCTCATGTTTAGGAAACTCTATTCATGTCGCGATTCTCTAACACTTGTCGTGGTTGAGTAAGAGAATCAAAACCAAATCGATCAGAGGCATGTGGAGTATGGACTGGAAGACGTAGGAATTCCCGTGGACCAAACTGAACGGAAGACTCTGGCAGAGTGCAGCTATTGGTAAGTGCTCAGTCATCTTTCGTTTTTTCTACTCCGTCTAAAAGTCCTATCTTAATTTATTTTCATTGTTTTATTGTTGAGTACCATCCATTTCATGCACCTAGTTCCTTTTATTTCCAAACCAATGGGCATACTACATCGTGCGGAATCATGTGGTAAATGAGCGAGCATAAGTTCTAGCAATTGTTTTCGGCGCTTTGTGGTCCATTTGTAAGATCGTGACGACGGATTTGACTGCGCTCTTTGCGCCCACAACAGCATAAAACACTCATACAAAAAGGGATTACATCAATGCTCAGCTCAATACTTCCATTGTTTGAATAATATCATAGGTAAGCAAAAAAAAGCATTTGAATAGGGACGAAAACCAAGAAGATGCGGTTGCCGGAAGTTGCGGTCGCACCAGCGTCACGACTTTTTGAATGTCCTGTACTTCATTTGACTGAAACCACGATAGTGAATTCGTTATTCTGCACGCCGCAGAGGTTGCATGATCGCACTGTTGCGCCATCTTTTAGATCAGACGAGAACAGTGTAGGTTTTTCAATTTGAAAAAGGTTTTTGAAATTTAGAACTGTCGTTCCTGGCGTTCGTGGCAATGTATTCTTGATTTGTAGTCGTGCAACTCAAAACCATATTCATTACCCTCTCCGATGCTGGACTCTAAAAGGACTGCACATGCGATTCTCAGTAAGTTGGTATTTCAAACGCTTCTTGCATCTTCTAAACTGTCATCTTGCTCTCAGAATCCTTTCGTGATAAGTTCGTTGGAACGTGTTGATCATGTTCAAAGTCTGAACAAGATTCAAACATCCCACACGTGGCATTTTCGAGTGTCAGGTATATCATTTTCAAGTATTTCTTCACAGTACTTTGTTGTCTTCTTTGATTGTCATTTATTGAAAGCCGGGGAATACTTCACGCGATTTCCATCGCGATCCGATTTCGCAGCACTTCATATAACTAAAACTCGTCGTGGGCATTCTGTGTGTTCATGAATTGAAGAATTTGATGAAAAACGAATTGAAGAAATTGATTACTGGTGTAAATTGACCTTATATGCAGTCCGCAAGTATTAGAATTGAAAACATTTGACTGTTGGCAGATCTCATGCAAATCACGCATCGAAATCCCGTGAAGTATCCTCTGGACTAAATTAAGCAAATCAAGGTTAATGATTTCAGGTTTCATTGCTGACTTTGTCACTCTTATTATACGCGCCTTTTGCCATGACTCCGACAGGCAAAGGTCAGTTTGTTTGTGATTCAATCATTTATGCTTATGTGTTTTCTGTGTCCTCAGCGCCCATGCTGCGCACGATGGAATAACCGAAGGCTTGGTTCTCTGTAATTCGTGATGATGTAATTGATTCACTACTCAAAGGCCGGGCATACTTTACGGGATTTCAATCGCGACGCGATCTGGCAATTCGCCAGAAGTCTTCAACGGGTGGATGAAATACCATATCTTCTCTACATTAAAAACGTGCTTACAGTGAGTTATGGACAGTTGGGATATTGCCAAATCGCGTCGCGATTGAAATCCGGTGAAGTATGCCCGGGCTTCAAGTAGTGAATCAATTACGTCATTATGAATTACAGAGAATCGATCCTTCGGTTATCCCGTGTAACTTTTTTTGAATCGATTTATCAATTTTGAACACTGATTTGAGATTAGCGTTTAAAACGACTATTTCGCTATACAGTCGAGTAGATCTGACGACAAATGTAGCAAAAGTAACTCAAAGTATCATATTTATGGTCTCCAACAAGAACTTCACCAAAGTTTTTCGATTTTCCGTCACCTTGACTACGGTCAAAACTTAGACCTTAACACTGTAACAACATTCAAATTAGTGGAAGTTAATCGTCATACACAAGCTAATACGAAACAAACTCATTTGGTCAAAGTCTTTTCTAACCTTTTTCAGAAAGTCCTTCTAAAATTCCGCATGCCGTATCTAGACACATTGTCCAATACTTCATCAAAAATTCGGACATTCTTCTCAATGACACGAACGTGCGAACGTATGCACAAAATACAAAGAGGATGACGGCTTACCGGAAATTAGTCATTGAAATAGCGGAAGAGTACGGCTTCGAAATAACTGAAAAGCAAATCCGCAACCATTTCGACCACTACAGATCCAAAGTGATATCAAAGGGAATGACTTTCAGAAGAAACATTAGCGCGGAAAAGAAGTAAGGGCTCAGCTGTGACAGCTAAATTATCTATCATAAACGATATCTTCAGATACCGAACAACGACTGGTGGCGGAGTCATACCCTCAGAGGAGAGTTCTGCGAATAAAAATGATACATTTCCGTTCAACACTAGCATGGAGGCAGAATTATGGAAATTCTTCGACAAAACACCAGCAACCGTCCCATTTCGCGAAGGCGAAAGCGCTGTAGGCATAGTAAGTTGTGACAGCAGACGCCGATATGATGATTGTTTAGCATTTGCAGAGAAAAACTCCGGTCCAAAATGCAGAAAATGAACGTCCTGAGCCCCTAATGGTTAGACGGGATTTTTCCCTTTCCTTCTCCTTAACGATTATCTTTCATAATCTTCCTTTTAGGATGAATTCGAAACAGATAGCGACGACGAGGAAACCGGCGGATCTTATGAAAGAGGAGGCAGATGCGGAGGAGGGCGTTCAATGCGAGGAGTCGGAACTGGAGGAGGAAGATCTTTTATGCGAGGAACCGAAAGAGAAAGAGAATATGGGGATGAGGAAGAAGAAGAAGAAGAGGAAGAGGAAGAAGCAAGAGGAGGTGGTGGTGGAGGTGGAGGTCGAGGAGGGGCGGGCGGGTATGAGGCACCTGGTAGGGGCGGCGGTGGTGGTGGTGGAGGTGGATCGAACAGTAACCGAAAACGCAGGATTACAGAAAAAGAGTTGGTAGAAGAGCAGTTTCGCCTTTGCCAGGTAATCAGAATTTTAGTTTGAAAATCTTCTCAATTGCGTATAACTTCCAGGACCAAAGGAGATTCTTCAGCGAAATGATACATACTCTAAATGTAATGTGTGATTACATCGCCTCGCAAAAGAACGTGCAAGGAACATCAAACGGGCAGCACGGAGGGTTGGGTGGTGGAGGGAGGGAACCAACCGAATTTGTTGCAGATAAGAATATTGAAGAATCTGTCGTCTCTAGCCAATAATGAATAGTGAAACTGGATTCTCCATTGATATTCTTTCGTTTTTCTGCTTACATTCCAAATGGTATGTTTTGTTACCGTACAAATCTGTTGTTTTCTGAATATATACGTCATATAAACTCGATAGAAAGTAGATGATAGTTAGTCATTCAAACAGCTGAGCTCAGAGTTCGCATTTTCTTCTGCTCAGTGAATCGTTGGTGCTGTCAGAAAGTGAACAGTCATGGTTTTCTTGTTTGCTAAGAATTTGGACTACTCTTCATCATCTATCGTTCATCTAAGATGTATTCATTGCAGTTGCAAAATCCATCAAAGCGGCAGGGTAAGAATCCGTCAATTAGCCGAGTATGGTAATGAATTCATTGGTTTGGAAGCAGAAACTTAGTCAAATTTGGGTATCTGTTTTACTAGTGTCCATGTATTCATTGTTGGTTCTATATTTTCATCTTGTCGCTTCATTTCCGTGATTCTCTCAACCATTGTATACCAAGTCTTTATTTTCCATAAAGGATTAAAGTGCCCGGAGAAGCAAAAGTTCGACGAAAAAAAATCAGACAATCCGCGTTGTTGGGTTACAAAAGACATCCTGTTATATGTGGTTTTACAATATGAGCTCTTGTTAGGGATAAAAGTGATATAGCTCTAAAGCCATTTGTATATACATAATAGAATGGAATTATGAGACCATCGAATTACAAACAGTGCGCTTTGTTGGATTCATTATTGTTGTCGCAAACAGACAGCTACATTTCACGCGACTGAGCGCTATCCCTAGCACTTGACGGTGCCCCGGCATCACCTTGTGAGGCTATTTCTTCTTCTTGCATGCGAAGGCATGAACCTTGTCCAAATCGTGCATCCATTACGATCTTGTGGATATGCATTTTTGCAATGGCCTTCTGCAAACAGTGCACTTATTTTCACTTCAGTTGAAGCTAAACCCACAAATGAATAAATTGGAGATTCGAAGATATACAGGTTGTCTCATGAGAGTTTCGAGTATCAGCGGCTCAGTTTAGCCTGTCAGCTCGCTTGAATCTTGCGCCACGTCTGCGATCGTCTCCTCTGAGCATTTTCCCGCGCTCGCTAGCCTTCAATTGCAGCATAGGCATGGGAACATGTCCAGATGCAACGTTAGCAAACGCGGCGTAATCTCCAGCTGAGAAGGCCGCGCAGTCCAGCTGCTGATGAAAAAGCCGCTGTCAACAAGATAATCTACGAACCGTGAACATATGACAAAAGGCTCAAAGGAAGCAAACGGTCATCTGCACACCTCATCATCATTAGGGAGACTCAAATTTTGGCTGATGAATTGCTGTAACTGGAGATCAGCACCGCATTGGCTTTGCTGCATATATCCTGGACCAAGTGAGGGTCAGTGACGCTGTGGCGAGGCCAATACACGCGTTTGTGGTCGTAGCTGGTCGCCCATCTATAATATACAAAGTTAAGTATCTAAGGCAAACCTCAACAAAAAACACTACCGATAACGCTATGTCACGCGAACTTCTTCGCGTTACAGCTTGATGACCACTGACCATCATTGTGCTTAGCGGCGAATCTCCCAATAATGATACATCAGAATCTAAAACAAATATAAAAGATGCTTAATTGGGGCTGATCATTTTGAAAGTGGGTGTTGATTTCCTACCGTGTTGTTCTATAACGGAGGTAGCTTTCAATGCCACCATCAATGATGATATCATCGGCGAGCTGACCACGAGTGCCACCGCCACCGCCATCGCCAAGCCTATAATTTTCTGGGCGCCATTTGTGTAAAAAGTGGTGGGATCAATTAGCCTTGTCATAGTCATTGTCATACATCTTTACTATTACTTCATCCCTGGTGGCGAAAGATTAATACATATTCAAAACTATTCAGAGCTGTAAAACATACCTAGGCCCTACCGCACAACCACTGCAGATATGCACAAATGGAGAGCTGATACACCAGCAAATATTGGCTAGGCAATAGACGATGGGACGGAAGGTTCGTAACAATACCATTGCCGCGGTAAGTATATCTAGAAATAAACAAGCAACGGTAATTAAGATGACAGGCAGAAGACTCACACTTCCAACAATGAGATCATCTTTTTCTGCAAAGAACCACTGGAGGAGTGATGCACTGTTCTCCAAACAGTTCTTCATAAAGCTCACGCAGCTAAACACAAAAAATTTTTGGGTAGACTGACATAGACATCGCAGAGAAAGAGACTTACCTTTCGACGATTCTCCTCTTTTCTCATTCTTCTCACATACAACGTATCGAAACAACTCGTCATATCACCATTCTACAAGTGGGAAGATAGAGGAAGAACATGGAATAGATCTTTGTTACCTTTTCAAAAAGGTGTATCCATATCCATCGCAGCAGATCTCTAAGGTTAAAGGAGAAAGGACCGCTGTGGAGGTTTTGTTGCGGTGATGATGATGATTATTATGATGTTATTTTTGAATGTTCATCTAAAAAGCCGTCAAATCCTCCCATATTTCCAGTTCGTTAAAAGTTTTGGCGCTATTCCAGTGTCCGGGCCCCAAAATTTTTTTGCATGAATTTTGTTGCAACTAACAAGGAAGATACTTGGTGACCGTAGCCTGGGACCGAGTGGGACACTCAGGTTGTAAAGCCCTGTACATCCCATTGCAAAGCGCCACGGTCACCAAGTATCCTTTCCTTGTAAGCCCAGAGGGGGGTATTCGGCTGTAACTGTCACAGCTTGTAGCGAACAAGACTAAAATAATCTTGCTTGATAATGGATCTATGGATAATCATGAGGCATCTCCGAAACAATACAGTCAACTAGTTATGGCTACATGAGACACAGGTCACAACTTTTGTGCGCCTGCGGCATTTTGCCCGAAGAAAACCTCCATGAAGTCAGAACCGTGCAACGCGGGGAAGGGGAGACCGTAATCGGACATGCATAACTTCTACCAAATACAAACAAGTTTCTAGTATCACCCGCAGATAATTTTAAAAAACAGGCTCTCTAGTTCTACCCGTGGATTCTCATTTTCAGAATTTGTTTGTAACTCTTGTGTCCTGATCTTTTACGCAAAACAGACATTGTTACTGAAAAGAAGGACCTCGAAAACACATAAATCCCAATTTTGGTCGTGATTGGTTCATTGTGATTAACGAACTTCACTTTGGAGTGCTTTCTGAAGTCTCAGTTTCAGCATACGCCTTTTGGGTTCCGTAATACAGTCGAGTCGAAAAGACGGTCAGAAATGAAGAACCTTCATTTTTCTGGTATTAGGCGCCAAATTAAATGCAAATTCCGTACTCTGCGAAAATTACGCACTTTTCATTTTTGACGCCTAAGTCAAAAACGATGTTGGTTTGAATTATAATCCTGTATCGGCGCCGTTTTCGTAGAGTGCTAGACTTTTGGTCACTTTTTTTGCGCTAAAGTGCATGGTTTGCACATTAACTTGCCAAACGTAACCACAACTCTGGGAAAAGTAGTGATACGGACCCAGCTTTGCGCGCTAGAAATCGAGTAGACCTCTTGGGGTGCACTTTTTGAGAGACCTACTCAATGAGTCTGCTCGTGCATGGTGAATCTAGATGTTGGCAGTGTGTCTTGTGCAAAAAATTGCGGCTTGATACCTTGCCTGCGACTCCTTCTGTGAATTTCGTTACAGACAGACAGACACACACACACTACAAAAACACGTAAACACATTTAGCCCTCATTATTAGTCATGATCTATAAGGTTGGCTCGAAAGTTCTCGGACATTTTCAGACGCAAATCCTCGAAATCTAATGCATGCACATTCTCGAAAATTTGCAGCTGTACTCTCTCTCTTTCTCTCTGATTGTAGCTGATACTTAAGCAAGGGGGAGGAGCCTACGCTTATATGAGTCACAAAAATGTGCAAATGACTTGTTCTTACTTGGAAACAAGTAAAATAATTTTTGAAACTTTTGGAAATTCACTAAGCCCTATATCGAGGTTATGGGTCTGCAAATTTGGGAAGCATACCGAGAAATTTTTGGAGGGCGTGGCTGACGCCATGCACCTTCATCAGGAAAGTTTTTTTTGCCGCTTCCTCCTTCGAATGGAAAAAAATGGAGTACGTGGAGGTTTCAAAACGTCCATAGAAGTAGGAGATCTGACTTAGGTCAAAATCTTATGCTTTACAATTCTCGCCTGAATTTCCACGATAAACATTAATGATGCTTGTGCTTATCGTAATTTTGTAGAGATAGCTTTCCTGTATTCAACGGTGTGCATCATGCCCCAATCAGTTTTACAACGTAACAGAGACTGTCTAGATGCAATGTCCTTTAACTTTCGAGCCAAACAAAAGAAAACCATATCTAAAACCTTCTGACATACCCGGCTCGGTCGAGTGGCTCTGAATGAACTGGAGTAATACGATGAATGTTATTCTAACGAATGCGAATGAAACATTAATCATCAACATACTAAAAACCACAAAACCAGTTGTTATTTGAAAACGAATTTCAGTGGAACATTAGAAAACAACATTCGAATGTTATACGTTTAAAATCTCGATTCCAATAATTCTTTTCGAACTCGTATTTCTGTGTTCGAAGTTCTCAAACTGTGTTCGAGGCAGCATTTCTGATTATTCGAGTTTGCAAATTTTATTCGAAACCTCGTTTGATTATTAGAGTTTCCGAATTTTATTCGGAAATACACCGACTTTCGAATTTTGAATGCGAATTTTCGAATGTATGCTTTTATTCGATTCGGACTTAAGTGTAGTGTCCAAGCTACTTTATTTTGCTCTCTTTGACGTATGCCGCGGTGTTGTCGATCCTCGGGCTTAACGTAAGGTAGGACTTCGTCGTATTCCTTTTCTCAGTTCCGACTTTCACTGCTGACTCATGCCCCCATCAGCAAGTTTGCTTACGCTATTCGTGTGTTCATCTTGCCTGTTATGTTTCCGAAGCTTACGTCAAATCATGATGAACCGTCGAGTTGAAGAAGTGGACGCGAAAACGGATGTTCTTGGTTTTCTCCACTACGTCATAGATTGTCTTGAATATGTCCACTATTCTGCACGTTTCCCTCCCGCTCAATTCCGAACCTAGATCGTTTATCACTTCAATTTTCGGACCTGGGTAGGTGCAAGCTGAGCATTAGATTGTTCGTTTCGCTGAGCAGGAAGGAGCATAGGCACTGTTGTACTTCATGAACTTCGTCTTCGCAGATGCAACTGTCCTCTATGTTTCTACCCAGGTCGTCACTCGCCAACATTCTTCGCTTGCGTAATGCTTAGTGTTACCAACACAATTCGTTAGCATACCTTCGATACATAGAGCCACATACTCTGGTAACTTTCACTTTGAGGGCTATGAGGGACACAACCTTCACCTGGAAAAAACAGAAGCCATCCGGGACTTCGCCCAGATGTTATTATCCTGACTATATCGGAACGAATGTTAATAAAGCAAATATAGGGAATAATATCTTTAGCTTATCTCAGCGAAACCGAGAATCTGCGTTTTCATAGTCTTTTTTTACCTTGAAAAGAAGGTTTCTGTGGAATTTTTGCCAGAATTCAGGACAAAATTCCTCAGTTATCCTCTCATTTGAACAAAGTCGAGTTTCAGAAATTTAGGAAAGCCATTGGAGTTAAATGAAAACGAGAAACTGCGCTTAAATCTTGCGCAGAGAGTCGCGCACGAAAACGTTGTATCTCGTTAATGAGTGATTTTCAAGGCGTGGGACGTTGTCAGTTCTCCTCGTCGTGTCATGACGATCAGAATGATATATAATGTTGCAGGGTTACGTTGAGACCCCGCGGAAATCTACGACCAGAGCCAAATGCCCCGCCGGCTCTGGTCTGGCTCCACTGCTCGTCTGCGTCTCCGCGCGCTGTACTCTACCTCGCTACCCCTAACGCGGGGCGCGGTGCATTTGGCTCTGGTACCCTTTTCTTCGCTGTTTCGAACCCAAATTTAGCAAGATATACAGTGACCGCCAAAAAGTTGCGGACAAGCCTCCCTCCCTTTTTCATCGCTCTATTTCAGAAGGGAAACAAGGATAAAAAATGTAGTAATTGCATGAGGTGATAGAGCTCTTCAAGATCTACAATCTACACTTTGCGTTTTTCGAAAAACATGTATTCTAAAAATTTTAAAAAACTTTTCCTAAAAAAAGTCGGAAAATGGCCGCGTCACAATGTCGCGGACAATAATTCTTCGAACGCAAAAATTTTCTTTTGAGTCCTGTTCTGAAGCGGAAACACAAGTAATCCAAACGGGTAAGCATACTACTATACAGAGCTCGTCAAGAACTACACACTGGTTATGGTTGCTTCCCAAAAAACACAAGCTTGAGTTTTATTTTGCTTTTTTTAAAAAATAACTTCTAATTCTCCTTTTAAAGCCAAGTTTCTTTACATGGAAACCTACTCACGACATTCCAACAACTCTGTTCGGATAAAGTAGATGCTCTTTACCATTCTCCATGCATCTGACGTGTGCTGATGAGTTTCTTTGCTGAAAATGGCTTCTGACAGTGCGTGTACTTGACCCCACCTGCACCTCACCACTGACTTGTACCGCTTTGCAGGCTTGTAACTCGGCTTCTAGTCAATTCGTGAGCCTGCAATTGAGCTCATTCGAAAGAACGAGACTTCCTCTACACGATGATATGCAAAAGAGATGGGTGTAAGAAACAGCGGAGATTTGGCGGATGGGGTGGAAAAATGCGGCCTCAGTGGTGGTTGGAGTGAAGACTCTTATCAACACCAAAACAGTTCTAGAGCTTCAAAATGGATCTATTACAAGAACATTGACAGTTTTAAGCTTCCAGGATTGAACTGGTAGCGAAAGAAGCTCTATTCAACTTTAGCTGGATATCCTCACCCTACCACGGAGGCCGCATTTTTCCACCCCATCCGTCAATCTCTGCTGTTTCTTACACCCATTTCTTTTGCATACCATCGTGTAGGGGAAGTCTCGTTCTTTCGAATGAGCCTAATTGCAGACTCATACATTGACTACAAGCCGAGTTACAAGCCTGCAAAGCGGTATAAGTCAGTGGTGAGGTGCAGGTGGGGTCATGTACACGCACTGTCAGAAGCCATTTTCAGCAAAGAAACTCACCAGCACATGTTCGATGCATAGAAGATGGCAAAGGGCATCCATTTTATCCGAATAGCTTTGTTTGAATGTCTCGCGTGGTTTTCCATGTGAAGAAATTTGGCTTGAAGCAGGGAATTAGAAGTTGTTTTTTGGAAAGAAGCAAAATAAAATTCAAGCTTGTGTTTTCTGGGAAGCAACTATAACCAGTGTGTAGTTCTTGACGAGCTCTGTATAGTAGTATGCTTACCCGTTTGGATTACTTGTGTTTCCGCTTCAGAATAAGACTCAAAAGAAAATTTTTGCGTTCGAAGGATTATTGTCCGCGACACTGTGACGCGGCCATTTTCCGACTTTTTTTAGAAAAAGTTTTTTAAAATTTTTAGAATACATGTTTTTCGAAAAACGCAAAGTGTAGATTGTAGATCTTGAAGAGCTCTATCACCTCATGCAATTACTACATTTATTTATCCTTGTTTTCCCTTTGAAATAGAGCGATGAAAAAGAGAGGGAGGCTTGTCCGCAACTTTTTGGCGGTCACTGTATATCATTTTGAAGCTCTTGATCTCTATTTTCACGCCAACAACGTCCCAAAACCATATTTTTTAATTTAAACGAGAAATCCGGTAAAAACCTTGTTTTCGAAAATCTCTTGTTTTTCTCCTAGTTTAACTATTTTCATGCGGTTTTTTCGTGCATTATATAGATCTTGCCTGTGTTTATAACACAGACAACCACCTTACCTCTTCGATTATGGTGGAATTTTTTGCGAAAAATCGTATAAAGTACGTTTTTCTTTACCTTATTTTGTTTCAGTGCTTTCGCATCGATTTTTTTTCCAGCTTGGATGACTGTTGCTCAGAACAATGAGCGAAATAATCCAGACAACGTCACAGGAAACAGGAACTCAATGCAGGGGTAAAAATTCAAAGGACCCATCAAGAATTAAAACCCCGTTTTGCGAATAGCTGGTCCTGGAGAGAAAACTTGCACTCTGAAAAGCCACCAAATGAAAGATTTCAAGCCTTATTGCAGCGTTTTTTTGGGTTACAACAGTTTCTTTTGCTTTTTGTATCTGTCACGTCATTTTCTCTTCTCTGATCTTCTCTAAACAACCTTCACTATTTGTGACGTCAGATGTTAAACAACCTTCACTTTTGAAGCCTTGTCTCTAGACTATCGAAGGTATGTTCGTTAGCAAAGATGTAACTGTAGTGACGGTGATATAGACCCGGTCGACTTTCACTCCCATATTGTCCAAGTCCGAATGACATTCCGAGAACGGAACTGAATAGCTTTGGCGATATAGTGTCTCCATGTAATTATAGTTGTAAAGGCATTGTATAGCTCCCCAATTTTTTTGATATACTTGGTGTACAGAGTTCATAGACTACGGGCAACAGAGAAATGGGATATACCATTCTTCTTTATTGTACAGCGATCTCTGCTGTTCTTTCATTGATTTGGAACCGTCAGCAAGTGCGCAGCTTGCCAAGCTCTTGCGAATTAGCGAAATCTTCAAATGTTCTAGCTTGATGTATGGGGATCAGATGCTGTACAATTCTCCACTAACATGACAGCACGTGAACCTTGTAGGAAAGATTAGAGACGACATAAACTTCCTCCCTGAGTTTACTTGGAGGCCGCTGGATGTGGCTGTCAAAGCGATCCGTCTTAAAAATCGTTGACCCCCCCCCCTCATTAACCTTCGGGAAGCAGCCATGGTTTCGTACCGGTAAGTGCGGTCATCTTGGTCTTGAAATTGACAAAGGTGGGCGGGCGTTGCATGTTCTTTCCTAGCCTTCGCGGCGTCACTTGCTACTTTTCTCCTTCTAAGATCTTCTTTCCTCGCTTCTCTGCCTCACTTCGCAAGCACGAGGGTCCAGCATTTGCTTGTGGTTCGTACTTCTCCTTTGGCACCTCCAGAGTCCCCAATGAAAAACGATTTCTCGCACATCTCAAATTTTCGGCCCCTTAGCGCAGTCGTGTAATACATTGGATGAACATTTCGTCCCTGTCGATGTTGTTGATCAATATCTTGCCAAAAGTCGAATGTAAAGACAACAGATTCCAGTTGATAGTGATCATGGAACTTTGTTTATTAAGCCTTCTCTCCGTTCCATGAAAAGTGAGAGTTAGAGGCGATGGTCCGCTTCCTTGTACAACTTCGGAACAACAGCGACGTCCGTCAAGCAGCACCTTCTGCTCACGATGATGTGGTCAATTTGGCACTCTCCCTGAAAATTTCCTGACTTAACTGTAGGAGGTTTTTGCAATCCATGGATGGTCCTCATCGTCATGATGTATTCGAGCACCCTCTCCCCTATTCCACTCTTCCCCGTAGATTCCCATGGGTTCCGCAAGAGACCTTCTTGCTCTACTCTTGAGTTGAGATCACCGACGATGATCTTGTAAAAAAACATATCTTTGTGTTCCATATATAAGGTATCAAGCTTGTCGAGCTTGTTCTCGTCATAGCTTGATGTTGATATATGCAATGAAGACGTTCAAAGGGAATCAATCCACTGTCAGTTACTTGAAGGAGTCTATGTTCTCGAATTCGTGTTGTGTGGAAAAAAACTTCCAAGCACTGACTCCTCTGCTGTCGCATGTTTCTAAAAACAGTTGTTCTCCAATCTAAATTGTGGCGTTCAGCGAGTGATGTCTTTTTGTTATGTCTTCGTGTCTATTCGTATAGGGTAGTAAGTTTGACGGGTTCAAGTAGTGCGCTTGCGGGGGTCGACGGCAAAGTGATTCATAATTGACAAAATTAAAACAACCTGACAATTCTAATGATATATTGAGACACGTTTACCTTGATATTGCAGATAGTGTTAGAACTCCTCACTAAAGGCAGATTCCAGGCAAAATGGGTAACAGACTTTTTTATAGGGAAAAGCCGAACTAATCTTTAGCGGGTGGTCAAATGGCTCATTCGTGAAAGATAAACCAATTCTAAACTCTTCAATATTTTAGCCATGGACATTGTTCAGTCTCCAGTCACAATTCCATAATTTTGCTCCCACAGGACAACTATATAAGTATACTTGGTAAGCGTGTTTAGTCGAAGTGACCTTCTCAAATGCGACCTATACCACTTTGAACAGCATTGCACAATGACTCCAAATCTGCCTTCATTATCTGCCAAGCGCAGTTTTGAGCGTTTCTTGGAACGAGAAAGCGGGATTTAGGTGAATTCAGTTCCCTTAGCGCTCAGATAAAGCAGTGTTAAGTATTAGCATATTAGGCAAAAAGTGTCCGTTGCAAGAACTGCTCTAGTACTCGACACTGGACGATTTGAGCAAACTTGTGTGATTGTGTGCGAGTTTTGCGTTCAGCTTTTTCTCCAAAGAAACGCTCATAACTCGACGTACAGAGGCGCTTGGCAGACAATGAGGCAGCTTTGGAATCAGATTGTAATGTCCTTCAAAGCAGTACAGGTCTTATTCAAAAAATCCACTTTGAAACGCTTCCCTTGTAAGTTACAAATCTAGAATTTTCGTGAAGCTTGCTAAGTATAGTAGCCAGCGCTCGGCAAAGGTGGCTTGTAAGCAAGCTGGGTATCGTTTTTGGGACAAAAGGAAAGAGGATATCACTTTTGTGGCCGAGCAAACGCAACCTAGGTTATGTTTTTTTGGTTGACGTTTCGTCTTGTGAGGTTTTTTACGTTTAGGGTTTGCGGTCAAAGGGTACTTAGTGAAATTTTAAGAAAGTCAAGGAGGACTTCGTTTTTTTGTGTTTTCGGAAAGCCACCCCGTGTCGAGCCCTGATAGTAGCAGAACGTTGAGTTTTTGAGAGCCTTGAGAATGCGTATGCAATATTCGGCTCAAGCAACCTATTGTTGTAAAATCTTATATATAAAGCTGAATGTCTGCATGTCTGTCTGTATGTCTGTCTGTACGTATGTTCCGAATAGAAAATTCCATTTCTTAAACGACCCGGACCAAACTTAGCACACATACACTTCGGGCCCCGGCGGGTGTCATAGGCCACTTTTCGTTATCGATCGATGTCGATTTTATCGATTTTTTGCAAAATTTGAGCTACAGGGCTGGGAGTTGGCACAGGGGGGTAATCGAGCATGCTGATCACCCCCGTGGGGGTGATCAGCATGCTCGATTACACCCCTCTGCCAAATTCCAGCCCCCTAGCTCAAATTTTGCAAAAAATCGATAAAATCGATATCGATCGATGACGAAAAGTGGACTGTGACACCCGCCGGGGCCCGAAGTGTATGTGTGCCAAGTTTGGTCCGGATCGGTTGAGAAATGGAATCTTCTATTCGGAACATACGGCGGAGCCGGGTAAGCCAGCTAGTGGATGTATAAGATTCATTAGTCGCGTCAGGTATGTACAATAAAGAGGGAACACATAAATGCACAAAATGCACAGCTAAGATCGAAGTGAAAAATGGGCAAAATAGCAAAGTAGTTGTATTTAAAGGCCTCGTTCTCCGAGGAATACGCTCATGGCAGCGACAACGATATCAATTGCTGCTAGGACTAATGCAGCTACTGCGATCCAGAAGGAATAACCATATTCGTCCCGATGAATTTCGACAGTTCCTGAAAGATTTACACAGTTACTGCTTACTGTATACACAAAAATCGATATATTGATTTTTGTCGGAGTATTTCGGAAAGCAAGGTTCGCAGCACATGTTGTGCGCAAATTGCTTGACCTAGGTGATTTACATAGCAAGATGTTTTCGAACAACCTCGAATGATGTTTGGTCAGTGAATTTGCGTCTATTGCTGAGCTTCACCTCCGTATCGTATTACAATGAGTAAATAACACAAACATTAGCAAGATGACGGCCTTGTGGGTAGCATTATTGGTTCAAATTCAAGGATTTGCTGCCTCGCAAAAAAAGAGTGTGAGTTTTGAAGTTGCCGCATTCAGGAAATTGGAGCAGGAACTGCTCAAAACTCTACTGTGAGCATTCAAATACTGTTCTTTTCTTAATCTTTTTCCGAAAAAGAGGAGAATATGCATAATTCATCATGAAAATATACATTATTTATTCCATTTTCTTCGAAAAAGAATGATAAAAAATCTTTGGAAAAATAAGGAACGCCAAAAACTTACCGATATGTCCTCTGAAAGTAGCCGCATAGATAATGACAGCTACTGCCAAAAATGCAGCGGTGATGAACGACATAAGAATAAGAGGATGAATTATGTATCTTTTGCAAAAGCATGCACAGCTGAAATGTTATTTTCTCATTATGTACTTTTCCAAAAACAAAACTTTTGAACTTACAAAGTGATAAAATTCCAAATAAGGCAAACAACTTCGGCGACAAGAGCTAAGCACATAAATATAGCTACTGCACGCATATTACCAATATATTTCTGGAAATGGACGAGCTCATGAGATTGAATAAAGCAGCAAGAAGTGAACTTACAGCTTCCCATGGATCGCAAAATCGTATGTTATCGAGGCAATCCCATGAAATTAATCCTGAAATTATTCGAGGTTCAAGTTCCGCCTTTGTTTGCTCTTTTAAGCATATTTTTCCTTTTTTGAATTTATTTACAAGCATTCTTCACACAGGAGAAAGAGATGGAAGATTGATGCAATGTAAGCCTTTCAAGGATTTAGATCGAAAATTTGAAGTTATAAGCCAATAAATCTTTTTGAACACTTATTTTTGATTACCTTTTCAAATAGTGTTCGTTAAGCAAAACCCGATAAATAGATACATAATACAGTTGTAGATAATTTTTCTTCACTTTTTTCGCTAAGATTTTATCCGCTTATAGTCTTCTTGAAGACTTGTCGAGGACGCTTTCAAGCACTCTCAAATCCTGCATTGCATTGATTGTGTTGAAAACTTTGGTCTTATTTGATGAAAAATATTGTTTGATAAATTGTTCCAGATCCGTTGATAACTCAGGCAAAATGCTATGATTTATGTATTTGCTTTTAACGAAAGCTGCCTTTTTATTCCTTCCCCCCCCCCTCCCCTTTCCCCAATCTCTAGTGCCTCTTGCGTCGCTGGCGAATAACACAAAGCGTAGATGTAATTATGCGAGGAGCATTGGGAAGATGAGAGATGGCACAAACACGGCCACAGGAGAAATATTTTATCATATTCGAAACGAATTTCTTTTCTACATTAACGTTGATAAAAAATCGCATTACGATCGTATTACGAGGTTGAACATGAATCTCACACAAAAAAAAAACTTTTTTTTATATATTTTCAATTTTGTGTCATTTTTGGTTTTCAGTTTTTTTTATTCTGCATGTATTTTCAAGGCAGTGTTTCTTCATTGTATATACACTATTAAATTAGTTTATTTGTTAGGAAATTCAAAAAATACATTTCGTAAGCAAGTCGATCAACAGAAATTATCTTAATTTAAAAAAATAGACTATAAATTGATTTGAAAATAGAATAGAATTTGTCGTCCCCCCCCCCCTCCCCCTCTCACAGCATTTTCTAACGCCGAAATTTCAAAAAAACTATTTCAGTCTTCGTCTTTATGAGCTTTCACTGCTGCTGTATGAAAACAATAAATTCTTTTCGAGTATTACTGAAAAGCGCAGCTTTCTATCAACTTATATTTTATCAAATGGATTCATTGAATTTAGAGAAAAAAATTCATAGATTTCAAAAATTTTAGTGAAAAATTTCTATTTTGGCAAAATGTTTCGGTTTCATTCATAGCTCATATATAAACAAGAGTTGGCTAGGAGATTTCCTCCATCTCCAATTCGAGTAGGTAACTCACTTCCTGTGTTGGAGAATGTAGCGACTGCTGTAAGAATAAGACACAAGAGCATAATACTGCCAAATGCGATCTGGCCACATGACGAGAAAATGCACATTTCTGAAATTTTAACCATAAAGATCGCAAGAAATCCAGTGAATGCGAGCATGCAGAGCTTGGAATGTATGAATGCTTTCCGGGATGACATCCTAGCCAGCAGCACAACAAAATAAACGATAGCAGCTCGAGTGGAATGCGAAGCGCACAACCCCCTGGAGATGACGTGCGCGGCAGCGGCGAGAGAAAGGCAAAAGCTCGTTGTTTTTCACCGTTAACTGGCTCCGTGCCTCGCTTCTTCGCATTCAAAAACAAGAACCTCTCCATGGTCGTCTGCTTGCTTCTGCTCATCGATCACTATTAGCATGTTTACATTCCTTGATAATGTAATAAGCAAGGGAAACACAGTCGTGAAAAATTTCTGTTTTGAAAAACTCGGTTCGCTTCATTTTCCTCAAGATATATAGGCCCTAAGCGTACCTCACCACGCGATTTGGCGATTTGCCAGATGTCACTGAATCCTGCGCAACCAACCACAAATGCATAGGATGCATAATTTTGATAAATTGTTAAAATGCATTGTACCAAATGTCGCGCAAGCACCATGCCTTATTGAAAAGTTAGGATTCTTCAGTCAATTAAAAAATTTGAGATGGTTAATGGTTTAGATTGAATGGCTTTACATTTGGTAACAATCAAGCTATGAACTGTATAGTTCTTCCTTTGAGATTAAGATCCATATTATGGTTAGGTGAAGATCAAAACCAGAATATGTTTCTTTTGATTATCCTTCATCTTCCTATTGAGCTTCATGAATAATAGCAACTTTTTTCGAACCTATGAATAGTCAACACTCGACAAAATACAACTCTCTTTTTGAACATTAGAAAGTCTTGAAAAAAATTTAGAATAAAAGTGTTTCTGATCTTCGGTTTACTTCTATAAATGATTTAAATCTAGCGAATTACCAAAACGTCTTTTTTATCAATTCAAAAAACAGTAAACAAATTAATGTGAAGGAATAAATATCGTAGGATGAGCTAGAAGGAAACGAGAGTTTATTGGTCCTCGAACATCACTCAGAACAACTCAATGGCAAATGAGGGATCTTTGATGTCTTGCGGGACCATCCATCGTTCCCCGTAATGAGTCGCACATTTTAAAAATAAGCGACCTTCGAAAAACTGTGTTGCGAAGTGTAATCTTTGTTCTACTATCTCTTGAATTGCTGCTGGTTTTGCAAGGAAACGAAGAAGAATTGGGTAAAGTAGAAATTATACAAATATTTGCAACAACTGAAAACTAGTCAAGATATTTTTTGATTCCGCTTTAGTCAAACAAGAGGAGATATGATGGCTTATTCTAACTATTTTCCTTGCTGATAAGGTTTAGAAATCGTCTGTCATCTACAAATGATGAAACTTCTAGTGAATTGATACCAACCCAACTACAAGAATGATAGACTCTTTCATATAGATGCAATATCAAGAAAAAGCAAACCAAAATAGAATGTATCTAATACTATTCTCAAGCCTAAGCAAAGCCCATAATGCACTCAACGCTACTGTTGGCTACAAATCTTCTCGTGACTCATAATATAAGAATTCTAAAGATGACATAGTGGCAGTACAGAACATTGAGCTTAATTGCGTTTCTGGAATGCACATTTATTTCAAGCAGAAAAAGAATTGCGATTAGTTTCCAGATGTTCGGTAACAATTTGCTGATTTGGCAGACAACGTCTTCTACCAGCAAAGCTTCGGTTTTTGTATGCGAGATTTTGTTACATCTAATTTGACTAGGATTATGAGAGCCTTCGCCATTTCGCCAATTAATAGAAAATTACAACCTGAACTCATTTCTATAAAAGAAAATCGCTGTTTGATGTGGCATGGCTTTTGCATGTTCAAAATAAAGGAGAACTTTGCTTAGGACAAAATTTAGCAGAAAATTCTAAAGTTATTGAACTGCTAACCACTTTCACTGCGAACGAGAATTTATGGGTATAAGCTTGATAAATGCATAGCAAGTCATATAGAATTATTTTTGAGCCACACAGTGCAAGGGTATTAAATGTATATTATGACTTTCCTAAGGTTGATATCAAGAAACGAATCGAGTGATCATCTTAAAGCATCATGATCAAACAAAAATGCCCAAACAAGAGGACAAAATGACGCATTGCATTCTTCAGGTGGGGTACCAGCAAGATAAGGAAAAAATAGTGAAATCAACACTTGAGTCATTGCGTATATGTCCCAGTTGCCGAAAAAAAAGTCCAACCGTTGAAGTAATGGGAGAATTCAAAAGGTTATCAGGTTACTTAACAATCTGTTATGTGTGCAATTCTTGGATAGTTTTTGAGGACTGGTAAAACGCAATGGCTGCTCGGAGTAAACCAAAGCTTTTGCTTTTTCACATTCAGTATTAAGAGAAAAATCTTAAAACCTTCTCAAAAAAATGAGCGATTGAGGATAGGCAAGTCATAAGCTAGAGCGATTGAGAGTTGCTATAACATTTTTCAGGTTTGGCTTTTAAAAAAATTTGAAATTATTATCTTGAGGTGTTTGCACTTCACTAGCTGCGCCCAGAGTGTTTAGCTCGGAGCTGACATTTCAAAGTTACATCACAGACCGAGCTGCTTCAGAATGAAAATTTGTCAGACACTATTTTGTGCTCATAGAAAAGAGAGTAGCAATCCTGAGTCGAATGTTCGGAGATGCAATTACGACGGAACTGGAATTGCATAGCAGCTATGCACAAGATGAAAGAACCACAAAATAACGAGTGCTCAGGACTACTTCTTAGAATAATTATTATATTTGATTGCCCTCCTGAAAATTCAAGATGTAACAAGGAGAACTGCTCAGTTTAGGCAGAAAAATCTTCGCCCTCAAATCCTCAAAAAGAAGCACACAATGCTGCAATCTAAGCTGGAAAGGATAGAAAAGGGCCTAATCAGACACAAGCTGACCCGGTGTGGGTTTCCCAGCCATGATAATCACCGTTTCAATGGCAACGCAGCTGGTGTTGTTCGGTAGGTTCACCTTCTACGGTAGTGTTTGCTAATAATAGGTTGGACATAGGTAGAGGTCATAGCGGGGGATCGCGACAACGGAAGGACAAATTACAAAGGGCCATCGGTTTTTCACTAATTGCACTATTTTTTAGAAGGGTTAGGGCAGAAAGAGAATGAAAATACGCACATAAAGTATTTGTTCTTTTTTTGGAGCAAGTAATCTTTGTTCGCCTTTGAATTACAGATTTTCAAAGGCGAACAAAAATTTGAAATTTGTCAATAACGTCGCCATCCCTGGCGTATGGCTCCAAAAGCTTCACTTTTGTCATACTTTAAATTGAACGGAACTTACAAAACTGCAGTAAAAAATTCAGCCCAAAGCCCCTTAAGCCCCTCGAAATTTTTGAAAGTGGTCCAGAGCAGCAAATAGAATAATTTCTAAATTTTCCCACTCAAATCAGCTATCAAATGATTTTTGAACGAGGAAGAGCAGTGGTTGCCGCTTTACCCCCTCCCCCTTCTCTTGAGATTTCGATGTTACGGACACGCGAAAATTTTGGGAAATTTCGAATCGTGAAAATTTTTCTCGGACCACAACGTGTATTAGCCACAGTTAGATCGGGGAGCTAAAACATAGTTTATCTATCTTTGACAGAAGCATTCTCAGCAATTTTTGTATAAAAATATCGGTTACTATCAACCAAACATTTTTAAAAATTACAAGTGCTAAGGCCAACAGCCAATTTTTATTGGTATCTCACTAAATTCAAGTTCAATATTTCAATGACAAAATAGATGACAAAAGCGATATATGAATTCCTGGCAAAATCCGCCTCTTCCCTACAGTAGCCGAACCTTGAAGTAAGAAAAATGTCCACAGAATATTAAACATATGTGTTATGTGAGGCAAAAGCAAGATGTCTAATGGTGATAACAATGAAGGAACAGCTCCAAAAACAAAGTTAGTCATCGTTAAAACAACAAAGTCTAGTGTACTGCGCGCGAAGGAATCACGCAAAGAAGAACAATTGTTCCTCATAGAATGACCTTTGTTGTTAGACTTTGCAAAAAGGTGAATCAAATGCTGGCAGGGCAACATCGGCCTAACCTTGGTATTGGCACACCTGCTGTGATCGCGCTAGATGAGAGGATCATTTGTGCGCGACGTGAGTCACTGGCAAATAAACAACCCTGGGTACTGGTTTTTGTTGGAGGATTAGAGGGTCCTTGCTGAGTCATAGGTCAGAGTGGTGCACTTATTTTGGAAACTTACACCTAGGCGAGATTTGGAAATTCTAGGGCAAAACCTAGATTCAGCAACCTCAGCGAGGAGAGTGCGATCGGTAAGATAAAATCCGACACCCAAGGTCGCGGTAATGTTGTCGATGAGAACATTGGCAGAGAGTGTGTTTACCTTCATCGATTGTCAATTAAGTCAATATCCGTCCGGTTGCTCTTCTTTCCGGGTGTGAAGATCGGTGGAAAACAACGAATCGTCGATAGCATCCACTTTATGCTAGAATAAACTAAGCAGTGATCAAAGATCAAGAACATTATCCAAATCTTCAGAACAATAATTTTTTTCCAATTAGGTTCCCGAGTCTTCCTATGAGTGCATCCTAGCAATTCGTGTTACACCAAATACGATGCGGACTATAACATCCCAGTCCTTGTGATTATGAACACAGTCATATCAAGCGAAGGCACAAAGGAGGTGCATCTAGTTCGAATGTAGAAAAATGGTCTGTATCGATGTTTAGCACAACGCAGAAAATGCGTGCCATTGCGACCAGTGTGGCGGCAAGTTACGAAGTAATTCTGAGTTGCAAAACTTTCTATTTCCAGTTGCGCTGATTTACCAGGGATTAGGTCTCTCCAAAACCCCAAAATGGTCCATGCTTTTTGATGTCCTGCTCCATACAATCAATCAACTTCTCAGAATATATTCAAGTAACTGAAAACTCAAAAATAGTTTGAGTTATCATATTCTTCTTACATAAGACCTGGTGAATACATAAGAGTAATCATTGCTAACGATAACCTCATGCAATATGCAAAACGGTCGTCGTTTTCAAAGTTTATCATGATATGAATAGAGATCCAGCCACCACAGAGTGAATCTGTTCGCAGTGCTGCTGAGAAGGGAAGTCCGTTTGGTCGAATCGGCCTTTTCATATGAAATTGATACGATAACAAAGAGCATCAAACGCTGATTCCAAGTGTACCTTCGTTATCTGCCGAGCGCCTCTGGACGTCAAGTTATGAGCGTTATTTGAGTTGAAAAACTGAATGCTTAATTAGAACAAAATTCGTCAGAATTAATCGTCCAATGTTGATTATCAGAGCACCCCATTTGAACAATGCCTTCTGCTCAAAATGCTCATACTCAATGCTGCTCTATTTGAGCGCTGAAAAGACCGTAAAATTTGATTTTACATGGATTATGCGTACATATAAGTCCTCGACCAGCAGCTGTTCTTACTCCGTCAGCGCGCATTTTTCGCCCTCTTTGTATAAAAAATGAAGTCATGGCCGAATCTCTCTCTTTCGGCATCAGCGTGAGCTAAAGGCATATACCAAATTTGGGTAAACGCTCCTAGCCATTCATCCGGCTCACCAACCTACAAATTGCGAGTTTGTATCCTACTCTTTAGCAATAGGGTATTTGGAAAGTAAAAGGCCTGAAGCAATTCCAATTTTTTGACGCCCTTTGTGTTTTATTGTGCTTATCAGGCCTAGATATATTTCAGTGAAATAATTTTTTGTGGTCTTTCACATCAATATAGAACCTTTCAAAACCACCACTTTCCCTGAAACGCTTTTTACGAAGAAGAAAACATAATTCACAAAAAACTGAGCATACCTTCTAGAAGCCCTTTCCTTAAGGTTTCTTACTTGTGCTTTTATTTTCTCAAAAGTAAGTTTGTTTTGAAACACCATGCCTTGAAATACAAGAGATCCAGTTGCAGGAATTTTCGTATACAGATTCAGCACCGAAATTTTTATCATTTATCTTTGAACCCTTATAAGCGAGCAAAATTTTTGAAAATTTATACAATGAATATCAGAGAGCTACGCTACAAATACATGTTGAAATGAGACTTCCAAAGTTTTCTTAAAATAAAGTTTTAACGCAGATTTGTGCCGCGATTGCCCACTTTAATTTAGCACATGGAAAATGTTCGCAAGCTGCTAAGGAATTTTGTTATGTAAATAAGATGTAAACTTAGGATTATTTGTATTAAAAAAACGGAAAGCTTCTCCGTTTTCCGGCGCTGAAAAAAAGTAGAACAACTCGGATAACGCACCGCCTCTTCAAGGAAGCTGAAAAATTGCTTCCAAATTTTTTAAGGTATCTTGAGGCAGAATATAATTTTCTTTGTTGATCCAGTTTCTAGGTTTAGCGAACCATGTAGCAAAACATAAGTTAGGAATCACAAATGACGTACAGTCGAATCATTTCATAAGATCATGTCATTGCACAAACAGTCCACCTTTAGCGTTCCCATCCTGGATTCTTGGAGTAATACCCTTCGTAAGTGTTTTCATTGTGTTCTCAATATTTTCTTTCCTTTTCAGGTATTAATCACCTCATATTGATGCAGTGGATAAGAATCGTTAACTCTCTTGCGTTTTTGCGGTTGCAAATATGAGGATGTGTGTGTGCAGACACACATGATGATATCAAATTCAACGAAGCCAAGTCTGTTATTCTTGACGCAAAGCTACTGATTTTGAAAGTTACTCTTTCGCAGAAATTCCAACATATTGTTAGCTTGTTCTTGCATTCTCTAACAAAGAAACTTTGGTAGTATTCCACATAAGTTGACCCAAAAGATGAAAATCGTGTTGGCTAACATTTCGTCTAAGAGGGTTATTTTGCACGCTGATTACGATATCATATTTACTTCGCACGGTAATGCCATATGGTGATTATTCGCGGCTTCGCTCACAGCGTTGAAGAAGAAAAATGCACTTGGCTCCTTAAAAAGTGAAGGGAAAGGGGTACTATTCCAGTATACCGACCCCAAAAATTAAAAATCTCGGATTTCGCTCAAACTCGGTATGGGGGGGGGGGTTAATCGATCCGCTAATGCCGAATATCATATCGATTCCGTGCAATAGCGCCATTTCCCGGGGGTTACGGTGGGTACACGGTATGAGGTCAAAATCACAAAATTCTCTGAAACTTGGTGCAGGGAGGTTATTTCACATGCGGAACACGAATATGATACCCATTCGTTACGGTAGCACCTCATTCCAGGGTTACGGTGGGTATACTGTAGGATACACCGCGGCGGCTTTTGCCTGAGCAAAGCAGGGGGAGGAAATTTCCGACGTGTGACTGAGATTTCAAGCCCTGAATCTCGATCTAGCGGTGTATTGGTAATGTATACCCAACGTAACGTCGGAATGAGGCACTTTCGTAACTAATAAACATTATAATCGTGAAATAATATAACATTATAATCAGCATGTCAAATAACCCCCTTACACGAAGTTTCAGCGGATATCGTGATTTCGACCCCTTACCGTATACCAGTGGCGTACCCAGGATTTCGGCTCGGGGGGGGGGGCGCGACAAAACGCACTCCGAAAAATTTTTTGAGGTGTTTCTCAAAATTTTTGCGGGTCCTCGACCCCTAAAATCTGGAAAAAGGGGGCGTGGCGTCAGCCACGCCCCCGAAAAAAATTTTTTTATAAGGCTAAAATGAATTTTTAAAAAATTTTAAAAATTATTTTAATTATTTACAAGTACAAACAAGTCACTTGAGTACTTTTATAACTCATGTAAGTAACTTTCAAAAATTTCGCGACCCGTTCTCGGGGGGGGGGGGGAGCGCGCGCCCCTCCCCCGTCCCCCCCCCTCGGTACGCCACTGCCGTATACCCACCATAACCCCGGAATGAGGAGCTACCGTAACGAATGAATTTCGTAATCGTGTCCAGCATGTCGGATACCCTCTTACCGAGTTTCAGAGAATTTTTTGATTTTGACCCCCTACCGCATACCCACCGAAACCCACGGAAATGGCGCTATCGCACTCAATATGATATTTGGCATCAGCGGATCGAATAACTCCCCTATACCGAGTTTGAGCGAAATCCGAGATTTTTAATTTTTGGGGTCGGTATACTGGAATAGCGCCGAGAAACCGCAAAACATAGATGCTGCCAAGATCCAGACACAAACTTGAGAGAGGCTCCTGAATCCTCCGTATACTCTCATTCAAAGCCAAATTACGTGTTTCTGTAATTGCAGGTTCAGTTCGATATGGGGTGAATTCGCTTTTGCGCATCCATTTTGTCTATTTAACATGCTGCCATAGATGCTGCCAAGATCTATGGCAGCATGGTGCACCAACTTCTTGCTCACAACGCTTTATTTTCTGCTCTGTATACATTAACCAACAATAACTGTCAGATACAGTAACAAAAATCAAATACAGTAACAAAAATTCAACAGAAAAAATCAACTCAGATTGAACTGGCGACGAAAACGTTTGGCGAAAACAAGATGTACTGATGGTTGTCATTGACAGTGTGAACGATAAAAATATGAGTCAACAACTGCTTCCCTCCTGCACCGAGATGGTAGCTAATAATGCCTTCCGCAGCACAGGGTAAAGCTTCATTGACTTCTCCGTTGCAAAGGTGATCAGCTCCTCTATCTCGGGGCTTGTGAGATGACCTCCGCGTATGTCACAGCAAACTATCTGTATTAGAATGCAGGGTAAGTAGTACTCAGGTCAAAATATGAGACTGACCTGATTTTGATTGGGCATCAATGCTAAGGTGCATTCAGAACAGCCATCGGTAATCTGACTTTTTCGGGGATCTACAAGAAACTCTCCGGATGTGATGCGAGCGATGTGAGCGGCGACAACCATATCCAGCATCTGCATAAAAACATCAATATGCATTACTCGATTAGATCGATGCCTTAAACTGGATTGCAGACGAGGAGCTTTGAGATTAATACTTATTCTTATCACAGTACGAGGGACACAAACAAAAATCTTTAGACTACCCTAAAATCCGGCATATAAGTCCTCCTATCAGATAAGTCCATCCATCAGATAAGTCCATCCATCAGATAAGTCCGCTTCGAAAGTCGATGAAAATACCCTTGCGCCGCCAAGAGTCCTGCAGATAAGTCCGCTTTTGCAGATAGGTCCGGACTTATATGCCGGATTTTAGGGTAGTCCAACGATACGCAATCGAGAATATCATCGCTGTTCGTGTAAGTTTAGTCCTGGATGTTACTCCACATAAATTACGAATATGTCCGCATAAAAGAGCTTTCTCATGAGGCTAAGTAGGCGCAGTGTAAAGGGTAAAAGTCAAGGCATGTTTTACTGTTATGACTTTATAGAGTCTGTATTGAGCACTACGCAGTACCAAATGAGTCAAAAAATCTAAGGTTTGCTTCGATTCAGAACTATGCAGGCGCATGACAGAGAAGGAAACTTACCATGACTTCGGCGTCTGCCAGAGCTAATGTTGCTGCTATTACTGCACACTGTAGAAGACCACCGTCATCGTTCACAACCGTAACCTGAACCTAGCAAACTCTGAATACCGCATAATCCAGCAGCTTCGAGTCTTATTGGATGAAAGCTGGAGTAGCACAATACTTCTACGCACATCGAAAAACTCACCTCGACGTCAAAGCTGCACTGGCTATATTTGTGAGCCATTACACACGTTTTGATTACAGAAAGAACTTGCGAGCCGATTCGCACCTCATCAGTAACGCCTTTCATTTTCAACTAAAATAGACTTAACTTCCTTTGAAAAAACATTATATATGAAAATTACCGACAAAGTTGCTGTGTTCGGATCACCATTTGGATCATCAACGGGCCCAGAACTAAATTTATCGATAAGTTAACGTTCCAAATTTGATAACCCTGATAACTTGATAACCTACACTCGTGCCAAAACTTTCGTTCCTCCGAATTCGGCATATGAAGAACCAGGTGGGCCATCGAAAACACGGCATTTAAAACCTATGAAAAAAACATAATGAAATGAATGAAGCTAAAGCTCAAATAAAGACTGATAATATGTAAACATATGAGACTGCCGATTCGAAAACTCACAAACTGGCCGAAATGTGCTTCCTTCACCATCGTCGTCAGTCTCCGCAAAATCTTTTTTCTGCTCAATTTCGCAAAGGGGAATTGAAAAATCGGTTTTTATGAAAGGCATGATATCTAAAGACGAGTTATACGTCTTCTACATAGAAAGGCATGACCAAGTATGCACGAAATGGTCTGAGAGCAGAACAAAATAAGTCACAACAACGCAATGAAAGATTTTTATAGCAAATGCCAGACAACACAGATGCTTGTCAGCAAAAAACACTGTACAATTGCGGCCATGGGAGTAAATGATCTTCCACTACATAAACTAGATATTTCTTCACTGTTATCACAGAATGATCATGAGAAAATGGCGGCTGGAAGTTCTCAACAAAGTATTGCTACTTCTTCACTACTCTAGGACCACAGAAAAGCTCCATTTCCTATCTACATCCTCACTTTCACTAGTCCTACACCAAACTGTGATAAAACTAGCAGCGAAAGTTTACGAATTTAGGCAGATTTGTAGACTCTAGGTCCGAAGATCTTGCTGCCAACTCTAACGCTTGTACTTCCTTGCGCAATCGCTGTCTCAAAGTCATCTGACATTCCCATAGATAACTCGACTTCTTCTGGTGATCGTGAGGTTCGCTTAGCCCATGCCTCTCGAACTTGATACAGGCGATCGAAGTCGGGGTTAGGGATGACGTGGCTAGAAAATCAGTTACGTATAAGTCACAATCTAGATTAGTAAAGCCCGCCATATGACCAGTTTATAGACCATCAACCATACATATATTGCTTTGGGGGCAGTTTCAGTTTTGAAATTTATCTTGGATGTGCTATGACTACGTGCACCATTTGTAAAAATGTCGAAGAAATGCTTTTCAAATGTGAAAAAGGCGTTAGCGACACTAATATAAAACAAATGCGTTCACAAAATTAAAGGCAGTGTCCGGGCAAAAACTCGATTTTGAGATTTTGTGCTTACCCGGGCCTATTCGCTATGCTGAATCCGAAAATCCACATTGGAGAGCGCGAAAACGACGAAAAAGGGCTCCAACACTGGAGGGAAATCAGCAAGTGGGCGGGGTCTTCCCCACGGTGAAATCACGCTCCCAGCTTCGGGGGCGATCTTTTTGATTCCGGTTTCAAGTCATTCGTTTGCACTTGATCGGTAGTGATGTCAGGGCGGCTAATGGATTCGAGAAAATTGCTCTGGAAGCTGAAAGCGTGAATTCACAGTGGGGAAGACCCCGCCCACTTGCTGATTTCCCTCCAGTGTTGGGGCCCTTTTTCGTCGTTTTCGCGCTCTCCAATGTGGATTTTCGGATTCAGCATAGCGAATAGGCTCGGGTAAGCACAAAATCTCAAAATCGAGTTTTTGCCCGGACACTGCCTTTAAGATGTTGGTGGATGGCTAGTTACTCTCCCGATGCTGCATAGTCACGCTTTTCATCTTCAGTTCTGAACCCAGAAGACAAGACACGGACAAGTTCTGAAGCAAAATTTCACTTGCCTAAAAGGTCTACAAGTGTTGCTAAACCAAATTTGAAAACGCTTCTCACGTTATTTGTTTTCATAAAGACGATGAAAAGTTGAAAAGGTAAGGATAGCAACAAAAATCCGATAGAAGTAAACGAACCTGTGCTCAAAGGATCCAATCGTCATAAATCCACTGAAACGTAGATTTGGGCAATTATCGCTGATATAGCATGCCAGATCCGGAGCATCGCCCAGCGATAGCCCTAGAATGCTGGGTAGACAATTTCAAAAACATGCACGCGTGGGATTGAAACAGCTTTTCAAGTTGAATTATTACTGGAAATCAAAGAAGTATGAAGTAAATATCCTTTACCTCCTTTCTGTTCTTCATTACTTGTATTCACTTGGACGAAAACATTCAGTACTCCCTCCTTCTTCCCCATTTCTTTGTTGAACATATCGCAGTGTTTCTGACTTTCAATCGTCTCAACACAGTACAACGAAGGGGAAGAGCAGATTTTTCCTATCTAAACGAAAAAAACGCTTTAGCCATAAGTTAGGAAGAAGAGTAATGATCTCGATCACCTTGTTAGACTGAATCTTCCCTATGTAATGCCATTTGATTTCAGGACAACTTTCCTGCAGAATGTGCGACTTCTCTTCAAGCTCCTACAAGGAACAAGGACTTATATCGAATGTGGTAGTCATATTCCGAACTGTGTTACCGTAGTATTTTAACGAACTTTTCATATCATGCAGAATGAGTGGCGAATCGAACAGCTTGAGAAATTACAAAACTCTTGAAAACCTCCACACAAGCTTAAGATTCATTTACCTGAACGTAATTCTCTCCAAAGTGCCTTTGACCGATATTATAACAAGCAGCAACTAAATCAGCAGGTTTCGTTTTCGAAACAGCAACCAAACTGCATCGTTTTGAGAGCGTAGACTTTGCACAAGCATCCTGGATCTTACCAAGAATGACCTGAATGATAAGCGTTTAGAAGCGAAGCAGTTCTGAGCCTAGAAATTCCAATCAGAAAATTTCTGGATCAAATAAAGACCTTACCTTTAAATTGTCCTGTACTGCAGTAGTGGCCATCTTCATGGAGTTGTGCAAAGTATTAAGTAGAGCCACTAGGCAGAAAATATGCTGAGACAAAACAAAAGCTATGTACTACGTCGTTTCTGGTCTAATCCCAACGCTTAGCAGGAATAAGCTGCTCCACGTAAACACTCTTGCTCCTCCTTAGCGTCGCGTGCGACGCCGCCAGCGTCAACTCATCAGTCTTTTCTCGTGTTGTTCTCCGTTTTGTGCTTACTGCATCCTGACTTAATTTATAAAGTCAGTTACTTCTTACTTATATGTCTTCTTGTCGCACGTGACTTTGCCATGAACGATTTCCATTGATGGATTCAGCAAGGATACATTTTTAGATCTCTTTTTGTAATACACTAGGATGTAATACGTTCTTTCTTTTCCTCTTTTTTTCTACTTTAGTACATATGCAATTGAGATTTTTTGATGGCAAAGTTTGTAAATGACAGGCAAATATTAATTATCTTCGCCTTCGCATCGATATCAAATGCCATACTTTACTGATTCAAACTTGGTGTTGTGGTTGAAATAGTGGCCCAATGCATAACAGAGTCAGTAAATCCCTAATTCCTTCCTAAAACTCTATGGCTGGGTTCATACTGATTCCCATGTTCTGGAACTGTTCCCGCACAGTTTCCGCACTGTGCTGGAACTGTTTCGGAACTGTGCTGCATGCGTTTTGAACGGCGGGAGCTGGAGAATTTCGACCGTTTCCAACGGTTTTTCTTCTAGATTCCTCTCATTTTGGCCTTATTCCTTTGCCCCGCCCCTTTTTGATCCGCAGAACTTCGAGCTCGAAGAGGGGTTGAAGAATGGGCGCTTTTCTGCTCTGCGTATACGACAAAATGTCTGTTTTTGCGCTTCTCCATTCCCGCTTCGTTCTTCTTCTTGCTCATACCTATTCATTTGTTTCAGGAGTTTCCGTTGCGTATTCCGCAGGCGTCTGTCTTGGATTGGGACACGCGAACATTTTGAAAATGCGGAAATGGGAACTTTGCTCTCGTTTTCTTGAGTTTCGTCTTTTGGCATTCTCAGCCCCATTCCTTTTTCCATATCGTTGCTTCTCCGTTCTCTCTTTTACCCCGCATCTCTCCTAGTGATGAGAAAAGCTGCGAACTTGAAGCGGAGCTGAAGAGAGAACGCTGATTTCTTTCATGTGCATGTTCCGGATAAGTAAAGAAGCACATCGTTTATCCTCAATCCTGCTTCAAATTCACAGCTCCCATCACAACAAAATGAGAGGAATCTGGAAGAAAAACCGTTGAAAACAGTCAAAATTCTCCAACTCCCGCCGTTCAAAACGCGTGCGCGGCGGTTGCAGCGCATGCAGCATAGTTCCGGAACAGTTCCAGCACAGTGCGGGACAACATAGGAATCAGTACTAAACCAGCCTATCGTGATGTTCTTGACACACACACACAAATGTTTTGGAATGAATATGCTTTAGTGGCAGATTTTCTGCTAATTTGAGCAATACTTCAGTCGAAATTTCATTCCAGAGCAGAAGCATGCTGCCTTGCATGCTGTACTGCTTTTTGCCTTGGTTTCTTTCGAAGTTTACTTAGGTACCTACGTTGTTAGTCTTTGCAAAGTTTTACTTGCGGCTTCTTTAGTCTGAAATTTTAGTACCGTAATGAATAGTTTGGATCAGCTCAATCAAATCAAAAAGACGTATGTGGGTTTTTCTTTTTTGTAGATGAAACCAAACGAGAATTTCCTCATCTGGCTGGCTTCTATGTGTTCGCTATGGTGTTGATCAATCAAGTAAAATAGTGACCATGCTAAACACTGCGAAACATTTAGCTAGACATGTATCTGCTTGGGACGATGCTGCATCTTGTATGTGCACCAGAGAGGCTGAGTGAGAAAGAGAAGGAAGTATTTATTGCAACATTTCTACCGATTTTATGGATTCACAGGTCCACGGCGTGCGTTTTCTCCATCAATGGCACGTTGTATCGAAATTATGGAAAGTCGCAAGGCTCACCTCAGTGCCTTTGCTCAAATTTGGCCCATTCTTGGTGTACATCACAACCTTCAATTCACCTTATTTACTACCATAATATAGTGTGCAAACACAGAGACTCTGGTAGTAACGTGGTATGAAGTTCTGCTTGCGATCCATACCAAGATCGACGAAGACTGATATTTCGAGAAGATCTCGATATGGTATAGTTTAGTGTAATAGATTTCTATGTGCCAAACAAAAAACGAATAACTCTGTTCGAACCAACTATTGCGAGAAAAAAAAACTCACTCTTCTTTTTCCGGCTGAGTCTGCAATTCTGATCAACACTACTACTGTTCCTTTCTGGTAATAGCCGTCCTTTTCGAACAAATAATTATCTTTCTAAATTGCGTAGTTATTGAATCTATCACCAAAATTCAAGGAAACACCAACCAGTTTAGTTTTTAGCACCTTTTCAACATCTTTGACCAAAAATTTGTCATGCATACGTGCCTGTGCAACGGGTCCACGATAAAACTCTCCATCCAACAAACGACATCCCTGCTGAGGATATTGAGCTGCACACCCAATCATGAGTGCCAGTAACACAATGTTACGCATCTAAAGCATTGGTAAATACTCGCGCTTAAGGTGCGTGGAAGAAATATATTGTAGCTATTGAGAGGGATAAGGCGTAGCAAGTGGAAAGGCGTTCCTGGTTTAGTTGCGTAATTGATGCAGCTTTCTTTTATATTGTACTCTCACATTAGTGCTAAAAGCATTTGCTTGTTTACGGCTGTTATGGATCCAACCCCTACGCTCATTACAAATACATTATCTGCATTTAGCATAAACTTTTAGCGGCTTTAATGCGGGAGCGATGCTTTTGAAAAAGGGCCCTTAGCGAAAAACTGTGTGAAAAGGGAACGAACACAGTGGCTTGATTTTAGCTCAAAGACTTTCACCGTGATCACATCTTTGATAAGCAAGTGCACTCCCACTGATAGGCTTACACCAATAAGCTAATGATGACAAGAAGCCGGAAACTAGCGAGAAGTCTGCATTCATAAACGTATAACGTCCCTGATACCGAAAGCCCTATCGCCAAAATCTTCCTTCTGAGATGGATATATCAGCAGACACTACTGCATAATGCACTTATTAGAATGCTATCGTGTGCAAGATACTTTTCTATGTGAACTTATGGGCGTTTCAAATCAAACTGGCGGTTGTGATAAAACCATTCTCAGCGATCCTGTCGATTAAATAGAATAATAGTACATGTCAGAAAACTCTACGTAATAAATACCCTTTCCCAGTACCCTCATACTCACCTGCTTCATCTGAGCACACGGAAGATCGTTGAACGGTTTTATTTTAGCCGAGCGTTCGCGTCTAAATGCTTGCTTACACGCTCAGCACTTGTCAAGGGGAGTTGTGTTGCAGATATTGAAGAAAGATTCGTAGTCTGCACATTATGGTACATCTTCTGGTCAAGTTCCATATTTAATGCCCATTTTGAGTAAAAGGGCTCTCTGGGTTAGTTAACAGTCATCAGCCAGCACTACGGAAATGGCTAAAATTCTTTGAATGTGACAAAAAATTTCCACAGAAACATCTATCAGATTTTTTGCCTATCAAAAAAGCAGAGATTTTGCAAGAACTAGTCGTACGTTACCGACTGAAATCTGCCTGCTCCCTAAACAAGTGCTTACTTTTCGAGTGGGAGTCGTTTTCTTATCGCTAACGGGTAGACATCGTTCGCCACAACTTTTTTTCTCTTTTTATTTAGTAATTTTAATCATCTGATCTCCCTTGTCAAGCTTGTGGGAATTTACATATGTTTACATCTCATGATCTCTGTCATGGTCAAATTTCTCCCGTTGCTTTTGCATCGTTCACTTCAACCACCTCGACAACGTGACCTTCCGTTAGCATTTTCATAGCAGCAAGGATTACATCTTTTTTTTTCAGTTGCTGTATTCTAAGTCATATACGCGATCATCGCACCTTCTTGAATGTTGGGCATCGCACTAACCTTTATGCTCAGGTCGTCTGTCGCCGCAGCAATTATATATCGCTTTCCTTACGACCTTGGGCTTTGCCAAGCCCACCATAGGCCAAGATGGGGTCTCTGACCTTTTGCCCGTTCAGCATCGTAATATCCTTTGTTCATTCGTGCTAGCAACCTGCTCCTTTAAGTTCTATAGCTTAAAAACTTTTGAAATTTTCAAATCCAGCTTGTCAAATGTTATCACTTTAAAGGGTAAACACAAAAAAAATAAGTTCAATATCTATTCGCAGATTAGAGGATTGGCAAACTCGACCATAAAAATATTGTGACTGTTTTTTTTCCTTCTTGTGAAAGAGCGAAATTATTGTACAGAGTTTATATTGGAGTTTTGAGATTTGTTGGAAATGCAGTTTTGGCATTCGTCTTGACTGTATGGTGGCAGATTATAAAAGAAGAGTTTTGGTAATTAATTTAGTAGTATAAAACCGCTTTTGTAGATTTCGAATCTGACATTTCTTACTACACTGGGAAAACAACTATATTTTTGTTGGGAAAGAGAAGCTGAAAAGTATTAATCTATATTATTGAGCTCCTGCTGACAGTGTTTATACGCGAGATATTTTTTTTAAATGAGTTTACCCAGCTCGAATTGCGTCCAATGTTTACACAGTTCCCGCTTCTGTCCGATAAGTGGTGCGTTTGAGCACTGCCCGTGCTCCCAAGTGCTGCGTGTTTTTCTCGCATGAGTTGTCCTTCCGTGGTGAGAAGTTTTGTAGCGGCACTTTCTTAGAAAGTTCGAGTTTAGTCTCCTTCTAAGCATTCAGCTGTTCTACTTTAGGCTGCTTTCTTTGAACATTTCCGTATTTCAGGAAGCTAATGATCATTACAGACGCCTTTGTGCCAGACTCAAGTTTATAATGAATGTCTATATATTACGCCGCATTGCAAATCGTGTCAAGGTCATTTCCTCGCCCATTGTCTTCATGACTTTAGTGATTTTTTATGTCATTCTTTGGTTTTTACGCTGCAGCAATCCTGTGCACGATACAGCACTGTCCGTGTACGATGCTCTAATGAATTGTTTCCTTTTTGTGCAAGAGTGCGTGTCTTTGAATAATACAGATCTTCTTCAATGTCCTTTTGTTTTCTGCCCTTGATGTTTTCTCTCACGTTCTCGCCATGAAGATGAATGACTGTCAGTATTCGGCGCGATATTCATTCATCTCTTCTACATCTGGCGGAATCACCATATGATTAAAAAATTATTGCATAGGTTGAGAAAGTCTGACTTGTTACCAACTACCGTGTTAATCGGAGCCATTATGCTATGTTTCTTCGCTGCAGTCTAGGCGCATCATAGAAAAAATTCTTTACATAGTAGTGCAGTAGTGATTGAGAAGTACGCATTTTTGGCGCATATTTGTTCGTAAAAACACTGAGCGTTTGATTTTATGTTTTCTTCTTGTTGTCAAAGTTACTTGTGCTAAGGAAAGGATTCGAAGTCGCCTGTCCATTTTTATTCATTTTGACTCTTTGACTACTGTTGCAGATGGCAGTATCCGCGAAGTAAAATTTGGACAAGCGTTCCACGAAAGATAAAGGCTAATTCACTAGTTATTCGTGCATTATATAATCTCAGTACGACCGCCCAACTCAAGTTGTTTACTAAGGTTGTGTGCGTTCTTCTTTCATGAGCCCCTATAATTGCTTCGAATGAATAATTCAGCTATGAGTGTATGCTGGAAAGATTGTCTCTCAAGCTTTGTTGACTATGCAAATGCTTTTGCAGTAAACGTATCTCATCATAGCATCCACCTGCGAAAATATGCTGGACTCCCTTCAAAAATTTGGCAAGTACGAAAAAGTTGCAAAAATAGCATCTTACTTGTCCATAGAGTTTACCTCGATAGGACTGTCTACATAGGGTGATAACTCTTTAATTCTCCAAACTGATCTTTGGCCGCGAAGCGAAACATCATCAAAACTTATAATTGCTTGTGGTTGTGAATAATTCAGCTATGAGTGTATGCTGGAAAGATTGTCTCTCAAGCTTTGTTGACTATGCAAATGCTTTTGCAGTAAACGTATCTCATCATAGCATCCACCTGCGAAAATATGCTGGACTCCCTTCAAAAATTTGGCAAGTACGAAAAAGTTGCAAAAATAGCATCTTACTTGTCCATAGAGTTTACCTCGATAGGACTGTCTACATAGGGTGATAACTCTTTAATTCTCCAAACTGATCTTTGGCCGCGAAGCGAAACATCATCAAAACTTATAATTGCTTGTGGTTGTGAATAATTCAGCTATGAGTGTATGCTGGAAAGATTGTCTCTCAAGCTTTGTTGACTATGCAAATGCTTTTGCAGTAAACGTATCTCATCATAGCATCCACCTGCGAAAATATGCTGGACTCCCTTCAAAAATTTGGCAAGTACGAAAAAGTTGCAAAAATAGCATCTTACTTGTCCATAGAGTTTACCTCGATAGGACTGTCTACATAGGGTGATAACTCTTTAATTCTCCAAACTGATCTTTGGCCGCGAAGCGAAACATCATCAAAACCACTACATGCTCGTAGTGCATATAAAATATGTGTTATCCGGTGGGGAATTCGTAAATTATGGATGGATCCCTTAGCGCTACGCTTACGTCCCGCTGGCCTCATTCTGTTGTGCTTATTTCTCATATCCTCATCTTTTCCGTTCGCTCTCCCGCAGCCTCAACGGTGCCGATCGATTTTCGTCGTATACGTTCCGTGTCTATTGTCATCGGAGGTATCGTGTACGGAAGCACACGATCGCCGATCGTCGTCATCCGTGTACTCAGCATGCGTCATTGACCATATTGATCTGCGGAACGGGATGTCAGGTGTGGACTGTTTGTGATCGCTTCGCTCGTTTTTACTTCATCTCTAACTGGTTATGGTGTATTATTGTTTTTGTTTTGTTATGATCGCATCGAGTGACCACGACGAGAACGATCGAGGTTGCTGGTGTTCTTGCATTTGATTGATGGTTCCACTGACTCACAAGGACAGTGCAGCGAAAGGCAATCGGCTTTAGTTGTACTGCGGCAGTTAATGCTCTTCACAGAAACATATTAATTGCGTTCGACGTACTGTTTGCATAATCTCCGCGACATAGCAAGGTGCAACAACGAGGAAGCCATACACCGTCATTCTCATCATAAATTTCCACGCGAATGATTGTCGATGTTTTGTCTGGAAGAGGAAATTTTGTGTTGCGCTCTTTCAACATTGTGCAGCCTTCCCTTCCCGAATTTGTTAATCACGCTCAATTGATTTTATGTCCATTCAGGATTCTTTGTAAACTCATGGAGATTGTCGAATATGTTCGCAAAACGTCGATGCCAACCATCCATTCGAAGTTCAACATGTAAATTCAGTTTTTAAATTTCGGAAATTCCTCTGCTGCGTTCACATCTTGAACTACCGAACGATGAATTATTCGTGCGTGCGGTTGAGTTAGAATATGCAGGCAAGCATAGATAAAATGTGCAGGCATCTGATTTTGCGAAGTCCGTAGAGCATTTGAATAAAATTCGTTTGAAAATCCTTTATTGAAGAAATCTAAGCAGGGAATGGTCAGGACTTCACCCAGCCATACCAAACATACTATAAATTATCGCACTCGTCTTGAAACGCTGATTACAGATGTATGTTCATTATATGTCTGCTAAACGAATACCTGGACGGAGTTATGGGTGGAATGGATTTGTCAAGTGTTCTGTGGCGCATGTTCCCCAAAATAGGTTTCAAAAACACTTATTTAGGTTTTTGGTGAACGTGCATCTTCCTTGTAATCGAAATAACCATAGCCACTGTAAATCCGCGCCATCAGCCTACCTTTCAAGAAAGTATATTCGTTGAAACTCGAAAATTTCTTATATTTGAACGTTCATAACTCCTCCCAGATAGTCGATTGGCAGATAGAAAACGTATTTCTGAAACCAGCGTTTTAAGACGAGACCGATAATATACAGCTTGTTTGAAATTAGGCTAGGTTGGGTTCTCATTATTTCCTCGTAAGTTTTTTATTGTCCGATATCATACCCTATAATAAAGCGCAGGGGGGACCATCCGACGTCAACAACCGGCGAAGAATGTTTGCCCAGATCTCTGAGTTAATTCTTGCACTTTCGCCCGCTTCCATACTGTTTACCGTTACGACTCAACCTAAGTGCAACCTATGACGTCATCAATGGTATGATGTTTTGTGCCATCTTCGTGTTCCGTCTGCTTCCTTGATGTTTATCACGACGTCAAGCTAAATGCAACCCCAATTCCGTCGCCTACAACGCTGTTAGCGGTCGTTTATTTCAACCGCCTTACATTGCTTTATTCATTTGTGAAAATAAGCAAACGTCGGATAGCATCTTCAGGTCGGTGATAATACTTAACATTGATATCTGCATTACATCTCCTCAATTCTTTCTTAATCAGTGCACCACATCATCACTGTTTTTACCACTAAACGTATCTACATGCAAAAACAAATCTCAAAATTGAATCTTCCCTTAAAAATCAAGCAAAATCATATCACTCATTGTCCATTTTCCTATTGTGCACCATTCCATTTTTGTCTTATTACCAAACGTATCTCATTAAAAATTTTCCAATTTTACTCTGAGAAAACCCTTCCACAAGAATGAAGCAAAAGAAGCGAATGAAGCATGCTGAACATATCTTCACGTGAAAAATTCCTTGAACTCACTGTGAAAATCGAACTTATTTGAAATAGTTAAACATCAATACTGTGCAAACTTTCCAAATTGTTATCCACTAAGTGATGAAAAAACATGGTGATGCGAATTGCCTTGAAACACTAAACGTTTTGCAAAAAGCTCACTTGGCAAGCAACGCAGGTTCTAAGAGAACACTTCATCTCAAGATTTTAAATTAATCCAAAGACTGAAAATTTCAAAAAAAAAACTGTAAAAGTTACTGTGATCGTGAGAGAAGTTTTGAAAAGAGCTACACGCTGTCTGTCTGCTATCAATATACCAGTTGTGAACAAAAGAGATGGAAAGAAAGGGATGCTTCACTAACCATCAACTCAACCCTTGCTAACCTCAGGAACATGTAGCTTTTTAGTGCAATTTTGTCAGAACATTGCACTACCTCAAAATCGTATAGACAGCGGTGATTTGCTTGAATGAACAGCTTAGATTGGATATACGCTTCAATACTAGCTCTCTTTACGGAATTCGAGTCAATAGCCTACCAAGATGAGTTGGAAAATGGGTGCGCTTTAGAGCATTTCGGGTGGAATTTATAGTCCTAAATGGGCGTCTTATATGGAAGGCTTTCCAGACTGTTGAACAATTTGGAAAGCCCATATAAGACGCGAACGCGAGCCCTGGCATTAGAATTTTTTAAAGCATATTTCGTGAGGCGGAAGGGAGGTTTTTTCATTTAGGAAATTACATAATAGTAAGTTAGAATTTTGGCTAAATGCATTCAAGTGCGCTGAGTTGAATCCTCCTCTTGCTGAAATCTCGCAAAGAGTTACTTTGAGGCCCATATGAAAATCCTTCCAGTGGCAAAAAAAGAAGCGGCGTCCCCAATGATGAAAAGCATAGCAGTGTTCGCCCGCGGCCCTTTTATGACAAGGGACGTCGCCTTCACCCCAGCTTTTCATATGGGCCTTCTAAGGTAGTTCGTAGGGACAGTCGATGAGGAGAGCAGAGCCCCGGGTGAAAACAGCCATGAAAATGTACATAGCTGGGAAAAGCTTGCCGGGTTTGTGACGGCCACTTTGGTCAGAAAACTTTAGGATGTGAAAATGTGAGAGTATCCGAGGATTTTCGCAAATGTGGGAATGAGCAACTTTGGCAGCTATAGTTTATGGTGATAACGCTGAAACTTTGGCTCAAAACCGCACACCAACGGTTAGGGCTTGCGCTGCATTTCGCATGGCAGGAGGGTTCAATGAAAGTGGGAATGGACAAGTCCAAACGCCGCAGACATGATGCATCTTTGCGTTGCGCAGCTCATCACATCAATTTTGGCCTGATTCGGTGCACAGACTTTAAAGGTGTAAGGTGGCGCATTTTCTCAACATCATCTTTGGAGCTAGATTCGAAAGCGATTAAGTAAGATCAAAAGGATTTGAAAATGCGAGAAAAGATCGGTAGTTTCGGCGGTTTATAAAGGAAACATTTGGATGAAAACGAGTTGGGGGGGGGGCAGTTTGGCTCAGAACTCAGGAATGACAATAGAACGCGAGTTGCAAAGAAAGCTGAGAGGAAGCGATAATTCATCACTTTGGTTAATGATGTAACTTGGGAAACCATTTAAAGCAGGAGATCCTGACATTTAACTTTGATGATCTCCGAATTTGTTAAATGTCTGAGAAATCGTCATACTTTTGGAGGAGAAAAGGTTTCCACGCTCTAACTTTGAGAGTCATATCCCACTTCACACACACAGCCAGTCCGGAGCGCCGCGAAGCGGCGCTTCGGACTGGTTCAACGATATCCGACATCATAAGCGGTTTATTCGATTTTTGATTATCATAAACATGCGAATACATAATTTAGATGGATAAAACATCGAGTAATCGAGTACTTGAGGAAGCATTCGAGTCAAATTTAATTCGATTTTCTAAAGCCAAAATTCTGAGTTAATCCATCCTACTCGTGAAAGATTTTGAACATTGTAAGGTATACTGCATACCGTCTTATACTTTTAGTGTCCATCTCTTTCCCTACATTATAATCGCGTTACATTCATTGCGCGTTATTCCCATATAAATTTCCTCATCTCTGCAATTGTCGTACACTGATGTCTTGTGCGGGTCTATAATCCATATGCATCAGCCAAAGGCCTGATGTACTGTATAAATCGAACTAAAAATCAGTACTTGAACCAAGTGAGATTGGTCGAGCAGCTTATAAGTGCGCAGCTTCCTCGTCATACAATGCTGCCGATATTCTCTCAATAGGATAATATTTAACGTGCTCAAGTGCGGCTTTTAGAACTCACCTATTGACACATCCCGTTTCTCAGCATATGATTCACAACCAACATCTGGCATTAGCATAGTTTGGCTTTCTTCTTTGTACAAGTACAACGGGCACTTAATGCGTAAGCGGAGGATGCAGTTATTCGACTAGGGTCTCTATGTGTAAAGTGCAGGGAATACATCCAATTTTACAATTCTTTATTTCCCGAATTCTTAATTAGTATTTTGGAGAATGAAAGTGTTCTTTGTGATTTTACGCTTCTCCGATGCAATTTGCGTTTGATTTTGTTGTTTTTATGTTGCTATTCATATGTTCCAAGTATGCTAATGTTCTGTTTTTCACGGGGATTCTATTGAGTTGAAGCACAAAATTAAATCGACAATTTTCTAAATTCCCTCGATGTTTTACTTGAGATGTTGGGCCGTTCTCCTCTGCGACTGGTCTTAATTTGTCATCATCAATATCTTAAAACTTTATTGAGGAAGTTTCCCGTATTTCTGTACCTTATGGAAATCCTTCGATATCTTCAGGTTTGTTGATTTTGTATTCTAAAAATAATCCCATTCACGGAACCCCTTGAATCTTTGAACAAAAAGGATGATCTCCTCTGTTCCTGCTATCGAGAAACAGGTGTTTCCATTTGCTCGCGGGCTTCTTTGCAGTGTTTGTGATTCCTTGCGGGTGCAGAATTTTGTTTGCAAATGTCGCGCTGAAACCAGCGCAAAATACACTTCCAGGTTTGATAGGCATTTTCCATTCTTTTATAAGAACATGGTACACGTAAAGCCTTAGACTGTTTCATCCTCGTGGACTCTCTAGCTCTTCTGGCATTATCAGATAATCTGAGACATAAATTCTAGAATAACTCCTTGCTCTTTCTCAGCCACTGTACATTGTATTGTTCGCGGAAGAGGGTTAGGCAGTGTTAAACGATAACCTTCGTTTGAATACATGAACACCAATAGCATCGATTATCGTAAATAAGCGTAGAGCCTTTCAGTCCAGCTTCTTCCAGTATTGATCTGTACAGTTTGAAATCTAGACAATTAGGTCTTGGGTTTGCTTTGAGGTTTTTCTAATCATTTCATCAAGTCTTTGCGAAGCTTGGTCATCCATATTCCTTTTATTTCCATTTGTGCTTAGCTTTCGATATCACACGCCTTTTTATTCACCGGATATGAAAAGCAGAACTGGTCAAGAATGAGGGGTGTAGCTCACCTTTCGATGTGTTCGTATACCCAGTACCTCATCGAAATCGCTTTTCTTTGCGGAAGACAGATCGATGCGTGCACTTTGACTTGTCCTTCTAAGAACGCTAGCCTCCTGGGAGCAAAGGGCACTGAGTAACTTGAGATATCTACGTTTTTCAAAAAGACTAGTCCCTCAGTTTGTAAGGCTCCGTGTACTAGGCGAGTCGAAATCGCTTGTTTTCGAGGACGCTAGAAACATTCGCCCGTAGGATTGCATTACACGCAGTTATTTACGACGCTATAGATAATTTTGGTTTGCTACCAGACAATGCTTTTCGTTGTTGCTTGCTCATTCCAGATGGCAGTCAACATTTTTTTATCGTCTCTTTCCGTTCACTTCAAATATGGGGCAAGCTGGTTCTTGACCCGATTAGTAGAATAAGATAGTATTCGTGAACTGAGTTTTTTCTTTCGTTCAACTTGCCGTTTCGCCTGTGCAACCTTCTTCGACTAAAGTATTGTGACTGGCTCATGTCCTTGGCGAGACTCGGACATTTGTGGTATTCTTGAGCTGACGTCATTCTGAAAGATGCCTCGTCTTCTCTACGCGTCAGTCTTCTTATTCCTTTTGTTATGTAATGGTTCTTGCAGGTGCTATGCGCGAGTATAAAATCGTTGTGCTAGGAAGTGGTGGCGTAGGAAAGTCGGCATTGGTATGTTTCTATTTTTTTCAATTTAATTTTTTGCATTTATTTCCTTCATATGAAGTCCTGAACAACCTTTGTTATAATAACCAATTTGACCAGCCGAGTTCAGTCAGAATCTCTATTTCTAGTTCTTAGGCCTTAAACAGGCCTTCTCATGGCGCTGATTCCAATTTTGGCACTCAAAATGCGTGAATTCCTCAAAAAACCCCATTTTGGAGACAATCTTGTGAGAAGCTTGGACGATTGCTCCTAATGCTATCCTTGGCGAAAGCAAGCATTAGCAGGTAGACGCAATGTGTTCCATTGTGTTTACGACATGAAACACGTTAAGGGCCGAGAAGAGTTCGTTCAAGGGGGCGGGCCGTGCGAGGGAGTGGGCGTGGTCCTCGAGGCGCGGAGTTTTCTGCGCCTGTTTTCTCCTTCTGCAGGATGTTCAAAAGTCGGAGTTGCACGATAGTTCTAGATCAAAGTTCTAGTACTCGAGTATGATAGTATCTGAAAATTCCAAGCCTGGACGCTGCCTATCCTCTTCGCTATTGGTCAGATCAGAGAACGGACCAATAACAAAGTGGATCAGTGTAGCTTTGCAATAGCCATAGTCAAATCAGCATCAGCCGATAAAATGTGATTTTTGCTGTGTATATGGTATACCTAGCATTATAAGAGTGAACTGTACTTCAGTTGTGGAGAGAGGGGGGGGGAGGGTTTAACCCATTTGAAGCTGGAGTTGGTGGGATTTTAATTCCGTAGAATAGTAGGCCAATGATCACATGCCATAAAAAGCGGCATGTTGATAAGCTGATATGCCTCTGTCACATCTTTTTTTCTGGAACTATTCTCACTCTCTGGACACCTTCCGTGAGTTGAGCATTTACTTATAGTGGCCCCTGACCGCATCAAAACCTCATTGAACACATATCAGGGTGGTACCTTCAATTATGGCTGTATGTATGAAACTGCATGAGATTGTTTCAGACAGTCCAATTTGTGCAAGGAATATTCGTGGAGAAGTATGATCCTACCATTGAAGATAGCTACAGAAAAGTTGGTTGCTCTATACTATCTCAAAAGTTGAATTTTGTGATAACTTGTGTTTTCAGCAAGTCGAAGTTGATGGTCAACAGTGCATGCTTGAAATCTTAGACACTGCTGGAACGGTAAGATTTTTGTGCCACAGTCTGTGTCAATGTGCTGAAGGATATGTTTTGAAGGAACAATTCACAGCTATGCGAGATCTCTATATGAAAAATGGACAAGGCTTCGTGCTTGTCTATTCAATCACAGCTCAATCAACCTTCAACGATTTGATGGATCTCAGGGATCAAATACTGCGAGTGAAAGACACCGACGAGGTATTCCCCACCATCGGTCACGTTTTTTTTTTGCTCCTGGCTTTTTTTGACTATCCAGTGGCTTGCTTCAGGTGCCAATGATATTAGTTGGTAACAAATGTGATCTCGAAGATGAGCGTGTGGTCGGCAAGGATCAGGGTCAAAATCTTGCTCGGCAGTTTGGCTCAGCATTCTTGGAAACTTCAGCAAAGGCAAAAATCAATGTCAACGAGGCAAGCTATTGTTAATTGAACTTTTGTCTCAATTTACTATGACAACTAAGAGTTTTTGCTCTATCTTTCGCTTCCTTTTCACAGTCAATTCTAGCAAAACTTTGAGGGCAATTGGCACAATTGGCAACGATTGGCCACATCTCATCTAGTACTTGATTGCACAATTTCTTTTGTAGGTATTTTACGATCTGATCAGACAGATCAACCGTCGTTATCCTGAAAGCGGCAAACGACAAGGCCAAGGTTCGAAAAAGTGTTGCAAGTGCACACTGATGTGAATGGGTGCATAATTTTATCACTGCTTCTCCGATCATCCTCTTTTCCTCTTTCATTTTTTGTACGAGCACTCAATTGTGAATGATTTCCTTCAAGCGATTGGAATTACTGGAACACCCTAGCCTTATGGTTGTGACTTTTAACGCTGTTGACGTTTTAGAAGATCGTCTCTTACAAACACTCCTTTTTCCAAAAGCTTTATTCCGTTGACCAAATCATTTTACCTTTTAGATTTCTGCTCGTTTTTTTTTGCAAAGATTTTCTCTCGAGCTATGATTTTCCAACAATTTCTTCGACTTCTTCTGATGCTGGTTGTTACTGTACTCAAGTCTTCTCTAGCCGTAACACTTCCCTTTTTTGTAACGCGTCTTTTCTATGCACTTTTTATTAAAATGCTGTTCACGTCCGGTTTCTTCATATCGCGTATTGCCTGTATAATTCATACCTATACAAGTAATGTTCGTTCAAGTTTTCTGTTCGATCTTATGAGGTTTGCCTCGTCTTTTCGCAGATAATCTTTTCATTTCGTTCAATATACTACCATTTACCAAATTACGGTGAAGCGAGATGTCTCCACATGCTTGGATGTGTTGGTGTGCCTTTCAACAAGCAGCGTGACCACATTCTCTGTCTCCTTCCGAATTGCGCATATTAATTCTATTTGTTGATGTATGACTTTCGATGCTGGTTGTATAAATTGACAAAGTTTTCGAGGAGGATAAAGTTGGTATAATCAGCTGTAAAAGTTGCATAATCATCAGAAAATGATTACAATTCCAAGGCTCAGTGCCGGTTTGATTCGAATAATGCGCTGGAAGCTGTACGAAATGGTCTTTTTTCGTTGGATTGTAGAGACAAAAAGGCCGTAAATAGAGATAAGGCACAGACTTCAGCTCAAAATCTCGCAGAATGATGTCTATATCTGAAAATTCAAGGGTAGGAATTCATCCACAACCTCGGTCGTCCTAGGTCATGGGAAGCTTTGCCCTTCCAACATGTTTGTGAAGGTTAGCGAGCTCCGATCTTCATCAGTGGCCGCTGAAGCGAGACTGTTCTGCGGTATGTGATTCAGTAAAAGTTTAGCAATGCAATACAAGCTAAGCATAGTGCACTGGACTGTTAATAGTCAGCTTTTTCCGATGAGATGTATAACAGAAGTCTCTCTCCAAAACATCAACAAGATCTTGCCAATGCCAATCGTTCCTTTTTGCTGAACAATCGTGAATCTAGTTGCAGAAATGGCGCCAGATGCCACCATTTTGAACAAAGATCTATAACGTCGAAAGGACACGCATAATCTGAGTCATCTACAGTAAGTAAGATTTTGGCGGTGCTGCTATCCCACATTAGCTGACCCAGAAAATAAAAATCGTGGATTTCGCTAAAACTTCTGCTAGGGAGGTTATTTGGTATGCTGAACACGAATATGATGTTTATTTTGTGCGACAGCGCCATCCGGTGGAGTTACGGTAGGACTATGGTGTAGGGGATTACGAACCTAAATCACGGATTTGCCGAGACTTGGCCCAGAGGGGTTATTCGGCCCGCTGATGCTGAATATTATATTTGTTTTGTACCGTAGCGTCATTTTCTCTGGGTTACGGTGGGTACACGGCAGGGGGTCAAAATCTCAAAATCCGCGAGGTCAGGAAAGAGGTTAGGAAACCTATGGCATTGGCTGTTCTGGATTTCATAGCACAGGTTTTGGATTTTTAAAGGGCTTGCTTAATCGCTGGACGTCGGAAGCTTATTTCATGTTTATCTCTGTAATCTGAACCTAGCTGAAAGTCACTAAGCCACTATTGGAAAGTACATGCTTTAGGCTCCCAATAAGATTTGATATAAGCAGACTCGTTTTGATAGAACGAAGTTAGGATTTTTTTTGAAAAGGTTTAACTTAACCTAACCTTGCTCACAGACAAGAAAGTTTCATTTCTATTTTGCAGAATTCGCATTACGACCATTTATGCATTTAAGATTTCACAGAGATCTAGTTTTCAGCTCACATAACTTCTGTTGCTATCGCTACCATACATCAACGGAAGTACGATCGCAAATGTACTGTAATTTTGTGATTTCGATGGTTCTAGTAGATCTGCGCTCCAGTTTAGCAAACACCGTTTCCGTGTTCCAATCAGCAGTCATATTTCACACTTAATTTTTTCGAACTAGTGCTAGACAGAAGCCTACCATGATTTAGAAAAGCATTATCTTCGGATTTTGAATTCAAAGTCAAATCTTACTTATGCTATACCTCAAGGTCAGCCAAGCCACCTCGCTTTTGCTTGATGCTTCCTACCAGTTATAGCTTAAATTACGCTTGTGCTGACTGCTAAGATTTTATACTAACGTAAGCAAAAATTATAAAGAAAAAATAATTCGCTCTGACCGTGAAGAATAATGTTTTTGCATAATATCTGACTAAGCAAAACCGTGCTTTCAGATCACCATTGCTTGAGAAAAAGAAACAATGTTTCAGAATAGTCACAACAACAAACGTACACAGACTGCTGGATCTAAGAAACAACTGGTCATATAGAGAAAAAATTTGTTGTTTTGAGAAGGAAATGATTTACGGCGAGAGGAACATAAGCGTCTTCATCTTTGTGAATAGCGAATGTCTAATGTCTCGAAGACGCATGAGGAAGCGATTCTGCGCAAAAAATAATAAGAATTGAGGTCGGCATAAGCTATACCAAACAAGAAAGCTGTGTTGATCCAGTAGGATAGAGTCATCACGCAAAGACTTGTCGTTCTCTTGACGATGCATGCTGTAGATGGGTGCAAGTTAATCCGACGAAACATAATCCCATAAGGCGTTTCTGGCGTTTGAACGTGACAATTCATCATTTGCGCGACGAAGCGCCAAAATGTCGATTTTTGCGTAAGTTAATCCTCGCGGCCGGCTTAGGTGCTTGCCAGCAGCTTCTACCTCTTGGAAGGTGGGTGTTATAGAGAACTACTCGCAATGCAGTATGATTTACGAGATAACTACTTCTGCGACTTCAAGAAGTCAAAAGAATGAGCGAATACGCAAAATTATTCTGTTAGTTCTCGATCATATTTCTGTGTAAACTGAAGATAGAAAAGGCAATATTTATCTCATGTGCAAGTGATAGATCCCAGAAAATGCGTAATTTAAGCTTATATTATAGAAATGAGAAAAGTTTCACATGCTTTTGAATACTGAGTGCTGCATTTCCAGATCTCTGATTCGCTCAAGTTGGAACCCACAGGATGTGCATGAATGCTCTGTGTACTCTGCTTCCCTTCACAAAAAAAACGAAAGATGAAGCGCGCTAAGATACAAAAGCAAATATGAAACTCTCTCTACAACAAAAAAGGAAGATCTTCTTTAAGAGTAAAACGGAGATCCCTGCAAAACTGAGAGCAAGTGAATATCAAGTGAAGATTAGCACGTTGAGTTGACTTCAAAATTAAAGCATAAGCAGAATAATGCGAACCGGAAAAGGTTTACAGTTGGAGTTGTTCAACACCTTCTATTCAGTAGCAGCCACCCTCTTTTTGACAGCATCCTCGACTTGCTTCATTTTAGCATTGTAATCCTCCTGTAGACATAGAATTTGATGTCTCGATGAATTATGATAAACAGAAATTCAACCTTGTTCGCAGAAGATGCAGCTACCAACTCCTCCACATTTTCTAAATCTTCCAGTGTTGCTACTATATGGGCAGGATGTAAAGAACTAGACATATGGTTGAACACAATGTTTCTCAATGCTTCTTCACGATCTGCCGTGCCTATCTGCAGTGAAAACAAATTGAAGATGTAGATAAAATTTCGCTTTCCTCAAACAAAACCAACATTTTCGTAGACATTCCTAATTTGAAGGGAATAACCTTGATCAGGAATCCTGAAACGATAGTTCACTGCTCGATAATGGGTTATGCATACAGAGATTCAAATGCAGAAGAAAAACAAACTTTACGATAGGACGAGAATGCGATGGAGAGCGAAACGCTGCGCTCAATCTATCTAACTCCCCTTTGACGACGGATTTAACAGAGAGCAGAGAGCGAAGATAGTCGGACTCAAAACATTTGCAATTAGACGTCAGCAACACTTGCAAGCAGACTTACCTCATATTTCGACTCAAGCAGTAATCTCTTCTGCTCTCTCGATACCACACCAATCATGCCTTCGGTACCTTCAGCCGTAAGATCGTAAGATGCAATCACTTCTTTCATTTTCTCATGCCACTTAGAAGTGAGAAACATGACCTTCTCAGAACTGCGCCAATCGTTCTCAAAAGTATCAGTCAAGAGGGAACCAAGATTCAACCTAGCAGGAAAACTGCCCAAGGCTGCCCAATGTATAAGCGAAAAATGCAAGGTTTGGCTTTGTAAGAGTCATAATTGCAGACTAGCACTGAACTATAACAATAGGTCTATACAAAAAATTTACTAGCAATAAAGTTGAAAAACAATACTTGCCTCTTCTCTGGAGGATTTCTCAATTCCGTAAGCAGCGAAACATCGATCGAGAGCGTTCTGGCATGAATCGCTTGTTGTCGAGACAACAACATCGTCCACTCTGTAAAAGAACATAGGTAAATCTAAGTGATAGAAAAGTTTCCCTTGATGCACAAAGCACTGTAAAAGCAACTTACACGATGGCTTCACCACTTGTAGGGGTCTGACCAGGCCCAGCGGAAGGTCCTAAGTGAGCAAATGTTGAGGTGCTTTCGATGACCTGTCCAAAACTCACAAAAAAATTTACAACACACCTTCAGCTTGTCCCACTTCTGCGCTGGTACCTGCTGCCACCTGGAGAACCGACGACTGCGAAGGCACTTCATGAGCTAAACAGAAGCTGTGAAGTCATAGCGCTTGGTCAGATGGACAAATTTAGAGCAGAAAACACAACTATAGCCAGTTTACCAAGATTTTTACAGATAAGCTCGTTGAACAATTTCACATGTATAAACAATCGATAATGAATGATGAGAGTGGGAGAAAGAAATGTGAGGAACAAGTAAAAGGTATCGAGTGAAGATGTATGCTGTGTGGGAAGAGAATCACCCCTTGCTTGTACACCATTGAGCGGATAAAAGTTTGCGTTGCTAAGCGAGGGGCAGCAAGTAGGCGCTGTCTCACTTTTGGATATAACACTCTCCAATTTTTAGCAAGATTTAACCGAAGAGTAAACACAGTCACTTGTTCAATGTGTGCTACGACAGTGGATCCAATTCTAGCTGATGGTGCATATACCGGTGAAAAACATGGCATGAAACCATAATTTTTAACGTCTGTAAGTAAAACAGGAAGTGCCACAAAGACGCACCTTCAACCACCTGTTGCGGAGCATTCTCGTCGTGTGAAGCGCTGCTCAAAGTCGGAGTCTCCACCAGATCTTCGAGATCTTCGATGTCGTCACTTTCCTCAATGGCCATAGCCTCATTGCGGTCGGCTGCCTGAATTGTTTGTCCTGATTCACTTCTCGACGAAACAAAGCAACTACCAATTCTTCCAATCTCAGCCTTCTGATGGAGTCTTTCTCAACCTTATGAATCTCCCCTGAAAATGCATTTACATTCAGTAATAGGATTTGTTCTATAAAAAAGCCTTGACGCAGAATCTTACTCGTAAAATCCAGAGATCCCGGTGTTCTTCCCGTGGAAGTGGAAGGGGATTCATTACTGAACAAACGATTGGGTCCCGTGTCCTCCTGGCGTGGAGGTGTTGTCATCGGTGACCTCCCTGCTGAAGCAATATGCTTTTTGTCAAACATAAAAAAACATGACTGTTACTCAACCTTGTACGCGTTCTTCTCGTGAAACTCGCTTGAAAGCTTTCAAGGTCCCCGAAGGCTTCAGTTCGATTTGGATTTGAAATCTCAGCTCTAGTCTGAAAGCATCATTTCACATGAAAGTGTTCACAAGTCTGTATCATTGCAACTGAAGAAGCAAACACATATTTTTGAATTTGCCATCTGCAGAGTCAAACTGTCCATGGCAAAAGTGCGCAAACAATTCAAAACTGAGATAAAATAGCACACCACTTACGCAGTTTTGACATCACTGTTCATCGGAATCTGATAACGCAAATAGAGGTACATCATGACATTACAAGGAAGATTTGCATCATAAAGCTTGTTTATCATATTTTTACGGAACCTGAAAAGAAGAACTATAAAAGCTGAAGAATCTCATTTAATATACTACTAATTCACCTGGAATTCAGACTATCCGCTGTTCTTCCCTCATTTTCAAGCGCATACATTTTCCAAATTTCAAGACCTTTGGGTTGCCATGCGGCAGGCACACCCTTTCGCAGTTGTCTGAAGTTTTGCTGTGCGAAAACTAAGCGTCAAATTTTGAAAACACTCACTCGTACAAGTACATCCACATGCGAGTTTCATCTTCGCGAGAGTAAGCCGCGCGTTCTTTCACCATAGTTTTTGAAGAATCAACCACAACAAAAATCCTGAATTCGGGACTCCGAAATATTCGGAAACTGAGTTTTCGCGGAATTGGAAATGTTCTGCATTAGTGCGTAATATATGCCGCAATATAGCGCTGATGCTCTCAGTAGAGCAGAGAAATATCATCGGCTTCCAGATTCGTGTGGAGGTGGAGTCTTGCCAATTCACCGCGTGGCGGTTTTTGCTAGCGAGAGAGTGCGAAAAGCTATGCTATGACGTGAAGGTTTCACAAGTTTACCCCTGTTACCAGGCAAAGTCTGCAATACACCTCCAATCGAAAGACGAATCTGGAAACCGATCATACTTCCCCGAGAAGAAGAATAAAAGGTACTATTCCACATTAGTTGACCCAAAAAATGAAAATCGCGGATTTCGTTAAAACTTCGTCTAAGGCCCCGGTCAGACCTCACGCGACTTAATCGTCGCGATCTAATCGCCAAGATTTCCATTCATTTTCATTTCACATTCAAGAATTTCGGGCTGGAAAAGTATCACAACCGAATGCAAGTTGATCTGCATGGAATGATGTTGTAACAGTTGTCTCGTCGCGATTCAGTCGCGACGATCAAATCGCGTGAAGTCTGCCCGGGGCCTAAGGGGTTTATTTTGCACGCTCAATACGACTATCACATTTATTTCGCACGGTAGTGCCATCCGGTGGACTTTGGGATTACGGTAGAGGGTCAAAGCCACGGATTTGCCCGGAACTTGGCAGGGGTTATTAGGCCCGCTGATGCCAAATATCACATTGGTTTTGAGCCGTAGAGTCATTTTCTCGGTTACGGTAGCTACACGATAATGGGTGAACACAGATTTGCCTGAAACGGGTGTGCGGCGATTGGACGATCGTGAAGCTTTGCACACACGACACACACGACCACCGCCGCGCACCACACACCCTGCTGCGGCTTTTGCCTAAGCAAAGCACAGGGGAAAGATACATTTGCCGATCTGTGATTTTGACCCCCTATCGCATACCCACCGAAACCTGAGGAGATGCTACAGTACAAAACCAATGTGATATTTGCCATCAGCGGGCCGAATCATCCCTCTGAGCCAAGTTTCGGGCAAATCCGTGATTTTGACCCCTTACCTAATCCTACCGTAACTCGACCGGATGGTGCTGTCGCACGAAATATACATCATATTCGTGTTCAGCATACCAAAAAACCTCCCTAGACGAAGCTTTAGCGAAATTCAAGATTTTCATTTTTTGGGTCAACTAATGTGGAATAGCGCCCAATAATATGTCTCTAAACAGCACAGAATTCCTCAGAATATCCAGTCATCCGCAGACGATGGATTCGTACTTCACTGCCTCCACATTTGGAATTTAGATACTAAAACAAATCACGAATATCTCTAGACCGTTATTTATCTGTCTCATGGAGGATTCAAAACATGACAAATTGATTTACTAGACGCATGTGCGCTATATAGAATGCGAACGATGCAGCAGCGCAGCGATTGAGTCATTCAAATGTTTTTTCTTCTACGCAAACACGGTATCGTCGCGCTAGGACCAAGCCGCGATGAACGATCGAATCAGCTCGGATACTCGTACAGCAACTTACTAATTAGGCATGTCAGACGCTTCATAAGGTGTAAGAACAAGATCGAACATGATGAACAGGTCGAAAGTCAAGCGTTCAGCGCACATTAGAGCTTTGAATGGGCCGGAAGCTCAGGTCCCCCACTCGCTAATGTTGTGCTGGTGGGTGTTTTTTATACACTCTGAGACGAGTCATCGCAGATTCTTGCTGCTGCTGGGAATTGCATTTCTTTACTGAATCCTAAAGCTACAACAATATTGCTTTACAACAAATTCTGAAGAGCTTGGCGGGTTCATTTCGTCTACAGGCTTCTATTCATTATCATGGTTTCAGGAGGTGGAAATGTGGTTTTTTTTACTGCAGTAATGCTGAAACCATTTTCTTCCTTGAGTTTATGTTAGTCACATATTTTCTCTTTCTATAGCCGTTCGTAATGGCTGCATTCGCTGCCGATTACTCCCTCCGTTCAATATCTGCACTTTCAGTGTGCTGTGCCTGTTCAAACTGAATGCGTGTTCGCCTATCGATTCTGTTTTCCACATTTAATGTAAGCTTTGCAGTCCTGGACACGTCAACATTCTTAGATTTTCATGCGATTTTTTTCATCTTGGATATGCTTAATATTCAGCCTAACGTCTTCACTTGGAGTACTTGTGAAATCTATTGCGAATCCTGCAAAATGCACTTTGTAGAGTCATATTTGTAAAATCAATTGGATTTTTACGTGGTTTTTTGCCATTACGTAAGCTTAGCTGAAGCCAGTTTATTGACAATAGTTGTCAATTTCTACGCGTCAGTCGTGAGTTTCCTGCATCGTGAACTGAGCAAGTAAAAATTCTCCCAGAATGGCCGAGGTTAAAATGGCCGAGGACGAGAAGCTAGCTGAGGCCCGCGAGAAGAAGGCAAAGAATGTGATGCGTGAGTTGAGGATTCAAAAGCTTTGCCTAAATATCTGTGTTGGAGAATCCGGTGATCGACTTACACGAGCAGCCAAGGCAAGTACTACATTTGGCTTATTGGGATGACTTATAGATAGCTATTCCAGGTGTTGGAGCAGCTCACTGGTCAAATCCCCGTACTTTCTAAAGCCAGATACACTGTGCGATCATTCGGAATCAGAAGAAATGAGAAGATTGCCGTACACTGCACGGTTCGCGGTACAAAAGCGGAAGAAATCTTAGAAAAAGGACTGAAAGTCAAGGAATTCGAGCTGTATAAGGAAAATTTCTCAAACACTGGGAACTTTGGATTTGGTATCCAGGTGAGACTTGCAGAATCTTTTACACTTTTAATTTACACTATAAATAAGTTAACCTTTAGTGAAAATCTTGTGAAAAATAATTGAATTTAAAACTACAAATGTACCAATAATGATTTGAGCAGCATGTATATAAAACAGAAAGAGCACCCACTCTCAGAAAATTTTCAGAAAGACTAAAACATTGATCTTTGAGAAAAATGTTCGTAAATATGCTTAGATTAGATGTTCCAGCCAAAATCAAAGTTAATTGGAGTACGTAAACACAGAAAAAATCTGCCAGATGCGGTCATTACGGCTGAATCATGGATGAGCAAGCACCACCAAGAGCACGAAGTTCCTCTCACCATAATGCGCCTACACTTTCGGAACTGAAAGCGAAACAGAGAATCTTTGAACTTGACTAGCATTTAGTGGTGTCACGCGATGCGCAATGACCACAGCAAAAGTCGTGGACACATTTATCTGGCATTATAGATTACACCAGTGCTTCACCTCTGCTTCGCAGAGGTTCGCACTGGCATCGTGAACCGTGGTAAACTCACTTTCTGAGAGCTTGTCTCTCAAATCATTGTTCGGTTTATTGCAACGTGAGCCGCAGTTAAAAATGAACCATACTCGCTATCTTAACCTCACATGATGTTAGTATCGTAAATCATTCTTCACTGTAATTTCGTAACGGACAAACTCCACACAACTTCAGATTAAGCCGCTTATTATAAGTCATGATGAGATCATGAGAACAACAAGGCCATCATTATTGATCTTTGCAAAGATTTTCAGTTTTCAAAAGAATTTCTGCCTAGATATTCTAATGACGAAATTTTGTATGACTTGAGATCAGTAACCGAAGAATTAATATGATAGGTAAGATATGCAGTGATGGTAAACCTGAAGTCCCATTCAAACTTGCAGGATTCATATTACCTAAGGCTAAAGACTTTCTAGGAGCACATCGATCTCGGCATAAAGTATGACCCGGCCATCGGAATCTACGGAATGGACTTCTACGTCGTCCTCGCTCGCGCTGGTAGTCGTGTAGCCAAAAGAAGACGTGCTCCAGGACGCGTTGGACCCTCTCATCGTGTGACACGCGATGAAGCTGTAAAGTGGTTCCAGCAAAAGGTGATTTTTATTTTGCTTCAATTGAATGGTGTTTTCGAATTTTTCATCTTCAGTATGATGGAATTATTCTACCGCCCAAGCCAAAGGTGAAGCGCGCCATCCATCGTAGACGTTAAACTGTCGTTAATTGTTGAACACTAACCCGGTTATGAAAATAAATTGTTGATTTGTTTATCTTGATGTGCAGTCATAACATATGGCTCGTGAGCCGATAATGTTTCACAAATTCGCAGCTTTGGTAACTGCCTGTGATGCTTGTAGTGAGAAGATTGGATGATAGATAATTAACGATAAATTAAATATGTGTATAAATATGAAAAATATAATGTTGTAAATTTGGTAAAATACGAGAACACCAAGAACTAAAATCTATAACGCGCTATAATCCATATCAGACGCGCCAGAACATAGTTCAGCAATTTAGAGTTTTCTCCACACCTTCTGAAAGTCTCAAACTGTATATGATTTGCATACGATTGGTCTACACTATTTTCTAAAATAAAGAAATGGTTACATGGTGGCGTGGAGTCGGAGGTCAACTGCTAAATTCTGTATACGTCTCTCGCACACTGATTCAAGGTAATTTTCACTGTTGCTGTTATTCTTTCTGTTCTGGGGATCAACTTCCTGAGTGGCTTTGAACCCTTTGAAAGGAAGATTTTTCTTTTGAGGACGAGGAAACGCTTGGCGGGCATGCCTTGGAAAGATATGTCGGCAGCAATATCTTCGTCATTATCCTGTTAAACTGATCAGACCAGATGGATCGAGTATAGAAATCCGATATCTGGAACCTAGATCAGTGGGTTGCATTGATTTTTGAATCCATATGATGTTCTATCAACGCATATGTCACACAAAATTCCTTTGATGCTTGGCTCCAAAAGTTCAAGCTTTTAAAAAGACTAGAGAAGGCAGTGGAAGTTAGTGAAATCCAAGAGGTGGCACGCAAAAAGTTTCCTTGACGCATACTTAAAACACATGTCACGATGAATCTCTGTTCTTTAGGTTGTGCAATTACCAGTCGATGTCAATGCATTAAGTGAAGATGAGAAACGACAACGCTTGGCTGCCAGAAAGCCGAAAGCAAAGAAAATAGTACAGGTCAGTCATTGATGTTCGATGTTCTCTATATTCCAACAAATTTCAAAATGTGAGCTGATCATCTTTATGATCTTTCTAGGAGAAAATTGATGACAATTTCGACCCTTCTGAGTACATGAAGTTCTGGAATCCTAATGTACAGGAGAGTCGAGAGCCTACTCGAGAAGAACCAAAAGAAAGCAAACCGAAAAAAGTCCGAAAAGCGAAATAGATTTAGTCAGTTATGTTAACTAGGTATATTTGTGCTTCTGATAGATTATCGAGATAAATTTGTTTTGTTTCGTACTTCAATATCTTCATGCGGTATTGTCCAAACACCGATATCTATGTAGAAGCCAAGACGGCTTCACATGTGTACACAAATTCAGAATGGCTCCTCGGTACACCATCTTACTGCCAACGTACAACGAAAGTGAGAATCTTCCGATTTGCATATGGCTTCTTGAGAAATACTTGGTGGGCATCAGTTACGAGGTTGGTGATTTTCGAGAATATTATCTTTTATACGCAAAAATCGAAACTAAATATCTGTTCTTGACGTCGTAATATACTGTATTTACCTTAATCAGTTGTCACCAGTTCATAAAGTTTCTATTGGCCGTATGTGACTAGACTATTGAGGAGGTTGTGGTGAGCTCTAAATGTTGTCAGTGTAAAGCTTGTTCCTAACACCACATAATACTGCGGTGCGAAAGCGGTCATCGTCTTTTGTCTGCATCCAGTGCGCTCCTGCAATGATAGGATAGGTGTTTGACTGCCGCGTTGCGCCCTCTTCGCCGATGGGCATCCGCCTTCCTCTCGGATTAGCCTTTACCACACTTGTGACATGTCGTGTTGCTTTGTCTGACATCGCTGATAATTGAGCACTTGGAAGCATCGCCTCTTCGGTCATGCACGGTAATATCTCAAAACTGAATAAAACCGATTTTAGGTAATTGTGATCGATGATGCCAGTCCAGATGGTACACAGCAGGTTGCGGAACGTTTGCAAAAGGAGTACGGTGAAGACAAAATTGTCCTGAAACCTCGCGAAGGAAAGCTTGGCTTGGGTACCGCCTACATCCATGGCCTGAAATATGCACGAGGAGAGTGAGTAATCTTTGTACTTAAAGTCTTCCATGATCTTCTCGCAAGTTGCACTCATCCAGGTTTATTATTCTGATGGACGCCGATCTGTCTCACCATCCAAAATTCATTCCTGAAATGATCAAATTGCAGGAGAAAGAAAACGTGGGTTGATTTTGAGCTTGTCACATTTGTTGATCTTAGCGCAATCGTGAGGAGTTATACACTTATTTAAGCTGGATATTGTGACAGGAACGCGTTATGCACTTGGAGGAGGAGTTTGTGGTTGGGATGTGAAGAGAAAGACAATAAGCAAAGGTGCAAATTTCTTAGCTCAGGTGAGTCAGTCACCACTTGCTGTGGATTGAATTTTTAGTATATTGCGGATCATCGTGTCTCAACATTCTTGCTATTGTTACCGCTGTTGCCGCTGTTACCGCTAGTTACCGGTGTTATCAATGTTACCAATCTTCATCAACCGTTTTTACCGTTGTTGCCGGTTTGTGCTGTAAAGATGATCGGCTCGCAGCATCAGTTTGTGCGAGTGATCCGCAAGTTGGGGTTTTTTTTTGTAATTTGTTACATCAAGTCGGAAAAAGTTGTTTGCAGAATCAATCATTCTGAAGTGGTAGACCGATAACAATTAAAGAACTGTTGCAGTGAACAGCCGGACACCGGTAACAGCGGTAATATATGGCCCAATCTTAAAATTCTTTCGTGGAAACAATGTATAGAGATTGCCTGATAGCTTTAGTTCCTGCTCAATCCTGGCGTTTCCGACTTGACCGGCTCATTCCGATTGTACCGCAAAGAGGTGCTTGCAAAGCTTATACACGATAGTGTCAGCAAAGGATATGTCTTCCAGGTAAGATTGTTCGCATCGAAAGATCGGTATGTATATCTTTATCCTAGATGGAAATGATGTTCCGAGCAAGTAAAGCTGGTTACAACATCGGTGAGGTACCCATAACTTTTGTGGATCGCTTCTTTGGCGAGTCTAAACTAGGCAGCCAAGAAATTATTGGTTACGTGAAGGGGTTATTATATCTGTTTTTCTGTGTTAACTAACGTTTTTGTTGTTTTCTTGCAACAGTCGTGCTTTAAGCATTTGTTTTTGTTGTATCTGCAATTCCTTTTTTTGTCTCTGAGATATTGTATCGTGCAAGTGTTTACGTGTCGTTTGCAGATGTGATATTCTATAAATTATGTTTTTTTTCTATAGGGTAGAATGAGTGTATTGAATGAGATATAATAAGATCAGGGAAAACGAAAGTTTAAACTGTATACATGAATTTCACACGCTACCGGTTTCGGGCCCAAGAACTAGACCGGTAGTGTAGTTTTCTTGATGGCCCATCCAGTAGTTCCCAAGAAAGCTGCAAAAGTGTAGAATTAAAATGATGACTGACAAGGGAAGTTCACTTATTCGAAGTGGCGATTCGGAAGGAGATCTATACCAGTGGATAGAGCTCAAAAAGCTGATCTCAGATATACCTTCTATATCTGCGACGCGTTCTTCAGAAAAAAAGTTATGAGCTTTTCTAAAGCCAAATTTTCGTGCATTTTGAGTCGCAAAATCATGATAATCGCTACACAAAATTGTGCAAACTTGAGCAAACCACTTAGTAAGCATTGTAGGATATCACACTTCCATTAAGTATACAAAAAAGCCCATAACCTCCATCTAGAAGAACGCGTCGCAGATATTGAAGATATTTTTGAGGACATCGTTTTACGTTATATCCATTGACAGTTTCCAAAAAGTTTCCGACGCGACGCTTTTTTCTAGATGGAAGCTATGGGGGCTTCTGTACACATAATGGAAGTGTGATAGGAATGGGAGACCTGTGGTGAACAGAATGGTCGAAAAACACTTGAAAGCGTTTGGATAAACTCGAAATAGACCTAAAATGCTTGTTAGGTGGTTTGCTTAAAGGCAGTACATCGGCAGAATGAGACCCGTGACAAAACAAGGTCACAGGGTAGGAGCCCCCATATGGAACCTATCGGCCAAAGTCCGATCTTTCTCTGCCACTTCTAACCCCCGAAATTTCAAAGCGAAAGCAGCGCTCATCTCCTGTCCTCTCCGAACCCGCCCACCCCATGGACGAGTGAACGCGAAGCCCGTCATGGCGAAGACGCAGAGTCGTTGCGGGACCTCATGCTTATAGCATTGCGGCTGGCGTTCTGACCGCGGAAGTCACTCGCCATGGGGTGGGCAGGTTCGGAGAGGACAGGAGATGAGCGCTGCTTTCGCTTTGAAATTTCGGGGGTCAGAAGTGGCAGAGAAAGATCGGACTTTGGCCGATAGGTTCCATATGGGGGCTTCCTACCTTGTGACCTTGTTTTCTCACAGGTCTCATTCTGCCGATGTACTGCCTTTAAGCGTGCGCACTTTTGTGTAGCGATTGTCATGGTTTTGCGACTCAAAATGCACGAAAATTTGGCTTTAGAAAAGCCCATAACTTTTTTCAGAAGGACGCATCGCAGATATAGAAGGTATATCTGAGATCAGCTTTTTAAGCTCTATCCACTGGTATAGATCTCCTTCCGAATCGTCACTTCAAATAAGTGAACTTCCCTTGTGAGAGCAGAATTTATGTAGAACGAGAGGAAAATAAGAAGGGTCCTAATAAGTGTGGAGAGGAGACTATTAGAAGTCCTGGAGGAGTGTAAGTCCGACTAGCTCCGAAGAGGTAGTAAGATATCACAGATGGTACATCAAAAAAAAAAGGTTTAGTCACAAGTAGTCCCATAACGCACATCCACGTGGAAATCAAACACACGATGTTAACGGGTACGGGTCAGGAGTCACGATTTTTCGCTAAGCAACGTCGTAACGCAACGTCAAGCGTTACGAGACTTAACATTCCTTAGTACTCCTATCGTAATGTTACTTATGCTATCGATTCATGTATCTGCCGCCACCCCCACCCTTTACTGTGGCGTTGTGGCACTTTAGCACCAGAGAATTATTGTGAAGCACAAAATTAGGGTGCTATGAGCGACTACCGTGCACGGTGTGACTCTTGACTTGGAGCTGATGTTAACCATCAAAAGTCTCACGGTTTCTTCCATTCAATGCAGCTGGATGGTACATCGAAACTGACGAAATGAGACTCCACTTCAATGATAGAGTTAAACAGATTAATGTTTGCCTCCAATGAAGTTTAGGTGGGACATCATTTTGAAAGCATTACTATAAAAGCGGTTGAAGTCGCACTTAGCGATAATGTCTGATATCCGAAATTTCCAGTGTTATTGCTATTTATTGCTATCTATCTATATGCTATTATCTATCTATCTATTGCTCTTGTCTATTGTTGTTATATCAGACAAACGAAGGGACTGAGAAATTGAAAATTAGTCACGTAGGTTGAATGTTATGAAGGTGCTGTCGCAGTAAGCAGCAAAGCAGCTGCAATTTTTGAAGTATCTAGATGGTATTCGAATGAAGCGAAGTATCATAGGAGGTCTAAAAAAAACATCTTTTATATTCTTGTGGCTTTGCCAGCGTGCTGCCATGCTTTTGTTATTCTTTTGTGGTTACAAAGAAGTGAATCGTTTCACATGACCAAACTGCTGAATACAAAGTCATGGTACCTTATTATGTTTTCTCGAATTTGAGGAGCGACGACAAAAGTTGCTATTTTCTGCCCTTTTTATGAGATATCACTGACATAAAAATAACTATGCCACTAGTTTAGATGACAGAATCTATGCTTCTGATAAGAAACATTGATTTTTAGGACTACACAGCGATTTGCTCTTCGGTGATGTTGTCCCTTATTTTAAAGATTGCTTGTGTACTTTTTGGATACTCTACTGTGCTAGTATGTATTATAGAATTTGGACCACATTCGAGAATTTCCGGCTTATGCAGGTGTACGGTTGATGTACAAATATATTAGGTCGTTCCATAAGTTCGTAGCGTTTTCATTCTCGTCCTCATATCTTTGAGGAGCGGTTGATTTGCGGCAAGATGCGTATATCATTTGGAAGGGCTGATTGTGCTCTTTAAAACGCGCCTACCGACTTCGGTGGAAAGCTGAATTACTCGGACTTCGCAGCTTCCAAAGATGGAAATTCTGAAAGGCAAAAAGGAGCAATCTCGGCATTTGCGCATTTTTCATTATGAAAAGAAGCGCTTTTGCACAGATTCTTGTGTCGATTATGGGACATGGTGCTCGCACATCAATTGAGACAAAAAAGGATTGGATTGCTAGGAAAGGTCAGGGACTGAGCAGGGTGTCCCTGAATAAGACTTTTTGGGGGACGGGCAGGACGACCTGCACTAAAAATTGCTGTACAATTAGGCGATGGTCAACCATACCGTAAGCAATCCGACAGCAGCGTCTAAACCAGGTTCTACCGCAGAAAAAGCTTAGCAGGCAGATTTAGTGAGCTTTTTTGCATGACGAAATATGGCCTCATACGGCAAACGTCGTCAAAACTGTCCTGCACGATGTGACTGGCAGGTACTTCAGTACCCAAATTACTCTACAAATCTTGCTCTATCAGATTATTACTTGCTTCGCTCTTTGGAAAATCTCATGAATGGTGCCTGTCTCGATTTCAATAAGTAGTTTGAGCGCTGGTTAGATGACTGTCTTGGGACCCGGCGCACTGCCGTTTGAAAAATTGAGGTTGAGAAGCTAACAAGAATGTGCCAAAATGTCGTGCGCTACAACGAGAAATGTAATTTTGATTGATTTCTACTGTAAATTGATGATTTTGTTGGTTTATAAAAACGCTACGAACTTATGGAACGACCTAATAGATGATGTGAATCTTTTTTCTGCACTCTTAAAAACGTTCAGTCATAGGTAACTTGGGAATCTTATATAGAAACAAGTAGTATTGCCCAGATGTTTCGAAGTTTCCTAATATGGTTAGTTGGCACCGCCTCCGTGATCACCGGCAGCTCACCTGCACCTGTAGATGTGAGTCCTGAATGCGCCGCATGTCAGTTGTTTGCAGTTGCACTGAAGAAAAAAGCGATATCAGGTAAGCTGTGGCATTAAGAATGATTGCGAGAAGTAGATGTTATCGAGCTCATTGATCGAAACTAATTAGGTAATAGGCATATGTAGATATGTTTACTTATGGCTATATATTAGGTGGGTCCGAAAATTCGTGCCATTTTTTGACCTGTTCTAAAATCGTTATGAAGATAGACAAATCATTTGAACAGTATCCAATGCAGATATTCTTCCTCTTTCTAGCAGCTATGTTTTCATTGTGACTGCTTCGACGAGCGCTGAGATAATTGTCGAAAACTAGAACCCTTCATTTTACTTTAACTTCTAACTAACGTCTAACTTTCGCTAATTTTCGGAATTTTCATTTTAGACTTTTGAAGGTGCACTAATAACCACCTGATAAGGCAAACTTTTTCATATCAATGCAGTTTTTTGCTTTTCATTTTCCTCTTTAGACTTTTGCTGAATCAATCTACTAGAGCATTGAATTTTGAGAAAATCGCCTGACACATCATTGCATCACACACAGCGAAATCCACAAAATATTGAAGTTCTAAAACTCGGTTAATACTACCACTAGTATCACGAAGTAAATGAGCGATTACGGCGTGAAAATGGACTCACCTTTGCGCACCCGTAAAATTGGATTACAGCGATTTTGTCTGCAAAAGTCGCATGTTTCGCGAAGAAAAGGTAGCTGTCAGAAAGAGGAAGAAAAGATCCTCGAATGGTTCTTAAACTGTTCAACGCTTGACGTTTGCGAGCTTAGCATGAGCCAAATATAAAATTTGGTCACCAGAGAATATATTTTAGTAATTCTGGAAAGCACGCTAGAGAGATGCAAAAATTGCATTAATTTGAAAAAGGTTTGCCTTATTGGGTGGTCATTGGAGCACCTTCAAAAGTCTAAAATGAAAATTCTGAAAATGAGCGAAAGTTAAACATGGTAAAATCGAAGGATTCTAGTATTCGGCAATTATCTTAGCGCTCGTCGAAGCATTCGCAACTGAAATATAGTTGCTGGAAAGAGGAAGAAATTCTGCATCGGATATTGTTTGAACGATTTGTCTATCATCATGCTAAACGACTTCAGATTAGGTCTGCAAAACGTCACGAACTTTCAGACCCAACTAGTATTTGAATACCAGTAGCAAGGGAGGAGGGGGGGGGGGGACGTCACCCGAGAATGGGTCGTGATCTTTGAAGGCTACTTACATGTGTCATGAAAATGTGTGAGTGACTCGTGTGTACTTGCAAATAATTGATACAATTCTTGGAAATTCGGATTACTCACTCAGATTACTTTGCTAGTCCTTCAATCAGCTTTCCTAGATGCTTTCCTAAATCTTCTGTTGGATAATCGCGTTTCTTCCAGCTGTATCTGGCAATGGCGTTTCGAGGATGTGTTCATCGTACACGGCTTCTCTTCTAAGCTTTGAGCGATGAGCGATGAGAGGATTTTCTTTCCATTCTCTGATTGATACGGATCTTCGCTCGCAGTATTCGGTGGTCCGAGCCTGTGCAGAACGACGGAACCACACCGACATCGACCAAACTCCATCTCCTATTGACAAGTACACGGTCGATTTTCGCATGCGCCGTGCCATTTGGTGACTCCCATGTCCAACGGCAATGTTCTTTCTTCTGGAAAAAGGAGTTTCCATGAAATAGTCGAACCGCTGCGATGACTCCGACAAATCTGTCTCCATTCTCGTTTCGACTTCCCAGACCAAATTTCCCAATTCTATCATCTTCTTGGACTTGTGTCTGTCATACCCTTGCGTTGAAGTCGTCGACAATAAACTTATAGAATGACTTCTCCTTGTAGATGGCACCTTCAAGCTCTTCGTAGAACTTGTCGAGCTCTCTTTATCTGCTGCCTCTGTGGGTGAGTAACAGTTGATGATGCTATCTTCTTCTGACGCGGGGTGGCAAGTCGAAGGACTGCTAGTCGTGGTGACAGAAGTTTATAAGAGTCGACGAGGTGGCTAACGGATGGGTACGACAAAGCCCACACCTCCGACGTTCCGTGTTCGGACCTTCTCTCCTAGTATCGCAAGAGTTTCATCCTTCCTCTTGAGTGTGGCCGAACTTCTGTTCTTGGTTTCCTGTAGTGCAATCACATCGTATTTGATGCGAGTTGCGGCGTCTAAGAGAACATGAAGCTCATGGACTGAGTATAACATTGTTGCATTGTAAACGCAAAATCGAAAACAGCCTCCATGTTTGTCGCATTCGTTTTGTTGCCGAAACGATCTATGGAAATCTCGCTTTTACGCCTGAGATTTCTTCGCCCCTCACCGGTCGTTCTGCCATCTGACGTCCCAAGCACAAAGAACACGCTGCGCAGGGTACTGAGGCGATTGGTATAAAATTGACAAAGCTATTAAAATTTTCCGCCATACCCTAGATAGGCTGGAGCGTTCTGGGGCTGTGTCGAAGCAGTCGCCGCTCCTAGTAACACTAACGGTTGTTGTCTCCTCGCGACTTCACTGGCGTTGTCAGGTAGGTGCAACGTACCTTAACATGATGACCTGAGGTGGTCTGCTTTAGTTGGGTTGACGCGTGAGTCTGGACCTTCTTGCACACCCAGGGGCACCCCCTCGCCACGTTGAGGCAGCAGACCATGAGAGGAGAAATTTCAAATGAGCCGTGTAAATCTCTTTCGGGGCGTGGCTTCAGCCGCTCCCCTTTCTAACAAAATGATTTTCGGAGTGCGTGCCTTAAGTCACGCACCTTCCTTCCTCAAAAATTTCTGTGCCCTCCCATGAACGGAAGGGTACGCCACTGTTAGCCTAGGTGCAGGCCCCAAAAAGTCATGTACCATCTACTCCTGTCTCTCCCTCCTGACATCACAGTCTTCTCGCTAGGTTGTCACTAGCTGCATCAGCTCCAACAAGAGTCATTCTGTCCATCTCAATTGTGGTCTTCGTCGAAAACCACAACTGAGATGGACAACGAAAACGCTTCGCTTCATCCCCAATGGTTCTCATTATCCATCTGTTTTTGTTCTTCTATGAACTTATTAGACAACAGGCGTTGAATAAGCGCAGGAGACTGATTCAGCAGTTTTTTCTGCAAGAAATCACTTTATGCCCGGAATAAATCAGAATCCTGGCTTGTCCACTGCTGCTGCCAGCATAACATGATATGATGATTCGCATAGGTCCTCCGAACTTCGTCTTCATTTGGCTGCTTTCATCTTCGCTTGCATGTGTTTCTGTAGATCCCCTTGCAAAACTATTCTGCAACCGGCACACGCTATTTTTGCGGGATGGGCTGCATTTGGATCACGACTCCAGGCTCTTCTTCTTTCCAACACCTCCATGATTTATCGAGATGTCTTCAGTAGACTTCTCATGGGACATTAGGGCACATTCTCCGCAGGCATGCAATTTTTTCAAAAGTCGGCCCTAGTTGTATGTTGGGTCATCCTCAGGGGCCAGCCACAACTCGATATGGGGTCCTCTAAGCTGTGACCGTCAAGGTCCTTTGCTTTTCGCGGCGGGCAGATCTTCTTTCCAAGCTTTTGTCGGAGTCATAGAACAAATATTTCTTCTACTAGGGAATTCTAATAACACCAACATCAATCCTGTCGCTCATTGCATGAAAATTCCACAATGTAAGCAGTTGACACACTGTGAGGTAAATTGCTAAGTTTCCTTATGAAGCTAGCAATACGAGTCGAAATTCAGATAGTAATATCACTGATGCGCGTGCCCACGCGCAATATCACTTCCGCAATAAAACCGCAGTTCCAGAAAGTGCTTTCATATCTGCATGAAGTGGCAGATCAATGTGAGAAGGGTATGCTTTTGTTTCAGGGAGCCTATCGCTTGAAATTTTCGATGAATTGCAGAGCCTCATGCTACCATACTCGGCGGAGCTGTACAAGGCGACAAGCCTAGCCCAACGCTTTGTACCATTTGCTTCTTGGTTTATAACCTCCTTCAGTATCTAAACAATGGTGAACTTGGACTCATCAGGATTTTAGAGTTACATAAACTCGTTTTAGAAATCCCCAAACTGCCATACGTGGAGATGATTCCCGACGCGCTTGGCATGACATGCGCGATCATTGCCGGAATGCACGAGGATATTCCACCACCTGTGGTAGGATAACTCTTTATTTTTGACGGATGAGGTAGTGAATCTGCGGTTTCGATAACATATGCGCGTCAAAGATTGTCATGTCTACATTGCAGACAGCACCCAGACGTGAAAACTGGCTTCAAAGCGTACAATTTCAAGTTGCGCGCCTCATGCCATTCTTTACGCACAAGTGTTGTGGGCAACGCAGAAAACTCTAAATTATTGATCCCGCATTATACAAGTAAAAGTTGTAATACATTTTTTTACAGTGCGACGCACTACTTGCTGATGGTGCTCTGTCTGCTCTTCTCAAAGCGATTGCCGACTCCATGGGCTCATTCTATGACTTGATCGCTGTTCGAGGATTGGCATGTCCCACTTATCAAACACTCTTCGGTGTCTGTTAGGAACTTTACGATTGCATATGCAAATACTAACATCATCATTCAGTACAATAATTTCTGTCATGCATTTCAGAACAGCTACAGGGAATAAAAGTGAGAATATTTTTGAGAACAGAAAAAGCTTGAAAGAATATAAAGGCTCGAGGGATTTTTGAACACAGTATCACCGTAGTTATGAAGCTAGGCAATGATTACATGGGAAGTAAATAATGCTCACTCAACGATCTACCGTAAACCGTCACATAATTGACTTTACAAACTAAGCTTCCTTGGTGTAAACACAAACTTGAAGGCACTTGGAAAGGCTGTGCTTGGTGGCACCGAAATACTCCAAGTCGATTTCCCCCACGCATTCTGAAGAGCACGTCACAGAGACTTCACAGTCTTGTTTGCGTGAACGCAGGCTTTGGCCCAAAGAACTAAACAGACGTTGTAGTGGAAAACATTCGGATTTCCTTAAAGGCATTGTCCGAGTCAACTTGGGGGTATTGGGATCTCGAGAAAGTGTGAGAGCATGGCTCCTAACTAACGCAACAGTTCAAGTGCGATCGGAAACGATGGAATCTGAAGCGAGAAAATCGCTTCGGACGTGTTTGCAAGAAAAGGGGACGTTCCGCCAATCCCGCCCCCTTAACAAGTTTTGACGTGGCCAATACACTAGATCTTGAGCATTCGCCACTTCAAAACTTGTCACGGGGGCGGGATTGGAGGAACGCCCCCTTTTTTGCAAACACGTCCAAAGCGATTTTCTCGCTTCAGATTCCACCTTTTTCGATCGCACTTGAACTGTTGCGTTAGTCAGGAGCCGTGCTTTCACACTGTCTCGAGATCCCAATACCCCCAAGTTGACCTGGACAACGCCTTTAATACGGAAGCCTTTCCGCAGGAGTAGTGAAGTCCTAACGCTTTGGAGCCATGCTTGAACAACAGCCGTTTTGTGCGCAGGTGCGTTATCCTGCTAGAAGCACTAGTCTCTCCAGCCAAATTGGGTATTGGTCCAGGCCAACAATTCCTTACTCAGGATGCTATCCAATTAAACAGCAACATCCACCTTGATGTCCTGAAGCATAAAAATCAGCGGCATTTTGCCGTCAGAAGTGATCGCCGCCCCCATCACGAACCCAGATGAAGCTTTCCTTCTGCGAGTCAACATTGCTATTGGCTAATTGGAGCGAATAGGAGATGATTCTGTTGTTTTGGTGATTATAAACCTGCCTCACGTGGTGATTTTGTCGTAAGAAAAGAGTATCGTCTGGTGGCGTGCTTCAAGAAACGTCTAGCAGTCTATGGCACCTGCGCAATCGCTTCAGCTTCCTGTTTTCGCAAAGCACGATTTTTGAGCATCTTGTCAAGCTTCAACTTAAGGTTCTGTTGCACCACAGCTTAGACAGTCGTACTACAGATGAACAGCTCTGAAGCCAACTCAATCAAGCTTCGCCGAGGATTGCGACAAGGCTCTGGCGAACGATTTTCAAATTTTTGTGAGTGTCCGCAATAGCCGATTTACCATTCCTATGACAGTCCTAGTACTGTTCATATCCTGAAAACGACGCAAGGTGGAAAATATGTTGATCTGTGAAATTTCGAGAACAGTCTGCTGCAGCCATCCCCTCATGCGTCTTCGCTTTCAACGTTCGCTCCGTTCGAGAAGGCGTATCTTTGACAGGATTGAAACTGACAATCCAGTTTTTGGAGGGCTTGTAAATAACAGTAAAAGAAACAAATACATGTAATCAGCATACAAAAACGTGTAGGATTTCAAATACAGTAGCATCAAAAATTGTTTTAGGATTTTTCTCCGACCCTATTAGAAAAATTCTTTTTAAAATATACAGTTTTACCATGTGGATGACGTCCATCATACCCTTTCTCTAAGAATTTTTGGGTCACAATCTCGCAAAACTTTTGCCAAAAATATTTTGAATATGGCTAGCCTTCATTCAAAAAAGTTTTTTGTGTCCCTCCTTCCCCAAAAATCTCTCAGCTGTAGAGTTTGTGTGTTCTTTTATGATTATTTTGAATAAGCTGTGGAAGCGTACTTTGTCTAGTATCAAAGATTAGATTCAGCTGCATGTTCTCAAGTTCCTCACGCTGGAAACAGGTAACTATGCGCATATTTTAAATAAGTGAATGTGCGCTTCTGATAAGAAACATCGATTTCCACGATTATACAGCTTGCAACTCCAAGTTTGCCGTAGTGGTGCTGTTTTCTTCTGCTCAAGAATACTCTGTAGATTAAGAATCTAGCGTATGACAATTATACGTGAATCATCGATGACTTTCGAGAACTGGGTAATTTTGAGATGTTTCTCTAACCATCTATTTTTTTGATAAATAATTTCCAAGATAAACTTAAATTTTGACGTATCTCCTCTATGATCATTGACATTAGTCGGAAACATACCAGATTCAAGGAGTACCTAAGGAAAGCAAGTTTATGCAATTTTACTTAGACACAGATTCTTTAAGAGCCTTGAGAAATGCACTTCTTCCACTCCCTTCTATTTGTGCCTCATAAATTAGATTGGCCCGAAAGTTCTGTCGTTTCATTTTCAAAAATTTGTAACTCCGCAAAATTTCAACGGATTTGCTTCTTTGTAATTTTAGTAGAAAGAATATGTCTTTCGCTTTCAAACCTGTTTTGCGGAGCTTCTGTTTCGCATTGGGTGCGGAGAAGTAATGGAACTAAGACCATATAAGCTTTGACCATTTCAAGTTAGGTCACCAAAAATTGAATATCGAGTTTACTCCGGAAAACGCCAAGATTGATTGATTTGTCAATTTTCGCGAAAATCATAATTTCTCACAGAGACGCCAAACAGCACAAACTCTTCACAGTTGCAAAGAGTAGGCTAAAAAACATATGTACTGGCGATTTCTTTTGCAGCGTTCCAGATTTTTGGTGACCTAACTTAAATGGTTAAATCTTCTATGGTCTTAGTTTTCCATTTTTATCTCCGCACCCAATGTGAAACAGAAGCTCCTCAAAACAGCGTTTGAAAGCGAAAGACTTATTTTTTCTAATAAACTTACAGGCAAGCAAATCCGTTGAAACAGCGCAAAGTTACAAATTTTTGAAAATGAAACGACAGAACATTCGGGCCAATCTAATATATTTATGTTCTGGAAAACGTAAAAAATAGCGAAAAACTCTTGATTTCTTTTGCCTTATCCTAACAACTACAGCTAATTAAATCATCATGTGTAGACCGATGCACACGAAAAATTTGGGTTTCTCATTTCTTCGCACTTTCATAGAATAGAAGCCGGAAAAGCGACTAAAATTACTTATTAGCCAATCCCATAGTTTTTTGATTTGCGGATTTTCTAGGGACATACTGCGACGATCTCCTTTCCAATATCTACCTGTGTGGAAATATTCACTACTTGAAATCTTACAGCAAACTATACTGAGAATCATGGCATTTACTTTCTAGGAGATCAAAAACAACATAAATAGCTTGTAATGCTCCACTACTGCGCTAAACGCAAAACTTTTTGAATATAGCCGCTTCAAACACAAGGAAACAAAAATAAATAGAACTTCCATAACAGGCTGATATACCACACTTACCAAGATCGTACTGGCTTGTTCAGATTTCGATAAATGTGGTTATTTGGCATTGCCATCGTAATAGCTTGCGCTTCTGCTGCGCCTGTAGATGTCAATCCGGAATGTGCTGCATGCCAATTGTTTACAATTGCTTTAGAGAAGAAGTTGAACTCAGGTGAGTACTCGCACTACAGAACTTAGAATCCTCAATGCGCTTAGATGCAAAACCTTTGCAAACCGACAACTTTACGAGACATAAAGTCTATAAGCGTGCAAAAGTTGCAAGGGTCTCTTAATTTGGAGTTGGATGTCCTCATCTGGATCGTAACCGCAGGACAGGATTAATACGCTTTAGCAACAACAATCAAGCATTAGTAAGCTAAAAATGAAGATCTACTATTCACTAGTTGGCTTTCCCGGTCCAGCCCGGGCCATGTCACCTGCATGCGAACCTCTCCCCTCTTACATTTTATGGATGACTTACCTGGGACATCCGCTTCGAAACCGCATCTCATAATCCTTAGGTGAACATGAGCTTCACCGCCCTTCTTTACATGACCATATGAAAATGCTTGATTGAACATGATAAGCATTCAATTTGTTAGATAAATAAACAAGTCAATAAATCAATAAAAGCACCCAGCAAATTCTAGTAAAAAGTATCCTAAAACCGTCTCCGGAGTCAGGAGCATCTGTCTGCAAAGTTTTAGCCCAATCGGTTGTGCGGCGTGCGTTTCTATAGCTCACATACCCTCCAAACAGACAATTTTTGAGTTTTATATATATAGAGAGATTCCGACTTTTGTACGAATAATATCATTCCTTCTTTGCCCAGAAAACTATCAGAATGGTATCGCCACAAAGGTGAGCGGCCCTTTTGGCATTTCACCAGAAATTAGAACTATTCTCTACACTGTCATAATCTTCGCATATATCTGGATATGGTTCCAGAAAATCTTTCTGCCGGATTGGTCTTCCAGCAGTCCGAGATGAACGATTCTGGATTCAAATTCAATCTTCCGCGCTACCCATGGTGGTGTCTGAAACCTATTCGTGCACTGATTTTGCAGTTTGTGATCCTTCAAGGGGTCCTCCTCGGTGGGGTCCCACGATTTACGAACCCGGGAGGGGGGGGGAGGGAGGGTTGACAAAAAATTTTTTGACTGAAGGCAGAAATTTGGAATGCTTCCCAAAAATTCAGCGGCCCTGCACCCCCAAGATTCTGGAAGGAAGTGAATTGGCTGCAGCCACTCCCCGAAGAGAATTTTTTTACGAAGCTAATTTGAATTTTAAAAAATTTTTATAAGTTGTTTGCAAGTGTAGACAAGTATTGCGCATTTTTATAACACATGTGAGTAATTTTCAGAAATTTCGCGACCCATTCTCAGGAGAACGGGCGGCCCCCCTCGGTCCGCCACTGGTCCTCCTTGATAGTCCATTTACAATGCGATAGAAACTAGTCTATTAGGTGACCACCATGCCGCAATTTCTTGCTGCAAGAATCATCGATTTCCCAAAAATAGGTCTTGATTGATACTCTCACTCAAAGTAGGTTCAAGTCACGGTAGATTTCTCGGATGAGAATTTTTTTACGAGTTGTCTATGTCTGTGGACCGCCCATTACAAAAATCTGCGCATAGGTCCCACACCCAGAGGACCCAGAAGATTAAAGATAAGCAGGACACCAACTATCTCCCAATCGGCACGTCTGCCTTTACAATACCACGGCGTTCGTCTGCGAGAGGCAACCGTTTTGCGTAGCGTATGCGAAGTCGCACGCAAAAGAGACACAGCAAATGAAACAGACTATTCAAAACAAGGACATCCAAGACTTTGAAATTGTTTTATTGGGTAGGTGATGGAGCCTTCAAGAGTCCTTCTTCTCGATGTACGCACCTTCCACATTGTCAAGATCTCACACATTGTGAGGTAAGCACTAAGCAACTCTATCCTATGAACTTGGATTTCATGTTGCCAAATCTAGATAGTGCAATCACTGATGCAAGTATCCACACACAACATCACATCTGCACTGAGACCTCAGTTTGATAAAGTGCGCTCATTTTTAGATGAAGTAGCACGTCACTGTGAAAAGGGTGAGTAATGATATCACAAGAGCATTTTTAACCTCGAATGAATTACAGAACCTCATGCTGCTGTGCTCGACAACAAGCCAGGACCAGCGCTTTGCACCCTTTGCTTCTTGATTTATTACTTCTTCCAATTTTTGAATAATGGTGAGATTATTTATCATCTGGGCTCCAGAGTATTGCAATGAAATTTCAGGAATCCTTCAAATGCCGCTTCTACAGATTGTTCCTGATGTGATTAAGCTCACATGTATGGTCGTTATGAACCTTCCCTTCGACGACGACAAAACACCTCCTGTAGTAAGTACAGGCTTTAATACTCAAACTATTCATCCGCTAACTATAATTCGTGATTGCAGTGTCAAGCACTGCTCGCTGATGGCGCTCTACCTGCTCTCCTCAAAGCAATCGCTGATTCCATGGGTTCATTTTACAACTTGATCGCTGTTCAAATGATGGGATGTCCCACTTATCAGACCCTTTTCGGAATATGTTAGAATAGCTACGCCAGGATGTATAAACATTTTCATTACACTTCAAAAGCTGAACTAAACTTATACCTATGCATTTCACAACAACACAAAAACAAGGAAGAGAATCTCGCGAAGAGAGATAACAACATAACAACAGCAGTAGTCATAGAAGTCAACTACTAGCGACTTTTAACAATCGAGAACAAATAGTTAATATAATGAGATGAAAAAAAACGATTAGTCATCAAACTTGATCTTCTTGTTTTGTGGTGTGTTACCGCCGTCGTATGACCGTTTGAAACCGCCTCAAAGCATTTATTTTAGGATGAAGCAGTACAAGAAAGGTTCGCTCACAAGGAGTTCATCGTTTCCACAAAAAAAACGTTTTTCTATATATAACGAAAACTTCGCAACAGTAAGGGCCCTAACTCAGCAAAAATAGTATACACCCATGGAATTATAGATACATTTCATTTTAGGTGTAAAAGTAAGGCGTAAAAATTCAAAGCATAAAAATTGACGCTAAGCCGAGGATGTCTAGAGCGAATTTACCTCGATCTCCACGATTTCCTCCAAATCCGCCTCGACCTCCGCGGTCTCCATAGCCGCCGCGACCACCTCGATGATCTCCATTAAATCCACCACGTCCACCTCTCCCGCCACCGAAGCCTCCTCTACCGCCACGGTCTCCACCAAAGCCACCACGTCCGCGGAATCCTCAAAAGCGAAAGCCGCAGTTCGGAGAAGAACAGATCAAAAATATTGTTTGGCGGAATAGATTGGAAAAAGCCTTCAACAATACACACTCTAATAAGATGGCACAATATTCAAAAAATGCTTATTAGATGTAATGATGGATAATGATAACTACTGGCAATGATGATTCGCATGCTTTCAAAGTTTCAATTTTTGTTTTTCATTGACATTTCCTGTTTACTGAGAGGCATTGAACAACAATGTTTGAAACAAACGCAGTTCAGAAGAAAACATGAGAATGATCCATGGAGGTTCAAAAAGCGTTGGTCCAAATCTTGAGATCAAACATTGGTCTAATTCTCAAAATGTGAAATTCAGCTCAAATTCTATTTGGTCAAGAAAAACCACGTTTAGGTGTAAAGAACAAGAACTTTCTTATAACTTCACAAAATGATTGTGGCTATTTGTTGATAATTACCTCCACGATCTCCACCGCGACCGCGATCACCTCCCCTACCACGGCCACCTCGTCCCCGTCCACCACGAGGAGCTCCGGGAAGGAACCTGAAACTTACATGATGTGCATATCATACGAGCAGAGGAAATCGTACCGTTCAATAGGCATGAGCTTCGCTGGATCGATATAGAGCTTTTGTCCCAACTTGAAAGAATTGGCTTTCACACCGTCTGCGAGCGTTACAGAAAATCCCTAGAAATACCATAAGATCAATGAAAAAATATATGAAAACTCTGAAAAGTTCAAACTTACGTTGTCTAATATACTTCCAAAGATTTCGTCAATTTTTCCGATTTTTTCCTTGCTTTGAAAATACAATGGAGCATTGAAAAATGGGATCTTGCCGCATGTAGTTTTACAAACGATGTCGTCTTCGCAAGTATGGGTGAATTCGCCAACTTCGATTACCTGGAAGTAATAGCATACTCTTCACCACGAAGATGGTAGCAGGTGAAAGGGTACCTCTTCGGGTGGACCTTGATCGTATCCTCTGTCACCTCCGCCGCCGCGACCTCCTCGGAACCCGCCTCTTCCGCCTCCACCACGAAAACCACCTCTTCCTCCACCGCGAAAACCTCGATCACCGCCGCCACCGCCTCGTCCGCGAAAAGACATACCTAGAGCTGAGAACGCGAATGATATGTGTGAGAACAACGATCTAGAAAGCAGTATCAACTGCAACGGTGTGCTTCCTCAAAAAGAAGAAGATAAGCCATAGAATGGTATCAGAAAGTAGTTCGTAACAGTTGCTTCTTCTACCCCGTCGCTTTGATTTCGCACTCTCTAATATGTAGGCGATGATTACCAGAGGTAAAAAGCAAAATAAAGCGGTTTCAGCATTCCTTGTACCTATTCCTCTGACTTACACAGCTTCATTTTTGAGTCATCAAAAAGCTTCAGTGATGACGCGTACAACTTTTCCTTTTGGAGCAGAAGCTTGATTTTGAACAACGGCTGTCAGCGCTGGTTATGATGTTTCTGCTTCCAAAGAAATTGGTTTAACTCCAAAATGTCGCTATGCTCAAGCTTATTGGCATACCAAGACACCAACGTTTAATACTGGCAATCGTAGCCGTCTACAGCTTTTGCGTTAAATTCTTTAATTTAATCCGTACTCGATTGCTACAGCGGCCCGGTCACCCAGAGCTTCGCTGCTGGGCCGCGGCACTTTATCTTAGCCTTACATGATCAGACCCAGCAGCGGCCCATAAGTGTGAGCTGGCCCCGCGCACATAGTTGATACCATGCTGACGGTGGCCCTCCTCCTGTATGGGTAATAATTATACTGGCGGCCCGCGCACCCATACAGACGCATCTGAAATTAACAGCGACCCGCTTATTCACATGGAACCACACGTTTTAAGCGCATGAGTTATCGCCTCAGATACGACACAGTGAAAAGGATGCCATCGGAGCTTGCAGGTGAAGTAACACTTGCCTTCTGGGTTGACGACAGATCTCCTTATGAGTTAAAAGTTGATGGGGTTTCGAATAATCTCGTGTAGTTCGATTTGTAACGTGAATGCAGGGAGCGAGTTTATTTTTGAGTTCACATGGGTTGCGTCCACATTTCGGGTTACCGCGTGCAGGTGTGGTCAAGCAAAAACCCATCCACAGGGTGGCCCTGCTATGCTAGCGCGGGCCAAACAAGGGAAAAGAGACACTGAAATACAAGCTGGCCCCGGTGAAAAGGTCACTGCACAAGCTGGAACCGTTGCTGCCCCGCGCTAGCATGGCAGGGCCAGCCCCAGCATGGTTTTCGCCTAGGCGCCATGTGCGGGTGGCCGCAAAAAATGTCCGTTTGTGAGTACATCGGGCTTGCACGCACTTTTCGCTCATGAAGCTCCAGAGAATTTTTTGCAAATAATATTTCACTCTATATGGCACAACAACACACAGTAATGTAAAACATCTCCTGCTGGATGGAGCAGTACTGCTCTTTACAAACATACAAGAGGTTCGCAAGAAGAGAAAAGCTTGAGCTCTCATAGCTTACATGATATATGACCATTTTCAAAATAACATGGAGCTCCCCGTGGAACCTCCTCAGAAGCATTGGATAGATAAAGACTCCAAAAGGCTCCAACGCATTAGCACTTTTTGAAATTTTGATGGGACAAAGCGAGCATAACACATGCGAATGACAAGATGAATAGGCGGGAATGTATTTGAACCGAAGCGATCATTTAACTATGTGGAAAACATCTAGGAAGTGGAAAATACCTAGAAAGTTCTTCACAGAGTATAGAAATTGGAAACTTTTCAGAGAAAAAAATTCGCTCAAATAGGGACGAAAGCCAGAATCTCGTAGGCAGCAGCGCAACGCCAACGCCCCGCTAACAATCAGGGCGCGATAACTATGACTATGGAAATTTGACAGAAAATCTTCCAAATAAATCGATTCAAAATCATCACAATGTCTCTAGATGTGGTTAGATAATACCATAAAATAGGTGTCCGGAATTTTGGATCAAGTAATCTAGCGACTAATTTTACCTAGCATCGAGTTTAAAAAAGAAATGTCAGAAAGTATTCTGGTTTCCAGGACATTATTTTTCTATGCAAATCAAATAAAAAATCTTGCCTAAAGCTGTACCCCTATCTCAGATTTTCACATGCTACAGTTTCACAGTGTCTCATTTCAAAGCTGCGATATTTAGCTGAATCAACGTTTACTTCATTTCCCTTATCCTTATCGATTAGAATCCTGCACCTATTGTCTAAACACCAATGTTTCGTGGGATCTGCAAACTAACTCATACTACTCGGAAGCTGCTAACGCGCTCTAATGCTATGAAACGTTCGCAGGAAGATTCGCCGGAGCACCGTCTCCGACCCTCTGCCAAGTGGACATTTTGACAGTAGTCGGAGCAATCACCACAGGATCGCTACGATGAGCACCTTTAATAGCGTAAGCTTGGGTGCGTCGGGGACATTGCTCGCTCGGCCGAGGTGTTCTCGACGTCGAGAGCGGTTCGTCGATTTCTGCTCTACTCGGAATCAATCCCTTCGTTGAATCTCCCTATCTACAAATCAATATCAGCGCTGTTCTCCCGAGCTGTGCCGATAGTGCTGATTCTCGCCGTGTCTTAGCTGTCAGCCAGTTTTTTTTCTGCCTTGCGAGTGGTGCAACGTGCCTTTGCATGCCAAATTAAGAGTGCAACAAGCACTAGCTGTCCGTTTTTTGAGTGAAACCAACAGGGAGCAGAATTCAGTGCTTGTGTTGAATAATCATGCGATAGGAATCCGCTTTTTTCGCTTCGCTGCGCCTGGCATTGACAGCAGAAGAAGCTGCTGCATCTGTGCCCTTTAACATGTTACGCTGCTTTTTCTCTTGAAGAGAGGGAAGAGTTCTGTTTGTACTTTCAGCTGTCTTTCTGCTTTCTCCCCTGTCAAGGCGATGGATAAATGTATCTGATATCGTGCAAAGTGTAATGAGAGTCGTGTCTTTTTTGGTTCAAAGTCCTTTTATGGATGCAATTTGCTCAAGTTCAGCGATTTACTTACTGACATTGTAGAACCAGTTTGTGTATGGTTGTTATTACCCTGCACTAAAAAATTGGTTGCGAACTTTAGTTCAGGCATGTCACGTGAATACGAGATTATCTCATGCAAAAGTTCAATCAGTTTTTCCTATGTGATCCTTGTTCTCTCGCTCCTCGCTTTGTTCGAAGTCATTGGTCCATTTTTTCTTATCTGCCGTTTGTAGCGAAGACAGTTCGACCAGCAATGACCTCATAAAGCGTTACACATCTCGATAATCTCGCATGCAAACTAAACTCTAATCCGCAAAGTTAGGTTGACGATGTAAAAAATGTTTTGTGGACGTTGTGCACTTATGCGACAAGTTTAGTCAGTCTTTTTTGTAGAGTTTGTAGTTCTATAAGTTTGAGTTTGACGTTTTGTATCCTCTGTGTATTGATTTCGGAAATTGTAAAATGTTTTTAGCGCAGAGAAAACGCAGTTACCTCTAATAGTTTGTTAGAGCTTCATCCCTCTTTCGAAGCGATGGAAGGACTGTACTACCCTGTCCATTCGTAGAATGCCATCGAGGATGACTAGAAGTCCTTTAATCGAGCGTTCTAAAGGCATAAGTTTGAGTCTACCCTGCAGTGGTAGAAATGCCGTCACACTTTTGGAGAAGCTATATCTAAAATCTTAATTAGACGTGAATATAGTATCCAAGGATTTTTCTACCAAGTTGTCTTGGTTTAGATCCTGTTAGAAAAAAGCCCTTCTTGATCGTGTTAGAAAGTTCTGCAGTTGCAACAAAGTAGATCCAACTAGCGTTTTATTTTCACGTTCGGCACCCTTTGAACACTCTTATCTCGGCTAAATCTTGCACAGCAATTGTTCATCAATGGTTGAAAACTAGGAACAGATCTCGCACAGATTTGCGTACTAGAATTTTTCTGAAATACACTACGTATGCTCTCCTGTAATTTCTTTTTTTAATATCCAATAGTTTTAGTAGTTATAGCAAGTTCCCTTTGACTCTGTTAGCTTCTATTTGGAAATTAAGTATGTTAGATATTCCTTCCTTTGATTTATAAGAATCCGTAAAGACAGTTTAGATCAGTCTTCAGCTTTCACTCCGTCAAGTTATGGAAAGAGGAATGAAAAAGTAACTTTCCACGCATCATTTCCCTTGAGGCTGTCGAGGTAGGTGTTGTAAGTCTTTCCTCATACATTAGATTTTGGTAGTGTGACATGGAGCTCGCAGATAAAGACTACCTAAAATCGATTTTTTTCTCACTCTTTCAATTGAAACATTTTTTTTTCTTTTCTGTCTATATCAAGTGCGCATGTTTGAAAGTCGCTCTGCATTAATCACTCTATGTGTTAACATGATTTGAAAAGTAGTCACATATGGATAATTGTAAGGGTGTATGCATCATTGCGAATTTTACTCGACTAAATAGTAGCAAGCGAGTTTGTCTTAAGTTTGGTATAAGGGAACCAGTTCTACGACGAACCTACATGGATTAGTATCAGTTGGCTTCTATCCTCACAGATTTACGCTTAACAAGGCGATATGAGTATTCTTCCTTCTTGTCATCGCGTGCGGTTTCAGTGTCTGCGTACTTACCACCTTTATTCTTGCATCGGAATCCGTATGCTATAATTTGCAGTCTTACACTACCCTCATTTTTCAGTAGAATTTATCGTACTTCCTCGTTGCTGATGGAGTCGATAAGGATGAGAATCATTATTTTCATTTGCATTTTTGATTCGTCTGGCTTCCTGATCAGCGCTTTCGCTTCAGACTACTGTTTTTACCTCTTCTTTGCTGTAATGCTTAGTTACAAGCCTTCCAAAAGCATCTCCTTTTATTACGTAGCATTTGCATCTATTTTGGGCATGTTTTCTCAGTGATTACAGCTCAGGTCTGTCGGACTAATTCGATCGTTTGGCTTCGTTTGAGAGGTTTCCTTTTGGTAATATCTTTTCTTGTACAAGTGATTCTCCGAACTTCACCACCCTACTTTTAACGCTTTTTCCCAATATCACAGTAGCTTCAATCAACTGGCTGCTGCTAAGGAAGTTTACAGGTATGGTCACTGTTCGGAATTTTTCGATATTTTTTCGAAGTTAGACTTTGACAAGATTCATATGAAAAGTATAAGAACGCGTCTTGTGTTTGTTTTTGAAATTGTTTTGGATCCAAAATCTTTGTTAGATTTGCAATGACATCGCATGTCCGATAACCACCAAATCCTATGCATCTAGTTTCTGCATCGTTCATTTTTCATCCCTGCTACTTCTTGTTATCATCGATAACGCTGATGGATGGAACAGCCAAGCTGCCTTAAAGTGCACACCAGTGCGAGAAAAAAAGTTAATAGTGGTTTGACCTTTGATAGACGTTCACATTTTTTCTGCTGTTCCGCTTTCTGCATAGACTCAATTTGTACATTACTTTGTTTTCTTGGACCGACCATGTGCGGAAACAATTGATCGAAAAGGTATTCCCCTCTCTGAAACGAGTATAGGGAAGAGTTGCGGATGAGTGAACGCGTGTGTGTGCCTCGTCGCCTCGTCGCTCCTCTCGCCAGGTTCTTCCCAGCGCTCGCCTTTGAGCAGAGATCAGTCGCACTCAAGGAAAAATTACAGCGGCGGGCGAGCGAGCGCGCGCGGCGCTCTGGCGGAGGCGTCGAGCGAGTCCAGCGCTGTTTCATGCCTCGCTCCGGCTCCGCGCTGCTAGTGATTGATAGTAAAGTTAGCTTTTTGTACACTGCTATTATGACGTGCGCTGAGTATTTCTGCGGGGAGTAATAAGGAACCGCGAAATGTCGTTTTTGCTAGGTGACATTGTTTTCCAGAAAACGCTTACCAGTTCAAGGAAGGATACATCTTGCTTTATTTGGCATATGTAATTACTGCTGTCATAGCTTTTCACATAGATCCTGTTACGGCTCAGCCGAGCATCGATTGGGCTTGCCAAAAGTCTTATTACCTCCATCTACGGGCTAAGATTATGCGCGTGACGTAGCAGTATATTTTTTGTAGTCGGAAAATGGACTCAGCTGGTCCGTCTGAGGCTGGTGGTACCTTCAAATGTCTAGTAAGTGATATCTTTTTGACAATGGGTAAAGTTGTTGAGAATAGAAGAACGTTTTTGATTTCATCACCAACCACAACAGTCAGAGAGAGCAGAGCGTTGCAACGACGGCCAGAAAGAACGGCTGAGATAGTGAGATAGATTTCGTTGGCGCGACATTGATTCGCACTTTGTTGAGTGCGTCAAGAGTGCATGTGAGAGTGCAATCGGCTACGTCCGTATGAGGGCACACACCGCAGCCGTCGCCGTCGAATCTTCGGAGCTGGGAGCCGTGGCCGAGGCGCTCCACACTCGACGGACTACCGGCCACCGTGCCACACTAGAAAAGGGCAAAACGGGAGTGTGTAGGCGGACTAGGAGAGGTCATCTGGTGCTGACTGACGTGAAGACGAGCCCGTCGATTTGTCTGCCGGTGCCTTCGTCGGCCGCTTCGCCGCTGCGCCTCTATCCCCCGTGGTGCCCGTTCGTCGTCCGTTCCATCGTGCACTTTCCAAGAGATCACCGAGTGCAATCGATTTCCTCCTTCCCCACAACGTCCTTTTGCAAAGTGCACCCGGTCCAGAACTCACATCGTCGTTGGTTGCCCCTGCCACTCGTTGCACATGAGACCTTGTTCCGAACATGAATTGCTAATGTTACAGCGAAGTTGTCATCGAAGTTCTCCTTCCATCCTTGTTGCTTTCGAAATTGTATTGCATGACCTGGACCGAAAAATACAAATTTTTTAGTGATTTAGTGACGTTCATGGCTTGTGAATGCTCTATAACAGCACCCGACTCTACCACAGCTGAGACAAAACGATGGCCTTTGATTGACATAAGCCTTCGATAGGCTTCTCACAGATGCATGGGCATCCGACGTGGTGTGACATTTTATTTGTTCCACGGGTTCTGTGATGATTATATGTCAAATTTACGAAGCTCAACTGTTTTAATTATCTTTCGAGTGATGCTTGCACTACTGGATTCTTGACATAGCAGAATGACGATATCTATGTTGCTAGACGGGAAGATTGTCCGTATGCGCTAATTCGCTGCATAGTATCGTAGTCGCTAGCGCGAAAAGGGCGCTTTTCTGGAGCTCTGTAAGTTAGAGTAGAAGTGATCCAAAGATACTAGCATTAGTTTCTACGAAAGGAGCCTATGAAAAATAAGCTGCTACCAAAGTTGATGAATTGATTTTTTTTTGCAATGAATGCAATCATACAAAGGAGTCTGAATTTTTTGAAAATCTCCCTGATCATTCAGAGCATTATGCCCTTCTTTCCGCTTATGTTTTCGAGGAGTACGCACTTTCACGACGAGGATTTACATGAAAGCAAGGTGATTACAAAGGCAATGAAGGTAGTGCGGATGTCTGAAAGTGCAAGCACTTCTGAGGCGAAATGTAGTGTATTCAGGTTCGGCTTTTCAAGATACTTCTCAATTTTGTACTCTTAGTTATAGTCAGACAAGGCTTTTACCAATCTTTATACCTTGTGGTCCAAAGCAAATTTCAATGGTCTTGGATCACAGAGTGCAGACACACGCTATTCAGCGATTCGTTATCAAGGTACAGACCATAGAGGAATGATGAATGATTTCATGTCAGACTCCCAAATAGAGTATTCCATTGCTTTTGAATTATTTGCTAGGCTGAGCGTTTCATTGTTTGCGAATTTTTTTGGCGTATCTCATATAGGAAGTCTTCATTGACTATGGAGAAGCTTGATTCCCAGTCAATCTGGCCTATAGTTGATGTTGGGGAACTTGATGTTGTTTTCACAGTTGTCACAATGTGTACACCGAGAAGATACTAAGCATTTTTACTAAATCTGTCATCAACAGCGCTAAATCGAAACAAATGCTATCGAGTCGATGTGAGTCAACGAAGATCTTCGCCTGTACTTTATGTTTTCTTATTCTTCACACATGGGAAATGAAACTTTTGTTTTGTCGACACCGCATGAGAACCCTTGAATTTCATTTCAGCCAGAATTGATATCGCTATCTGCAACCGCTCCACGCAAAAACTGAGCAAATTGTCCTTAATGTGAGCGATTATCTTTCCATTTGTAGGTCTACGCGATCTTTTCTGATTGAGAACATTAGTAATGATCTTCTCGCTTCCTTTTTCTAATCAGAGGTTACGTGAGTTCTGGAAATTTTGCTCACTATCTTCGCACACTTACAGCGCAAGATTTTTTTGGTAAGATTTCTGGGAGAGCTCATTGGGGTGTGCATTTTTTCTTCTGGAATTCAAGCACTTCGGAGCTTTGCTGGGGGTCACTATCTCATATATCATCTGGGAAGAAATTTGCTTCTGAATATCGAAGCTAGTTGGTGAATTTGGCACTCTGGCTATATAGTATGGTTCTCCTCATTTATTTCATGAACTAAGTAAGACAGTTTTGGCTGGACCGGTCTTCCGCATAGGGTTTTATTAGTGTAATGTTATTAAACTCTAGTGCTGCTTGTGCATGGCAACTACATTTATGATACATTCACCCAAATCCGGGGCCTGCGGTAACAATCTAAGTTGAGTTACCGTGTCGGAGCCTAATTGCTGTACCTGGTTTCTGATCGACTCCACAGCCTGAAATGTACCTAATAATTGCGATCTCGTCTTGCAGCCATTTTTCTTTCGTCATAGAATAGGAGGTTTGGACTTTTCTTCGATCGTGCACTTTATGTTAGCTTTTTCTCGAGCATATTATTCAGCATATGCACTTTTCGCGAATGAAATCAGGAATGCGCGGAATTCGCGCTCTCCATATTGCTCATTTTCATCATCAATCCCTTAGCATGCGAGACAAGCTGAGGAGACGAACATTCTGGTGCTACTATCGAGGATGAGATTGGTAAATATTAGACTTACTTTGAGGTTAAGAAAACATTTACTTTTTTGAGGAATTGTGCCGAACTTCCAGAATTTCCAAATAAATGGGTTTTGTAGGTTTTGGATTTTGCACCCAATGTTTGCATTGCGGCTCATATCACAAGTGACAGAGATAAACGTTGTCTTTTCAGTGAGACTTTCTACATGTTAGTGATTCACTGCTGTCTATTTCACCTATTCACTTTTTGCTGGTCAAAGGGTTCAAAGCTCAATGAAAGCGTTCCTCTCAGCAGTTTTTTCGGCTCCACTTCAGTATTCTTCGCACGCAGGCTTTTTGCGGGCTGACTATGAATTCTTCATGTAATTCATCTATTGCTCAGTCTGCAAGGTCTCGTTTTTGGTCTTGCACTGTTCTTATTTCAATTTCAAACTTCGTTATTCGTTCCCCAATCATCCACTCAGGATACTGTAACGACACTTTTAGCTCATATGGACTTCTCCAGCTCCTTCTAATTTCTGAGGAAAATTGCGACAGACTTATCGCCCTGCTGTTCTTACTTACTTATAATTGAGTTTGAGCGCGTTAAAGAAGTGGAATCTTCGCATGATTCAAAAAAGTGCTGTCGGGTTCAGAGATTAGTGCACTACAGTATCCAGCTAGTTTTTTCGGTGGTGGCAGTTTATTGCCTAGACGACTGATTCCAAAGATTTGCCAGCGATGCTGATGTGTTTTCAAAGTCTTAGTACTTCCCCGCATTGATATAAAGAAGATACTGTAGTTTTACGTATCTAGCATTTTTACGGGGCTTGTGACTGAAGTTCAGCATTAGGAGAAAACTTCGATAAATTTCGCTATAATTCACTTTACATTAGGTTAAGCTAGTCAATTTCGGTAATTTGCGATTCTCTGCTTCCTAATGGGTTAAAAAACGGTGATGTTTTTTTCTACCAAAAAAAAAACCCTTACAAGATACCAGTTTCGTTTTCTTGGAACTCGATGTACTTTGAATCAAAAATGATATTTGGGCTTCTAATTATCAGTTGTGCTTAACATTCTCCTAATTTATACAGATAGTTTCTCTGAAATTATACCTTACCGGTTCTATACAAAGCGACTTTCTTCAGTCTTATTTGCTTACCATCTGACGCTAAATGTTCACTCTGAAAGTTTCAACATTTTCTTAGCGACAAAATTCCCAGCGTTTTGGTCGAATTGGTCTCCTTGCCACGAATCCAAACTCCAAGTTTTTATGCTGTGTTCGCTGTAATTGATTATGTACATCTTTCTTCGTCCGTTTTCTTGGCCTTTTTGGTCTTTCAAGGAACACTGATTTTGCATCGCTATTTTTGGTAATCATTCTACATGTGTTCGACCGTACTTGTTTCGCGGACCGTCTTGTAATGTCCTTGTGGACTACGAAGATTTGTCATTTCGATTTCAGGAGCAACAGACAGGTGCACGTTGGTCGGGCGTTGTGTCGTGTGTTTCGTTGCGATCGAATACGTGCCTGCCTGCGTGCGTGGAGTAACTAACTACAGCGATTCTGGCCAGCCTACCTAGCAGCAGTGCCAGTGTTTCCATATTGGGAGCAGCTCACAGAGAGATACAACACATACAGAAACCCACCGGTCACTAGCAGCATCCAGCACAATCAGCATTAGCGGCAGCGCAGCGGCAGTGTTCGTCTCGTCGCAGCAGCACATTGTGCGCGCCACGCCCCGCCCCCAGCGACGCGGTTCACGGACAGCATCATATATCCAACGGCAGCAGTGTAGCCACCACAATTTTTAGAACCGCAGCAGGTGCGAAACAAACGGCACCACCCGTCGTCGCGCCATTCACGCCGCACCGAGTTGCCGCCGTCCCATAATGCGCGACGAGGGCGCTGCTATGCGGGTACATGTCGATCCAGCAGCGACCACGGCCAACGACAAAAAGAACAGGTCAGAGAGTTCAGAATGTTCGCTATTCTTATCTTTGCATTTTTTTGGGAAATTACGAAAGTTTTCTGTCAACTTACAAGTTTCGAACAATTTTGCATAGTTCATCAGGGCTCGGAGCGTTCATTGTTTCTGCAGTTCTTTAGCGATAATTATTTAGATGGATGGTTCACACGTAGGACAAATGTCCACGTGTTTCTCCAGTAATTTGTCATTATTTTCTGGATTTTGCATCATATGTCTTGTAGATCAGCCTTACGTGAAGTGGGCAACTTTCGGGGGGTTGGGATTCCAGAAGCTTTTATTTATTTATTTATTAAATATGCACAAGGCTGCCATATTTAGAACAAAGAACGAAAATACTTAGAGCATAAACAGTAATAAAGGAAATAACACAGCATTTTCAAAAGCTCAAGTCCGGCTCCGTGTTGAGCGCGGGAGTGAAACCCATTAAGCCTGCCTTTGTTGAGCTTTGAAAGCTCGGAAACAATCTAAAGGGAAGTATCACGTCCATGAACTACTGTGGCTTATTGAGTGAAAGTAACAGAAAGCCACAAGCCAGATTTGTCTCTTTGAACTCTCACACACGAACGCTTTTCTGAAAAACCTCTGTTTTAAATTTTATATCTCTACTGATTCTGCTCGTCAAAAAGTGACTTAGTATGTCGCTATGCAGACTGGAATGACATCAAATTGTGCAAGGCTAATACGTGCATGAGCCTGCAGCCTGCATTTAGCTGCAGAAATGAACATTTGAGATCAAAAAACACTGCACTGGGATAATTTTTCCCATAATAGGTGATGCAAGAGGGGATCCATTCGGTTGAAAAGATTGGTCTCATAGGTAACACAGTAACACACTAGAAAAATGTTGCTGAAATCCTGAACCTGAGCTGGAAATGTTACAAATTTACAAAAGTGCTTTTCAAGTGGCCCGGAAGGTGTCTATATTTAGAAAAATCGTTCTAGAGTCAAAAGAACTTGGCAGCGTGCGGCTCTTGTCGCTACCAAAGACCAGTATCTACCTTGCAATCTATCAAGCTGAATGAAAAAAAAATTGGTTGGACCCAGTTCTATACAGACACTTCTCAAAGTTTTTTGGTCACGTGCGGTGCTGGTTGGTGTATGAGCTGCAAAATTCGTTTTTATCACTGAAGAGCACACGTGCTTTTCTTGATATCTTGACACTAGTATCCTGACGCATTTCTAGGCGATGAGCTGCCAAGCTCGATATCTGGGTACGAATATAATAAGTGCCGAATGCAGTTTGAAGTTTACTTTCCGACATCGCCGTGAAGTGTTCTGATTTTTGGAACCCGCATAAAAATGCGATATCCAAAGTTCAACGCGACTCGCGAAGTAATAGCTTTCAACTGGTCTATCTGACCTCTCTATCGCAAGCAATTTTTGTCAACGCAAGAACTCTCATGTTGATCCAAAGTATTACTTGTAAGTGCTGTCTTTGATCTTTGAACACGAAATGAGCCACTTTCAATTGAAATTTACCCAGCATCTTTTCTCGCTGTGCAATTTCGATGTCTGAAAGTCACTTTTTGCCATCTTTGTCAGAAAGACAGTTGTCGAAACCTGTTTAAGAGTTTTTTCCTTTTCCAAAAGGGCTAGTAAAAAATCTCTCACTTGAGAACCGTGTAATATATCAGATGAGTTCATGAAGGATGAATTTGGGCGAATTCGTGTAGTGATTCGCAATCAATGACTGTTAAAGATGAACATTGCACATCTGCAGTTTGTAGGCTACAGTCTGTTGCTCATGTCCGCAGATATTTTAGAACTGTTAATTTCCTAAATGGCTGAAAAAAACTAAAAAGGTTCATTTCAGTACATCCACTTCCGAGCCAGGTTCCTCGAATGGTGATGGAACGACGTCGTCGGCTGAAGTCAGCACATTGCCCACCACCCCGCAAATCACCGAATCGGCTCGAAACCCTTCCTTTCAGAGCTTTAATGTGAGTCTCTAGTACTAGTTACGAATTCAGCGATTATTTTATTTTCGTTTATAGGATGTCGTAGACTTAGTTTTTAATCCTTTACGGTCTGTGATCAGCCAAAATCGGAGACGGTATACCGAGGACGGCTTCAATCTTGATTTAACTTGTAAGCGTTTGACTTGAAATTGGTTGATTGGGGGAAATCACACTTTTTTTTATTCAGATATTACCGATCGAATAATCGCTATGGGTTATCCAGCAAAAAGCATCGAGCGTCTCTACCGAAATAGCATGTGTCATACAGTGAAGTTCTTGGAACGCAATCATGCTGGACATTATAAAGTATTCAATTTGTGAGTTTTCAGTTTTTTCGGTCATTGAATCTTTTCTCATAATTTTTCACTTTTTTTTCTAATTGTCCATCTCGATTATTTCCAAACGTTGAACACACTTTCTGGTCAAATACATCGTCGCCGTTGTTATCTGCTTCATACTTATGCAGGAGAATGATGTTCTCTTTTTTTAGACGGGGGAACTATTTTTACAAAGTGGAGAAGTTTCAAGGTCGAGTAAGTCTGTACCATATGAAGGATCATCATCCACCACGTCTTGATCTCATGGATCCTTTTTGCAAAGAGGTGACGGCCGCCTCATCCGAAACGCAAACAACAAGGGCAAATTTATTTTTAGGTGAATGAGTATCTGAAAGCTGATCCTCGAAATGTGGTAGCTGTTCATTGCAAGGCTGGCAAGGTGCGCTTTCTCTTTTTGAGGACTAATTCATATTATCATTGAAACACCAATTCGTATCCTTCTGGAGGAACTTTCATTCGCAAAGCATGGCCAACTATTTAAGGGTCGTACGGGAGTGATGATTTGTGCGTACCTCGTTTCGATAGACTTCTACAAGCTACCGCGTCAAGTTATGGACTACTACTCGATTGTTAGAACTGTAAACAATAAGGTTCGTTCATGTCTTAAAGTCGAAGAAATGCAGCTTCGATTGTGCAACGTCAATTTTCGCTTCGTAGCGAGCTCAATAGTTTATTTTTTCGAGTTTACGAAAATAATTTCGGGTCAGTTGTAGTGTTTTGCTCAGATACTTCAGTCAAACATTCTAGTGCTTCTAGCCATTTAAATTCACGTATCTGATTCTAGGGAGTGACGATACCTTCACAGCGGCGTTATGTTTACTACTACTCGCAAATGCACAAGCACAATTTAACTTACACACCATTACGGATAGAACTTGTAGGAGTTTATGTAGAGCGACCACCGCAGCCAGGTTAGCGCTTCTTTCCCTTTTTCCTCGTTTTTCATCCTTAAGTTCTATACTTGTATATTCTAGGCGTGACTTTCAAAGGAGATCTCGTTATGCGTGTTGCACAAGGTGACATAGAAATGTTCACCGGAGCACCGATAACTATAACTCGGCAGCAATGGTTAGTTTTGGGATCTGTTATTGGAGGATTTGAAAGTTATTGCACATCTTGAAGGATTGACGAAGAAAAGTTATGGGCCGGAAAAGTACCATTTGGTGGAGATAGTTACGATCCATCTGTGACTGCGTTCGATCCAGAAAAAACAGCGGTGTCGAGGTGAGTGCGATTACTAGAGTATACCATCGCGATCATGTTTCTTTTCCCTTTTTTTGCATGTGTATGATCCAAGCGTTTATAAGGTCTTTGAGATCCATTAACTGCAATATTAATCATCACGATTATGTCAACAATCAAAATTTGTGGAAGATAGGTTATGTTTGGCTCTGACAGAACACACTAAAAAAACCACTAAGAATTAGTATATATACATCTTTTGGTGCTAAACTTGCATTCGATGGAAAGCTGGAAAAAAGTCCGGAACATTATACCTAGTTACATGCTTCCTTGCTTTGCAAATCAAATTAATATTTTGTCGCCTGTATGTCTGAGTGTTTCAATTGTCAGTCTTACTGCACAGCAGTTACTCAGTTACTTTTTTCTGATTGTGACAAGTGCCATCCAAAATCTAAATTGAGAGCTGAACAGCTCTGATCTTTGCGAACGTTGTGCCCTTGTGTTTTGTAGTCGCATGTGCTCAAGGGTCTCATGGTCATGGTTTGCGAATTACAGCAAAGTCTTAAGTTAATGATGAGACTAAGCAAAGATGTTCCATTCCGATGCACTGGTCACTACCATAAGGTGCACTATCGAACTGTAACTGTTGGTTTTGTGTTCGCAGCGTTTTTATCGTTTGCACAACTAATCCACGTTATCAGAGTCGTTACGTGTAGATAACGCTTGTGATAGATGCTATCGCAATGGTGTTCGAAAAAGCGCGCTGATAGCGACTGTATCGTAGAGTGCAAATGATACGTAGAAGAATTGTCGCCGCTATGGCTATCAAGCACTTTGCTTAGCCTCGAAGTATTTCGTCGACAATGTGAAAAACAGCTGCTAACGACATTAGCGACAGAGGGTCTCGAAACGCGATAAGGAGAAATGGCAGTGGTAAGGGACTGTTTCAATCATCTGCATTGCATCGCAGGGACGTCGGTTGAGTCACAGTAACACATGCGTATTACATCACAACATGAACCATTCGACATTGAAGAATTGTGCTCAGAGTTTCTGGAGAGATTGAACTCATTAAAGGGGGCTTGCTGAGTCGAATTGAGCCAAATAGTCATAGGGAGGCGCGAGTATCAGAGAGGCGTTATTGTCATGCAGCTTTCATCTGCAGCAATAGAATCATAGAACTATTACGGCTCAACAGTCTCGATAAAATAGCTATCACTGATTCTAGTCTGCGTTGCCTGGGGTCATTATGTTGTAAAAGCACATGCTTCTGATATATTGGTCCCATGCAACAATAGTGCAGAATCTTACCAATCTTTATTTATGACGATATATTCGAAAAATTAGCGTTTGTAATGAGTTTGACCGTGAGAATCTTTGGATTAGAGTACATATGCGAACGGTTTGTGCATATCGGCATTGTAGGCCGAATGCGAATTCTAGGATATTTATTACCGAGTGATTGATCTGAGATTTTATTTGCCAACTTTTATGTGTTTGATCAGCTGCATCACTTTTTTTCTCCGAAATTTTGCACTTTTCCCTTCTTCATCAATAAATTTAGGAGAGCATGGGGATGGTCAGTAACCCATCCATATCGAGTCTACTTGGAAGGAGACATACGTGTGGATATTTTCGCCGAAACACCAACTACTGGATCACGATTACGGAAGAACAAGAAGAAGAGAGAGAAGGTTTGCCGCAGATTTTACTAGTCGATGTACTGCTTTCCGTTTCTTTTTCTTTTTTTTGATACAAATGACAAAAGCGGTAGAAGTGGTGCATTTTTCACACTCAATCCATACAGCTTATTGAGTCAAACAAACCATAGCTTTCAATGCACAGTTTTGATTTTGCATAAAGTGCAAGCCTTTTTTTGCTGTGGCCGTATTCATCATCGAAACCCGTGGGTTCCGGAACCCACTGGGTTAGTGCTTTTGATGAATATCGATTCTTCCCTGGAGTAGAATCGATATTCATCAAAAGCACTAACCCAGTGAGTTCCGGAACCTACGGGTTTCGTTGATGAATACGGCCACTGTAATTATTCGAAATCATTTTATTGTTTGTCGTGCGATGCAAAGCGGTCTCGACGTTCTTTTTGGGGTTTAGAGCTCTGTTTAAAACGATGGGCTCCAAATGTTGAGATGGCTGGAAAGTTTTACTGCAACATTCGTCTGGATTTATTGCGAGAACAAAGAAAGTTGTAATCATTTGCTGTTTTATCAGCGATTAGCAGAAATGCATGGGTGCAATGATAAGGAGTAAAGTTTTTCACCTTTGCAAGACTAGCCTTTTTGCAAAAAGGTTTTGGACTCGCTGTGAATTATTTTGTACATATTGTCCAGAATGCTGCAAAGTCATCTAGAATATTCTCGATTTAGATAGGACATGTCTGGCTGAATACCATGTTCACATGTCCCGGCTCATGTAGAGGAGGCTATCAACATGGAGATGAGATGTCCCCATACCCAGAAGGAGCGACATCGATCACCGAACGACGAACATCAGCGCCAGCTACCTCTGCTACGAACAACAACGGTCCCTCATCGAGCAGCCACATTTCACCGCCATCGCCTCCAGCCTCTGGTACCGTACAGTTTGAAGATGGTGTTCCTTGTTTGCGGCGGGATGTGCATGCTGTGTCGGCTGAGTGTGATCGTGCAACACTGGGCTTCGAATTGAACGAACAACGAAAATCGAGCGAACCGATCACGCATCGCAGATCCTTCCTTCCGAAGAGTGGGTGTTCGAGCGTTCGTATATACAAGAGATTTGAAAAGTCAAGTCAGAAATAGCGAAAGTCATATGAAACGGTAGCTGCTTCACTGAACTTTTATCCTTAGGAATATTTGAGCAGCTGAACTAGTCAGTGTGAGTGTCGAAAAAAATTTGAAAGCGGCTTTTCGATACGTCTTTGATTTTCGAATTGAAAAACTCGGAATGTATAAAATGTTTGTTTTACACATGTTGTGAACTCAATCATTCCACTTTTTTTTCAGTGTACCGATCTAAGCTATTATAAGAAGATCATCACTATAATTTTTAGTATCATTTTGCTGGAGTTGTTTTCGTAAAGAAACCTAATTGGTCGTCTTTTGAGTCACCATGATACTTTTACCAAATTCATTTTTTATACCATGTTACGAGGAAAACGGAACATAGCGTATTATTCAGCTCTTCAAATTTCTTTGTATTCGTACAAAGGTCTTTTTTGACCTTTTTGTTGGAGTTTTTATAAATCCTAGAGTGCAAGCCAGAGTGTTGCATGATAGATCCCATTTTATACCTTACTGTCCACTAAGTTACCCTTTGTTCAACGCTTGTCATCGATACAATGTAACTATTCTGCTCTTTTTTGTTGTTCAAAGTTTGCTAAAAACTATACTTGATTAGTGTTAATCCAGTGTGGTCTCGCAAAACATGTTGCTTTAGTGAATGTCCGAAAATCACACAGCAGTGATCCGCATATGACTTCTGTTGATTTGAAAGAAGCTGGTGAAACGCAGAAGAAGCGCAAAACACAGAGCGCTAGTGCACGATGGGAAGCCACGAATCTAGAGGTAATTTTGATTTTTTTAAATTTTGATGTACACCTTATATACTTCTTGTTTATAGTTAAAGTTACCGCCTGGTTTGGAAGAACACTGTCCATCTTCATCATTGCCGGATATATACCCTGATCCTTCAAAAGCGTGAGCTTTTCTTTCATTCCACATGTTTAAGTGCTGTTCATTGTAATATTCAATCTGATTCTTTTTTTTTGTCTCGGTGAGTCAAGTTGTATGAGGAGCAGCATTTGAGAATCTTAGCATACATGAATGATGTTCTCTGTAGGGTCTCAACTCTTGTAATTGATGAAGTCTGATGCAATAGAAACGCAATGCAAATTCGATCTCTAAACTTTAACATGAGCCATTCATGTCAGTCAAACATTAAATGTACAGTCTTATGTAGACACCGAAAAGTAGTTAGAAAAGGAGACCTGGGCTGTTTTTGTTCCCTTTCGTGGAACTTGGACTTTGGATTCTGCGATCGCTCAGGTCCACTTTTTCGAAATTAATAACCCGAAAATTAGAATAAATCATCAATCATTTGGTTGTCACTGTCACATAATTATGTTAGATTGCAAAATGATTGTTTAGACCGCGTTATGGAATAGAAGAACTATTGCGAAATGCGCACACGTCTCATATCGTACGTGATTTCTATAACGAACGGCGCCGTGCTCTTCCAACCAGTAAGTTTCAATGCATGACATTTGAGTTTGATTTATGATGTTACATTGTAAATGATTGCCATGACCCTTGTGATGGTCAGGGGAAAGAACTATGCCGGTTCAGATACGATTGATGAAGCTCTAGGTTTTGTTAGCATTCGCGAGAATTGCTGCACTGGTCAGTTTCAGCCAAAAATATTGGGCTGGTTTTGTATCATCGTCCTTTGTTGGGAGATTTAGCATAGATTTCGGGGACTTTTTCTCTGAATGGGTAGAATTTGTGACTTCTCAATCTTTTACGACTTTCATAGGTTTTCTCAGAATGAGCGTCATTAGATTAGTTTTCGGTTGCACTTCGAGCTTCTCCTTATTTCTCAACTTCCCCTTCATTATGTCAGTGCATTCGTGTAGGAGGTGAACCCGTGGAAGCAGCCCCAGAAGGTCGTCCAGAAGCATCTGGCCCAGCATTGATTCGTCGAAGGCGTGATGAACATGTGCACATGTTCCCACTGATCGAAGTAGACCGAGCCTTCAAGAACGACAGTATGCCACCTGGCTTTAAGGTTTGTGCGCGAAGCTTGAGAATAAAGTGTGAGATCACTATTCGGTATTACAGGTTATCATAGTAACCAGATGTATACATTCACAAGATCCTGTAGCACAAGAAAAAGCGGAGACAGCCTTAGCTGATGCTCGTCGAGTTGCTGCGAAACACGAGGAGGAGAAGCAAAGCAAGAATAAAAAGACGGTTGGGCTTCTTGTTCTCTTTTTGAGGTTTAATTTTTCTCGGTTCTCGTCATAGTTTTTCAAACAGCGGCTTGGCAGCACTTTTGCCTTATTTAAAATACTTTCATCAAGCGTAGTTGCTGAAGTTCTCCTCCTGAAGGCAGCGTACACCCAAAATTTCGCCTTCGATGTTTTTGTCATTCTGGGGCCTTTCCGTGCCCCTGATTACAGTTATAACATTCAAATCCTCCAAAAGTCCCAAAACCCGAATCCCGGGGGCCATCTCTTCAGAATTTCGAACTGCTCGTCCTCGTCGGCATGCCAGCAGCTGCAACAGCATGACAGCCTGCAGTTGCAACTGCAACTGCTGCTATGCTGTCGTGGTTCGTCGTCCGAAGGAGGCGGAGTAAAAAAAATCAGGCGGGTTTTCTCCGCTCAGAAGCAACATTGAGAGATCGGGCCAACGCAGCTGGGTTTCTTCTGGGCCTAGATATACACCGTATAGAGAACTGGGTAACTTAGATTTTGGGTGTGCGCTGCCTTTAAGGATTTTATCGGGTGAAGGCTACAGCGTTTGGGGACGTTTACTCACTTTTGAGTGAAAGAACTTTTGCATAGTTCAAGAAACTGAACAAAGCCTCGCAAATTGTTGAATGTGGACTTCTCTTTTCGTAAAACTCATTTTCTTTAGGTAAATTGTCCTCCTGCGAACGTTCCCGTGGTTGGAGCTGGTCCACTTCGAACAGCAACATCATGGCCGAAGTGTCCTCTCCAAATAGAACAGTCATCTTCGTCGTCACTGGTTTGTTTATTGTCGATGTTTTCATCACTTTTGCTCTTTTTGTGAAATAGATTGCCTTCTATGCTTTCTTGAATATTTTTTTAGCAATTATGGCAAATCGCTGTGCATTGCAGGGTACAAGCGTAGCATTTCCTGCCAAGCCAGAGCAGTGGGATCATACAGCCAGTAGTAGTAGCAGCAGTGTAAGCGACGTGAGCAGCTTCTAAGTTTGTTGTTTGAAAAGTCTTTAGCTTTGTTCGTTTCTTCTACCATTTTTTGTGTGTTGTAATGGAATTCATTGCTTACGATAGTTCCTTGATTATTTTTAGTATCATTGCAGTGTGTTGACGATCCAGATGAACGTGTTCTGCGTATGTCGGGTCTGAACGTCAGAAGTGATGCGGGTGTAGTTTTTGATAATTCAACCGATACCCGTGAAAACGGAGTTATCGCCGGAGGACGCTCATCAACGAGCGATTCGAGTGGTGACTTGAACTCAGCGATGGACTCCACATATGGTGACTCGCAACCGGGCGCATCTCCACTGCCTTACGCCCAAGCAGCAGGCAGGATGTACCTAGGCGATAGCGACGGAGTTGTTACCACATCACCACGAGCTAAACGTCCTCTGTTTTCGTAGTTTTTCACTATATATACTAACGAAATCTTTTGAGACTAGTTGCTTATAGACTTAGGCTTTTTCAAGCATATTACTTCTCTTTCACCTGCCCTCTCTTCTCTCCTTGGTGGTTCCTGGTCCGAGCTTACTTCTCTATTCTCTATTTCCCCTTTATTTATTAGTATTTTGCATAGTTTTCTCTTTTATCCATATGAGAGCTCTTCCTAGTCGATTTTTCATCTTCTTTTGTATAATTCACATGATTATTACTCGGTTACACGTTGTTTGTTTCTTTTACTTCCCGTGTTCTTTCCAGATCACTAAGGTCTTAGTTGTTGCTTTGTCTCTAAATTTCAAATTCGTGTCCCACGTACGAGTGTCTACCGGTTTGGCCGGTGCAGCGCGGTTTGCGTGGATCACAGCAAGTTTTACTGCATGACAGAGAGCTTGGAATAGGGGATTTGAGGTTTTCTTCTTTGTGATTCGTGCTTTTCATTCATTTCATCGTCCGAAGCTGTCATCAAGCTCAACTCCAGTGCCGTCAATCTTGTCAGCTAGCGCCTCTTCAAGAATTCTATTAACCCGCTATATTCTTAGCCTCTTCAGCTTCCTTTTGGCACAAAACTATATCCTTCCTCTAATCATTCTGTCGCATTCTATGCTTTGCAAACCGGTGTACATACAAGTGGTGCAATCTCGCAAAAAAGTAGGGTAGTGCCTTATTTCCATGGTGATTTTATGCGGGCTATCGTTCCTTCCCGAGGTGCATCATAGTCAGCAAATAAATCGCGCTCCTCTTGCTTATAGTTTTCTCGGTTCTAAGTTAAAGAATTGGTAGGGTTGCTTAGATCTCACTAATTCTTTTGCTGCTGTCTGTCTTGTTCTACAGTGGGGAAGTTTGAAGGCAGCGTTTACTCAAAAGTAGCGAGACTTTGATGCTGTATAATAGCGGGACCCTATTGAGTAGTCGCACAATCTCCACTGCAAAAGATGAATTCTGAGGCGAAAAATTGCTCCAGAAGGTTGGAGCGCGTTAGGTGACACCGCCCATCAACGCGAGTGATTTGAAGATAATGAACTCGAATGCGAGCTTCAAGGTAGATAAAAATATCAAAATTTTGATAATTATTATGTAGAGTGGATCTATGAACTCTAGATAAGTCGAAGCCCGATCGTGGACTTTTTATCTTCAGACCACCCATGTTGATGGGCGGAGCCACCTGGGTCCCTTCTAGCTTCTGTAGCGTTTTTCTTGCTTCGGAATTCATGTTTTGCGGAGAGACTTGGGCGATTACTCAGTTAGTGGCTCTGCTATCATACAAAGGCAAAATCTCACCAACCTCAAGTTGGGTGGAGGATGTCTCTCAGGATGGCTAAGAGTAATTTGGTTATGCAATAATTTTTCGCACAGGGTTGGCGGTGGTATCTCGAGGTAATACTCTCTTTTCTTGTTTTATTTTAGTAAATAGTTGCTCGAAACCTGCCCATGTTCCTCTCCTCGCTTTCGGTTATGCATAGGAACGCTGCTGTGACAAACAGGTATCGTTTGGGTTAGGTGTGATCCCGTCCGTTGATATAGTTTATCTAGTGCAGAGGTTATTATCAAATTTGTTCTCCTTTCCTTTCTTTTTGAAGAAAATGTTTTTTCTTTTGTATTGATATTACATTCTATGATCTCATACGCCCTGTTCACATGTTGTTTTACATTGTTTCCACACACACTTTTTCGTCTCCATAGTTTTGCTCGTTTTTTTCCTTGACTTGTGCGAGTGACTGTATTCCGACACTATCCCATCATCATGTTTTAGCGTGCTATTTATGCCTTGAAGGGCGTTGTCGTTTTCGTACATGATTTCTTGAAGCAATTCTTCTTTGTACAATCATCACCCGAGTAGTTGTTTTACTTATGTATTGTTTTTTCATTGAAAACTGCTGCTTTCTGTTAATACTCTCTTCTCAAGGAGTACTAAAGTTGGTTAAGTTAGTTGATTTCATGTTTGATAGACGTGTATATGAATTTTGTTGATCCATAGCTTTTTCGTAAACAGCAGGAAAGCTCAGTGATTGGTATATTGTTGGAGGAGATACATCCCCCTAGAGGAGTGGGACAAAAACACGAGTTGCAACATTGGTTCCAAATTTTGGAAGTTCCGAAGAGTTCGATTTTCTGCTTCTACTCACTCGTTTCTTTTAATTATTAATATGCACACCTTAGCTATACCTTGATTGTCTATAATCTCTGCATACATTCCAGAAACGAAGCAAATTCTTTGCAAGTTCTCAACAAAGTCAAAGTTCTACGGAAGCAACTTCCATTTCAATTTTGAACGATTTTTTCATTTTACACGTGACTTCATAGCTACCGTATAGATGCCGTCATTTTCATGATGCCCTCAAAGTGGATAGTGATTCAGATGGTCATGAAGGACTATATTGTTCTGAGAATATGAAAGTGACGAGTATGTATGTATGTATGTATGTTGAGAATCATGGAAATATTTGCGTCATGTATGTGAAGACGCTTTCAATTTTGGAGACCATTAGTTTTACAGACCATAAGAACGCTTTCGTATTTGAAAAAAGGTTTTGCCTGCTATCTCAGAAAACGATCATAGTTCTATAAGAATGAGGTAAAAAATCGAATAATCGTTTCGAAAGCTCTTGTAAGACCAGATTTCGTTTCTAAACACAGCACACTGACAAGGCAGGCACTGTCAGGCTCTCGGAACCTCCTATTTAGTTGAAAGAAAGTTGTGGAAATTTATTTCATCATGTGCAGCAAAATTCATGTGACAACCTAATAGATAAGAATTTGTTAGAATCACAACATTCAATAGCCGAAGAACTCCAAAAGATAGCTTTAAAGTTTAGAGGTAAATCAAAACCCGATTTTTAGCAGTGGAAGATTGCGGGGATGATTAACTGAAGCGAAAAATATATTTCCTGAGCAAGATGGAGTTTCGTAGAATTTCTCTGGACAAAATTTAATGCCTGAATGTTTGTTTTTCATTTTGACTCGAAATCGTGTAGATCACTCTTTTTACGAATATTTCAATGCCATCCCATGAAGCTTACTTGCTAAGCAAATAATATGTTTTTTTTTTGCATTTTTATTTACTCTGCTACGGTAGCATGGGGAACGCGCATTAATCTTCCATCTCCTTGATAAACAGCCTTTTGAAACGAATTTACTATGAATGATACCGTAATTTTAGGCCTTCCTTTTCATGCTATGATGGCCTTAGACTGAACCTGTACTGTAGCAATTGTCCGGTCAGACGCTGTACTTGCTTATTTCTTTGCAGTTTACCATGGAGAAGCTAGGCGGATGATCGAGTGAACCGATTTTAAAGCTCCCAACTGCGATAAATATTCAAATTCAGAAAAATATAGCGTTTCGCAAGGCTGAGCAAATTATCTCCGATATCTCCAAAAATTTCATCTACCTTTGTATTCCTTGCATAGTTTATGTTATGTCTATTTATTTCTGCCTGTTTGACGAATACTTTTGGCAGTTCAAAACTAATGACTTTTGTTCTTCCCTTTTAACAACTACTCATAAAATTTTTTCTACAAAGTGCAAGTATGCTGGGTATTCTCAGTAAACGATTCAGGGAATACCTTTAACCCGGTCTAAGGGCAGGAACAAAACGGAGTTTTGGAGTTATATACCAATAAAAATTCTTCAAATTTCTTGTTATTAATCATTAACGAAGGTAAATTCGATGTAAGTCATGTGATTTCAAGCTATAGTTTAAAAGAGATAAAGCGTCACTTCCAAACGAATTAATCTTGATCGGAATGCAGGTTGATTGCGGTATTTCTCTGAATGTGAGACGAACAACTCAATAATTACGTTTCGTCTACCTCGTGAGTACTTTGGTATTCAAAAGCAAGGCTTGTCTTCCTTCTAAAAATTTGGTTAGTAATTTGGTTACCAATTTGGTTATTTTATTGAATTTTATCTAATTGAGAAAACTGGAAGGGGATGTGGGTATTTTGCAAATGGAGCTATAGCAATGTGTACATGTAGTGAAAAATTTTGTGATATTCAAAAACTTTTCTTTTTCAGATTTCATCCATACCTACTAATACTGCTGAAGCAAGTTGCTTTTATAGATCAAAATTACGTTTGCAGCGTAATCAAGGCTTCCTGACTAAGTTTATTACAACTGATAATTCGTTCTGCGGAAAACTAATCACGGTTTACTCTTCCCTTCTCTAGAATTTCAGAAATTTGCAACTACCGCCACTCAAAGTTGGGAGAAACAGAGCTGCTCAGTTTAATAGCTCAAATCTTCACAATAGTAGAAGCTAGATGATAACATTATGTGGGATGATTGTCTTGGCGTTTGTCTTCTTTAACCATTGGACTTTAATCACGAATTGAATCTTAGCAAAGCAAAAAATTTCCCGCGAAAAATTTCCATAACGTTCTTCTCTCATAGGTTCCTCAGATCGAAATAGTTAGATAATACAAAAACTTTCAGCTTTTCGAGATATTAACTTTACTTTCCAAGAATGTTTCTGTTGTGACGTCTGTTTGGCAGATATTTCTGCAAACTTACCTCTGAAGCGTTAGACCTCCTACAGCAATTTCTTCTGGAATCTAGTCCCTTTAACTTTCTTCCTTTTGTTGCTTTATCATAGCTTTACTTGGGCACTAAGTCTGCTCCCTTCCATAGAAGTGTAATTCGTAGTTATCACTTCTGCTGTTGCATAGGAATTCTTTTCCTACTTTCCTTACTTATCCAGCTGCCTAATTCCTTAAGCTACAAATCCATTTATAGTCCAATTATCTTTGAATTAGTAGCAGAATAAAGGAATGAATATCCAAGCTCTGAGTACTCAGATGTTATTGACTTTTCGCTCTCTGCAAAATCCAAACAAATCTATTCCCGGTACATAAGCCACGGCTATGAGTGAATGGGATGAATGGAAAGGAATCGCAAGAAACCGGAAGGGGAAGAAGGATTGGAAGGCAGTTTTGTTTAGTAAAGAGTGATCACTGCGAGATTAATCTATTATACTGTTACATGAAAGATTCTGCATCTTATTATGATCGTCTGAGTAGAGCATTTTAATTCATTCCAAAACATTTGTATTTTTTGAATCATTTTTGAAGTGAAATTTGCTTCTAACAACGTATGAAAACTCTTTACAACGAATAAAATGAATGAGATGAAGAATGGTTTTCAAAGCCACGTCTGCTTATATGCAGCAAATCAAACGTAGAACCATAAAAGGACAATGCTACATACATCTTCCACAATGACTTTGAGCCTTTTCATACATCTCGGTTTGCTTTGTTGTTTCCCACATCCGATGCGTGTTAGTATGCTTTGGATGTGGCAAAAATTATTCCGTATTCATGAATAACAGCGATGACAAAGTGGATGCTCGGAGGATGTAAGGATCAACATCTAAAAGGCTCGAGTATATCATGTGGTCTACTTAATGCTATTTTTTCAAAATAAATCAAG